CAATTTAATTGGAGACGGAGTCCTTTCTGTCCGTCTCTCCCCCCACCCGCTCCCTTCCCTGCTGCCACTCAAGCTTCCATTTTAAAATTAAAATAGATGGATCCACCTTCACATTCCTGGAAAGCAGCATGAGGAGAATTTAAATTGGGAATGAGCTGAAATAAACAGCAGCTCATCTCAACACTGAAAGCAATTAGGAGGATGTGCTTACAAGCTCCAGGGGAAACCCAGCAGCTTCGGAGGTGTGCAGGAAACTCCTAAGTCAGACCACTGGTCCATCTAGATCAGTGTTGTCTACACTGGCTGGCAGCAGCAACTCACCACAATTTCAGGCAGTGTTGTGTGATAGGAATTTTGAGATCTTTGATATATGTTAAATGTTCATAAGTGTACCAACCAAGCACGTACATAGATCAGCACAGGAAGACCGACCTGGAACCATTTTGATTCCCAAACTGACCAAATGTTTTCTCTGCAAGGTCAAAGGAAAATGGAAAAGCCTCCCCATTGGCTTTTCCTTCACAAATCCTGTCTTATGGGTATGTCTGTGTATGAATAGCGTGTGAGCCTGTGATCTGGCTCAGGAACTAAGTATTTATCATTACTAAGTATTTATCATTACAAAAGACTGGCCAGGCTCCCCGGGATATCCAATCAAGAAACCTGCCAGACAGGAGATAAACAACAACAGGAGAAAAACAACATTTAAATTTCTGTTTTAGACCGCCTTTTCTGTGATGTATGTATGATGTTTCTGGGGGTGGTCTTGATCTACGGAGTGGCAATTTCAAAAGTTTTTATAAGGCCTTGCACACCATTTTTCTGGGTTCCTCCTCTCTCTTGCGTGTGAGGAGAGCACCCTGTTGCAACAGATCAATAAAGATCAAGCTTACTAGCTGCTTTGCTTCTCAATATTCTCTGGTTGGCCTCTGTTATTTTCTCCTACCAATAGGGAACCTACTTAAGGACTCTATATGGGCTTTGGATGCCCCATAAGGGGGAAAGGGCAGAGATTTTGTTTACAACAGTTGTCTCCAGAAAAGGGGGGGCGTACCCTGAGGTGTCATGGACCAGTTGGATGCAGAGGAATGGTGGGAGGAACCAGCTGGGGAACCCCCAAGGGAAGAATGCTCGAAGCCTGGGGATGGGTGGTGGGATGATGATGAGGGGTCAGAGGGAGAAGACTGAGAAGAGGTGTAAAATGAAGAGGTAAAAGGGCTTAGTGAGCGGGTCGAGTCGGTGGCAGAGAGGAGTCCAGAACTGGAGGCAGATGCTGAAGTAGGAGAGTGGGATGAGGGAGGCCAAGAGGCAGAGATGAGTCTGGCTGGTGAAGAATCATGGGCGTCTCCCCCTACCTGCTGTGACAAGCTTCCCCGCTCCTTGTCTCCCAGAACCAGAAGAGGCATGGAAAGGGCAGAGGAGAGGTTGGCTGCAGGCAGGCGCAGTCTCTGGCTGTTTGGCAAAAGCTCTGAGGAGACAGGGACTTTCAGTCTTGGTGACTGATTTTCATGGAGGAAGACCCCCCCAGGAATGAGCTGCTCTGCTCAATCAAGTCTGTGGAGATTGTGGTATTCTAATAAAGAGTTAACTCCATCTTTGAACTGTGTGATTACTGACCAGCAGACTCCCATGACAGCTGCTGCCTGTGCATATTCTTCATTCGTTGAAGAATTACAAAAGGCCGCTCAGTCTTGGAGAACGTGTCCTGTATTGTCAGGAATTATTTTATTCCCTACCAGCTGCATCATTTTGAAAGTGTTGTTCACTTAAATCTGGAGAAAAACATCTCCTACCATATTGTGTTTTGTATTTGCATAAGTAATAAACTGGAACCATGTTTCTGAGAATTTCTCTGTGCAAATTTCTTCTGCACTGCTGAGTTAATTTCTCATCAAGAGCCAACTACCAGATCCTGGCATACCAGGAGAGGAAATCACTTCTTTGAGGACAGCACTGCCTGCTGCAAATTTATTAAGACATTCTACTAAAAAACAATATTCTTGCACGCCGCCCCAATCTCTGAGCCGTGTGAGGTTTCAGGGATTCTGGGTTCGATTTCCTTGGAATGAGGTGCAGCAGAGACTGTGGTGTCTTTATGATATAAGGTTTATTTACACACATGTATAACCTGAGCCTACGATGGAGGAGCTCACAGCAACAACCCGCCAAATAGTCTTGCTTCTCCTATAGTTCATAGTTCACAGAACTGTAAAGTTGGAAGGGACCCTGAGGATCATCTAGTCCAGGGGTTGTCAACCTGGTCCCTACCGCCCACTAGTGGGCGTTTCAGGATTCTAGGTGGGCGGTAGGGGGTTCTACGGCACAAGCTCAATCCTCCTTCCATCGAGCACTGGTGGGCGGTAAGGAAATTTTACCATCGAGAAAGATGCATTAGTGGGCAGTAGGTATAAAAAGGTTGACTACCCCTGATCTAGTCTAAGCTCCGGCAATGCAGGAATATGCATGAATATGCAGGAATATTCAATATGGGGATTGAACCTGCAACCATGGCATTATCAGCACCACGCTCTAACCCATGGGTAGGCAAACTAAGGCCCGGGGGCCGGATCCAGCCCAATTGCCTTCTCAATCCGGCCCGCAGACAGTCCAGAAATCAGCGTGTTTTTACATGAGTAGAATGTGTCCTTTTATTTAAAATGCATCTCTGGGTTATTTGTAGGGCATAGGAATTCATTCATTTTTTATTTCAAAATATATTCCGGCCCCCCACAAGGTCTGAGGGACAGTGGACTGGCTCCCTGCTGAAAAAGTTTTCTGACCCCTGCTCTAACCAACTGAGTTATCCATGTTGTCAAGCCTAGGATTCCAGCAGAAGTCAAACCTGCCTCCGACTCCCAGCTTCTGCCTGCTTCTAGCCTGCTCTCGGTTCACACACTCTGGCTTTTTACTTTTTCAGTACTAGCCAGGGAAGGGAGGGGAGCCACCCCCCCATTTGCCCTCTAGCACAAAGCGGTCCTTAGGGGCAGGGCCATTAATTCACAAACTTTCTTGACTAGTTCAGCAATGGAATCCTCCATTAGATTTTAACCCTGACTGGATCAAGGAACCCAGGGAGTAGACGGGACTCAAGCATACAGAATAAGTCCTCAAACTAACAATATTTTTTAAAATAAAAAATCTGCCCCAATTAATTAGGTAGGTTGCCTTCCCCACCCTGCCCATCTCAGGCTTTTAAAGGCTTCTAAGTTCAGGACATTTTGAAATCTTGCCAATGGTTCCGTTTTATTCTTCTTAAAAGATTGTTAAGCCTGAGGGCAGAACCTGTCTTGTTTTAATTGATTTTACATAAGCGGCTCTGTGAGCTTTTTAGAGTGAAGAACAAAGGTACAAATGCTCTAAATTTATAGAGCTAAAGGCCAGTGCCCCAAAGAAGGCAAGTTTTTATGATATTGCTTTGAGCACTGTGATATAACAGTGTGGAATAACAACAACAACAACAACAACAACAACAACTTATTTAACAACAACAACAACAATTTATTTAACAACAACAACAACAACAACAATTTATTTATACCCCGCCCATCTGGCTGGGTTTCCCCAGCCACTCTGGGCAGCTTCCAACAGAACACTAAAATGCAATAACCTATTAAACATTAAAAGCTTCCCTAAACAGGGCTGTCTTCAGATGTCTCCTAAAAGTTTGGTAGTTATTTTGGTAGTGGTTGGAAGGGAAGACTGAGACCTGGGAGAGACTGGGCAGTCACTTTGTGAACATGATGCTGGACTAAATGGGCCACTGGCCTGACCCAACAGGCTTTTCCATGTTCTTAGACAAATGTTCAAATCCACCACTCAGCCATGTAGCTCACTGGGTTAGGCCAGTCACTGCCTCTCAGCCTAACCCACCTCACAGGGTTGCTGTATGGATAACATCGGGGAGAATAGTGAGGGAGGGAAATTAAATGTACAAATGAACAAGCAGACAATTTTAATTGTGTGAAGGTGAAAGCTTTCAGATAAAAGGATATTTTATTTTTTTTAAAAAAGGGGGGGAAATCCAACCAATAAATCAATTAAAAATGCTGCAGCCTAGTAACAATGATTTTATATATTACCATCATTATTGGCTTGGGATGTACCCAGCTAAATCATACTCAAGAGTTGTTCTTGTTTAGTCGTGTCCGACTCTTCGTGACCCCATGGACCAGAGCACGCCAGGCACTCCTGTCTTCCACTCCCTCCTGCAGTTTGGTCAAACTCATGTTGGTAGCTTCGAGAACACTATCCAACCATCTTATCCTCTGCCGTCCCCTTCTCCTTGTGCCCTCCATCTTTCCCAACATCAGGGTCTTTTCCAGGGAGGCTTCTCTTCTCATGAGGTGGCCAAAGTATTGGAGCCTCAGCTTCACGATCTGTCCTTCCAGTGAGCACTCAGGGCTAATTTCCTTAAGAATGGAGAGGTTTGATCTTCTTGCAGTCCATGGGACTCTCAAGAGTCTCCTCCAACATCGGCAAGCCACTCCAGTATCCCTGCCAAGAAAATTCCATGGACAAAGCAGCCTTCTCGCAGTCCATCAAACCTCTCCATTCTGAAGGAAATCAGCCCTGAGTGCTCACTGGAAGGACAGATCCTGAAGCTGAGGCTCCAATCCTTTGGCCACCTCATGAGAACAGAAGACTCCCTACACCCACTGAAATTACTGCGCCTAAATTAACCCTGTCCATTGCTTTCAAAGGTTCTAAAGTACGACTACAGTTTAGAGACAATGGCATGTGATCCCTTTTGAGAATCCTTGGACGGGGGAGATTTATAAATAAAATTAAAAATTAAAAATACATTTTTTAAAAATGGCTCCTGCTCTCTCGCTCCCCTGCCTTTCACAAAGGTACACTGCCTCTGACTGTGGAGGTTTCTCTCTCATACGCACAGCCAGCGAAGACAGCCTCCCCTACCTAGGTGAAGGGCCTGTCACGTGACGCCAGGGCAAGCCCGGGTCACGTGACGTCGCTGCATCCGCCGCCGCCGGTCGCGCCTCGCGTGACGGCACCACTCTGCGCCCAGCACGGCGGCGCTGAGCAGAAAAAAGGAGAAAGCGGACCGCTGAGGGGGGGAGTTCGCGGCGGGCCCAACAGTCGCCAATTAGGGGCGGCCGAGCTCCGGGGCGGAAGCGGCCGAGCGGGTAAGGAGCCTCCGAGAAGCCTCCGGCTGAGGGAAAAGGAGCGGGAGGAGAGCGCGGGAGGGGGAAAGCGGAGGGCGCTGGGCGGGAAAGCGGCGCTCCGCTCCGCGCGTGCGCACTGCCCTGCTGTGAGAGGAAGCTGGCGCCCGGCGCGCATGCGCGGCCGAGCGACGCTTTCCCCGCCCCCCTTTACCAGGGCCAGCAGTGCGCCGCTTTTCCCCCGATAGACTCGGCGGCGTTCTGCTTCGCGCATGCGCGCCAACTGCGAGCCGGTGTTCTCTGCGTCTTAAGCGACGATGCGCTCAGTAAGCCAAAGGGGCGGGGAAGGCGGAGGTTCGCGTTGCGCAAGAGGAGAGGATGGGAGAGGTGGGTGGGCGATGAGAGAGGCAGAGAAAGGGGCGGGAGGGGTTGTCTCGCGTTGTCATCTCTTGTCTGCCTCGCGCTTCCTTATTTTTTTGGGGGAGGGGGGGGGATCGGGGCCCTGCAGAGAAAGCCAGCCAGCGGATCCTGTGCACGCTTAACCTGGGAGCGCAGCCCCGTGAGGCTTGCTCATGTGGGGAATTGCACAGTTAGTTAGCTTGCAATCCTGCATTCCCTTACCTGAATTCAGTGGGCCTGACATCCGAGTGTACACACGCAGGGTTGCGCTATTCAAGGGCAGAGCCACACCATTTAAAGCACATGACAAAAAAAACCCCACCAAATAACCCCAGGAATGGTAGTTTGTGACGGGTACTGGGAATTGTAGACCTGTGAGGGGAAACTATAGTTCCCAGGACTGTTGGGAGTCCTGTGCTCTTTAAATGTGCATTGGGTGTGCTTTAAATAATAATAATAATAAATTTTTATTTATACCCCGCCCTCCCCAACCAAGACCAGGCTCAGGGCGGCTAACAACCAATAATAAAAACAAGTTGATTAAAATACAGTTTAAAAGATTAAGATACAACATTAAAACATTAGGATGCAGCCTCTTCACATATGCAAGGTGTGGATCAGGCATAGGCAGACTTGGCCCTCCAGATGTTTTGGGACTACAACTCCCATCATCCCTGACCACTGGTCCTGTTAGCTAGGGATCATGGGAGTTTTAGTCCCAAAACATCTGGAGGGCCGAGTTTGCCTATGCCTGGTGTGGATCTTCCCCATGAGTATTGCTGTCCTCCTTTCCACCTTAACTGCCCCCTGCTCATTATACCTCAGCGCTCGGCGCTGCAGATAAAATGAGAAGAAAGCTGCAGGTGAGAGTGGGGTGGGTGTTGCAAGCCTTTCTCTCCACACCTCACTCTAGAGAAAATGGAAAGGAGATGGTTTAAAACCTGGGGCTGCTCACTAACCCCAGAAACCTTAATGGTCTCCTCAGGAAGCATGGAATTGCAGGCCACTAGCCTCTTAGGCTTGAGCCCTAACCCCATCTACTATGGAACTGGCCCCATTGAATTAAAGAGGCTTTGCCTCTGATTAGATGGAGTTACAATTGTGCTGCTAGGGTGGTTTTAGAAAGAAGGAAAGAAAGAAAAAGACAGACTTCTATCAAGTGGGATGTTGGAGTAGGATGGTTCACCCAGTCCTCCCCTCTGCCAGCCCGCTGCCTTTCCAATATGGTTGCAGAGGAAAATATTTTGTTTCCTCTATGCATAGGAACCACAAAGGCTGGAGGAGGAGGAATGGAGTGACATGTCCCTTCATTTCCAACCTGATCACTTTCCTGTATTGAGAGCCAGTGTGGTGTAGTGGTTAAGAGCGGTAGTCTCATAATCTGGGGAACCGGGTTCGCGTCTCCGCTCCTCCACTTGCAGCTGCTGGGTGACCTTGGGCCAGTCACACTTCTTTGAAGTCTCTCAGCCCCACTCACCTCACAGAGTGTTTGTTGTGGGGGAGGAAGGGAAAGGAGAATGTTAGCCGCTTTGAGACTCCTTAAAGGGAGTGAAAGGCGGGATATCAAATCCAAACTCCTCTTCTTCTGTATGGAATTCCAGGTTGCCTATGCAACTAGATGAACTGTTAAATACAAGGTGTCCTTTTATTTTAAAGGAAGGGATATGCTTATTATTGAGTCATGACTTGAAAACAATACGTTTCCTTGTTTCTGTTCAGTATGGTTAGCATCAGTGCCCACATGATGCTTAACTGTGGTTGACTAGAAAGAGATGATCTTAGTGCTGATGGGGGACAGAATTATTGAAGTATTGGAGCCTTCAAACAGTTCTAATACAGACTGTGTGCCCCATATTTCTTTGAGAGTACAGACTGTGGTACTGGCTGCAGAATTCAACTTTGCAAGCATCTGGACTTTAAAAAGTAAAAGTTTCCAGCCCTTATGGTTGATGATGTTTGCATGGAATTCCACAGGAGGTACCTGGTGAAATCTCTAAAGCCAGCGTAGTGTGAAATAAGATGTCCAGTGGTCCATGCCCGACTTGCCCCTTTTGTGACTAGCAAATCCAGCCCGCCAAAGTTAGTAACATGCATGGGGCTGGCAAAGAGTGACAGAGAACTCCATCACTCTCACAGCAGCATGTTTCACTTCTGCGCTGGGGGCTTGGTGTGTGGTGGTCCACTTGGTTTCTGTGCTGGGTTCTGGAGAGGGACAGAGCCCTCCAGTCTTTCTCTGCCAACCAGCTCATCTGCCTGCATGGAATTCCTTATTGCCTCTTCCTGTCAGGCCAGCGCTTAAATGCAAGGCTGAGTGAGCCGCAGTAAACTGTTCAAAATGAAAGAGTGGTGCAGACATGCATGATTTAATCAGGCTGCAGTTCAGGAGTGGGGAACATTTGGACTTCCAGCTGTTGCTGAGTATCCCTGAGCTGCTTTGGGAGGAAGGGCCTGATAAAAGTTTAAAAGTAAATAAAGCTTCCATCAGCCCTAGCAAGTATGTCTAACAGGCGGAGGGGGGAGGCAGGGAGCTGTAGTTCAACCGCACCTGCTGTAGTTCATATATATATATTGCAAATGTGTGCAGTTGAAATGTTATACCCTGAAAAGCTATACTATGCTCACCCCTGTTCTTTAATGGCCCCCCTCTTACCCCCGCCCCAGTATATTTTGATTTAATCACCTTCATTTCTGCAGGCAGTTATCTGTGCTTCATGAGAGAGGCCTGCCTGCAGATCAGAGCTTAATTGAAATTGGAATCCATGCTGCTTTTCCCAATTGTCAGCCTCTGCAATAACATTAAAAGCAAAAAAGGGGGGTGCCTTTTCTTTCCACCTTCCTCTCTGAATCTCAGTGTGTGTTGCTCACCAAAAATCATTTGCTTAATAGGTCTCCCCTCACCTCTCAGATGTGTTAACTCTTATTATGTGTTGCTTCCTCCCGGGTGCGGACTTGACTGGCCTCTTTGCTGGTGACTATAAATAGTCTAGGGTGGTAGTAATGACTGATTGGTTCTCAGTGTTCATCCCACTGCATGGAGAGCCTTGGGGTTTTCCGTCTGTTGCTGAAATGTGTAGCTTTCTGTTCCTATTTCCATTTCACTTCGGAGGTAGGCTGGTAGGAATATGGAGAGCTTGAAATGTTCCTGATTGCTTATCCTCTCTGGCCAGAGCAAGAGGTGCGTGAACAAGCAAGCTGAAATGGTGGAAGAGGAGAATCAGGGGAGAAATCCTACAGAGTTATTTCCCAGTGTGATTGGACATGGACCACACTGTGGGTAGGGACACCCTTTCTCCATGTTGGCTTGCTCATGTGTCAGCTTGAACTTTCTTCTCCATCTTGCTTTTCCTCTGAGGAACTCTGAGTGGCTTGTGTGAGATTCCCAAACAGATACTGACTGCAGTCTCTAATCCCCCTTGGTGTTGGCCATGTGCCTCAGTTGTTCCTGCTCTTAGTGGGCTAAATGGTAAAGAGCTCTGTGGCTTGTTTTGTTTTGCTGTGGAACACGCCTTGAGTTTCACTTGTTGGTCCCTCTCTGATTCTTAAGATTATGTGTTAGTTCTAGATGCATCAAGGCCACTGTTCCTTGGAACCAGCCAAGCTTCCTCCTAAAACAGCAACGTTAGACAAAGATATCCAAAGTGAATAACATGCAAATGACTTTGGTAGCCCAGCTGTCAAGCCTTCTAGTGTATGCTGTTTAAAGGTGCATCAACCGCTTGTAAAAACGCGCTTCGCCAATCTGGAGGGCGCCAAGTTGGCGAAGGCTGCTATATTTTAGAATGTTTTATATTATTGGCTTCTGCCTCATAACGGGCAGACCAGCAGGTGGCTGCTTACAAGCCTCAATTGTACCAACCTGCAGAGTGTGTGTAATGGGATACGGTGATGATTCTATTGATCTCTCAGTTCCTCTGAGGGAAGCTTTCTTTTTATTGCGCCTGCTTCACATGTAGCACCAGTTATCTTTACAGAGTGCCAGACGGAAACTGGTGTGCGAATGGGTAGTTTTAAATATGGCACCTAATTAATGTGTGGAATTTGATGTGGGGGGCTGTGGCAGTGGAAAGGAAAAGCGGATGAAACACGCGTGAAGGCTGTCTGTACTATGCTAACTGAATCAAATGGAACCTCCACATTCAGAGGCAGTCTCTGATGACCCACTGCTGGGGATCAGCAGCAGCAGCAGAGAGGAATGGCCTTCATTCCCTGTTTGTGACTATCCTGATAGATCTCCAAACTTAGTTCAGCCCTCTGATTGCTGTACGGGCCCTCTGCTGCACTGATGTAGGATGCTGTGTGTTTGTGTGTGTAAAAAAGAAAGAAAAATAAATGGAAGACATCCTTGCATTAGGGTACAGTGGTACCTCGGGTTACATACGCTTCAGGTTACACACTCCGCTAACCCAAAAATATTGCTTCAGGTTAAGAACTTTGCTTCAGGATGAGAACAGAAATCGTGCTCTGGCGGCGCGGTGGCAGCAGGAGGCCCCATTAGCTAAAGTGGTGCTTCAGGTTAAGAACAGTTTCAGGTTAAGAACGGACCTCTGGGACGAATTAAGTACTTAACCCGAGGTACCACTGTATTGCCCATTAAGGCACTGCTTATTGTGCTTCCCAGAGAAGGAGGGGCTGCAGCTCAGAGTTGAAAAATCTGTTTTGCATTGTGAATGCTCCAGGTTCAATCCCCGGTTTCTTCAGGTAAGGCTTGGAGAGAACCCTGTCTGAAATCCTGGAGAGCCGCTTTGAGTCATTGTCGACCAGGAGTTTGCAGACTGTGGTCTATGGACTACCAGTGGTCCGCATACTTCATTCAGGTGGTCTGTGACATGCATGTGGACTTGTGGTTGACAATGGGAGGACGGCACATCCATCACATTAAATATTCACAGTATATTTTAAATTGTGTTTCTGTGGTTTCGTTATTTCTTGTACTGCGGAATAGACTAAAATACAATTATATAAGGAGAAAATGCCATTAAAAATCATACAGCACCTAGCATAGCACATTACATGGCTACAACACGCATGAAGCAATTCGCCAAGCCCCTCAGCAACTTCAGAGTAGTTAGTGGGAAATTATTTATTTATTCTTTGAACCACGAGTGTAGACAGTATTGAGCAAGACAGACAAATGGTCTGATTCAGTGTAGGGTAGCTTCCTATGCCTGGACCACCAGGTTGGCTGCTGCAAGCAAGGGATTATTGACCAAGATTTGGCTTTGACTTGATCCAGCTGGTCCCCTCTGATGTTCTTAAACAAATTCATAAAAGCTGCTCCCTTACATTCCAATGAGTTCTGCTCTCTGGGTTCCTTGGCCAGACTGCAGGTGTTGGCAGGATTTGTCCCAAGCATTACAGTTTGTCCCACCCCTCTAGGTCCCAGTCGGAGCCCCTAGGAGGACGGGTTGCTCTCTGGTGTCGATGTGGGGGGTAGGAGGACCCCCCCCCCAAGGTAGGCTTGCCCCAAGTGTGGAGTGCACCTTCACAGATTGTAACTTAGAGGGGGGGAAAGTTAAAACAGATCCTGATTTAAATTTTGAAACCTGACCCTAAATGCATTGGCTTGTATCCAACGAAGTATTATGCCCAAAGTAGATTCCCTGAAATCAAGGGATGTGGCTCAGTTGATGCAGTGGTAGGGTACACACAGTTTAAACGAGGAACGTAAACCCTCAAGTGCTCCAGTTTTCTGATTCCAAACCCTAGACGGCACACATTATTTTTAGAAATAAAAACAAATAACCCTTGATAGACCCCCCTCCAAACTCCCATTTCAGTTTGTCCCATCCGTTTCTAAAGCCATCTATACCCCTGTCGTTCATCACCACCACGTGTGTTTAACAGGGAAGGTTTATTTCTAGGCATGTAGCTGTGGAGGCTGGTGTTAGCAGCTTAAACATAGCTGTCAACTTTTCCCTTTTCTTGCGAGGAATCCTATTCGGAATAAGGGAATTTCCATTAAAAAAGGAAACGGCTATGAACTTAAACCATGTCTGATGCTGCTGTTTGAATTTCCCTTCCCTCTCCTTTTCAAAAAGGCGGTACCTGGGAAGAGGACGATTAGGGAAAGCTCCGCCGAGGTTTCCTCCTCTCCTCTCTTCCGCCAAAGGGTTTCGAAGGGTGGAGGCGGAGAGTTTTCTGCCCTCTCCAAAGAAGGCGGCTCCGGCTTCACTTCCTCCTACTCCCCATGTCCCCCCCCCCGTATCATGTGCTTGGTGGCGCCGCGCTGCTGTTCTTTCGTCATCAGCCCTTGCCGGCGACCCTCCTGCACAATAGAGGCGGCTTCAGTCGACGGTGCCCGCAGGGTAGTTTTTTGGGGGGGAGGTAAGGTAAGGCCAGGCCAAGGCAAGCTTCGCTCGGAAGGGGATTGGGGCACGGAGGGGGGGTGTGCATGTGTGTGTGTGCAAAGTCCTGCTTTCCACCGACCTGGAAGAAGCGCCCCGTTTCCCATGCATGCAACACAAGGGCCGCACAAGCCTCTCTCCAGCCCCCTTTTCCCCCTCTCCTCTGGGGCTGCACCAGTGCCCCTCCGTAGAACTGCACCAGGAAACGCCATGCATGCAACCTGCCTGTCTCTTGACGAGCCCGATCCAGTTGCATGCCTACTCGGAAGTGAATTTCGCGGAGCTCGGTGGAATTAACTCCCGCGTCGGAGAGGGGCATAGGATTGCAGCGTGATCTGTGAAATGGAACCTCCGGGTTGAGAAGCAGTATACCTTTGAACGTCAGTTGTTAGGAGAGGGATCAATCCCCGGAAATCGGGAGGGTTGTTGTTTTTCTGCCTTGTTGAAGGCTTCGCAGAAGAAACATGCAGCCAGCCCTTGTTGGAAAAGGGGGTACTGTTAGTCTGGGCAGCTGCCCATTAAACAGCACGGTTTGCATTAGTTGCTAACAAAATCAGCTGTAGTTTGGGAAAGGAATGTAGGCTATGTTAGAGAACTAGTGTAGCTTAATGGTGAAAAGACTGGGTTGTGAACAAGGAAGTACTCCGTTAGATGTATGTTGTACCAAAGTGGAGCGGTGAAGGTTAAGTGCACACACACACAATAGGATGATAACCATCCTGGCCCACCTTAAAGGGTTGTTTGTGAGCATTATTTTAAAGTGCTCTGTATAAATTCTGAGTAGTTCCATTTATTTTTGTTATGAGCTTCACTATAGTGGACTTGGATCTTTCGTATCTCATTGATGGTTGTGTGGTATGCATCTTCGATTGTTTACATTGACTTGTTTATATCTGCCTCCTAAAGATTAATCCAAAGTGGCTAAGCACACATTAAAAAGTGTGTCTCCTGTGCTTACATTAATCCACAGCATGGTGTGTTTGCTATAGTCCAATGCATGCAGTGTTAACCCCTCCCCTTGAAGTCTCCCCGCAATCCTGTGTCTACCAGGGGCTGTCCTGTGGGAAAGGTTCTGTGAGAACACGGAGGCAGACAAAGGTTTCGTACACATTACCACTTACTCCTACTCCAGCGCTCTCCCACCGCTGGTGTCCATGTGCTTTCTTGAGAAACACGGTTGCTTGATGCATTTCCCATCTGATTTGAATATATAAACTATTGCTATGCTGAGGTGTATACTTTTCAGACATTTCTTGTGCCTGTGCAGATGACAGCGTATGTGCAGTTGGCAGTTTCATTGAGTAGCAGTTTGGGGTGCATGAGTTGCAGGCATGGGGAAACAAACCTGGTAGTGGTGTGTACAGCAGCTTAAAAAAAGCAACTTGAAGCACAGGGGGAACTACTCCCACTGTGTTTTAAGCCACTAATGTGCACATGCCCAAAGAAGACAGCAAATCTGGCTCCTGTCCCAGCTCCCTTTGCCCCTCACACAATTATTGACCACCAATTTTCTGTTGCAAGGATCCTGACAACTCTTTTACACATTGATCATTGTCTTGCGACATTAATGTTGTTTGTAAGCCATCATGGAAGGAATTGCTTCCTGAAAGGTGGGGTATAAATCATTGTTGCAATGATGACCACACTTCTAGGCATTTTTCAAGCTATGCTGTCTTTCCTTTTCCCTACACCATATGCAGCAGTTTCTGTGCTAAAAAGCACATGTGTGCGTGCTTGTTTCTTGGCTTTCGGGGAGTGGTTGTCTTGTAAGAGCATCTTGAAGCTGTAGGTAGACACTTCTGCCTCTTGATGTGGCCAAAGCATGATATTTAATTTATTTGGAACCTAACAGCCGTCACTGTCAGTTGTTGGTACAAGAGAAGCTAAATAAAAATTAACACAGAACAAGCACAAAAAACTAATAGCAGCATTAAGCAGTTACAGAAAGTTACAGAAAAAAACACATTTAGGCAGTAAAGACAATATACTGGAGAATAAAAACACTGTTGGTATAGGAACCTGGTCAACCATCAGTTTTACAGGAAAGCCAATTCACAGAGAGCCTAGGAACACGGGAATCTGTCTTGCACCAAGTCAGGCCAGTCTAGCTCAGAATTGTCTACATCAGTGTTTCCCAAACATGGGTCTCCAGCTGTTTTTGGACTACAACTCCCATCATCCCTAGCTAGTAGGACCAGTGGTCAGGGATGGTGGGAATTATAATCTGAAAACAGCTGGAGACCCAAGTTTGAGAAACGCTGGTCTACACAGTTAGGCAACAGTGGCTTTCCAGGGTCTCAGGCAGGGCACATGCCCAGTGCCGCCTGTAGATGGTGGGGATTGAACCTGGGACCTTCTGCATGCAGAGCAGGTGCTCTTCCGCTGAGCTAGAGACCGTTCCTTTCATGGGAAAGATGGAGGATGGTTTCCCCCGGTCCTCCTAAGTAGGCTGGTAGCAAGACCTGTTGCTGCAGCAACTACCACACCATGGTACTGCACTGCAAGAAGATGCTGCTTGGGGAGATGGAACTTGGCCCTCTACTTGCCAATCATAATTTAAGAAGAGCCATTGTGGATTGGGCCCAAGGGGCAATCTAATCTAGCATCCTCAGTCCCTCATAGTGCCCTCCGGATGCCTCTAGGGAAGCCCACAAGCAGGACAGGAGAGCCACAGCTTTCTCTCACTGTCAGTCTCCCAGCAATACCCTTTTAGAAGTAGACTGCCTCTGAACATGGAGGTTCCATTTGAATATCATGATTTCTCATGACCATCTTTTTTCTCAGTGCGGTAAGGCACTATCTAGCCCTTGTGGTTCATTTCTCTCTTAAGCAAAGTCCCTTGGCTTGCTGATCGTGATTTTTTTCAAGAGACACGAACCACAGTCGGTGAATTCCGTAAGCACGGCAGCCTGAAGATTAACAAGCCCAGCCCACTCATGTTTTTCAGAAGCTGCCGTAAGTGCTCATCCTTCCCTTTTTCTGGGTCATTTATATTCTACTAAATATCTGATGTATGCTTGTTTTGGTTTCTGTGCATGTGTTACAGATAAATAAGATATTGCCTCACCGCATGTAACACAAGTGTTTGTTGCTGTGGTTGAGAATAGCTGTGCCAAGTGGGGAGGCTGTGAGCTCAATCTTCCCACCCCTGCAATCTTAATTTGTGGGATAATTGTTGTCAGTAGCTTTTATCCATGTTAAGTAGAGGACCAGGCTAATTTCCTGGATGGTGGGAATACCATGCAATCTGTATCTGTCCTGCTACATAAGCCGCCCAGGAGGGCATCACTCCTATCAGCGACCATAAAGCAACTAACTGCACCTTTTGGATCACGTGCATTGCCCCGCATAGAGCTCATTGCAGCCATCCAGGTTTGAAGTAACCAGTGCCTGAACTACTGTGGCCCAGTTTCCCCAGTCCAGGTTGCAGCTGTCGTAACCAGTTGCAGTTGGTAAAATTCACTTCTAGCCATTCATGTTACCTGGACCTCCAGGGACAAAGCTGGATCCAGAAGCAGCCCCAGACTGTGAACCTGCTCCTTCAGGAAAAGAATGGACCAATTGCTTGGACCTGGGAACCCTTCGCCCACAGTGCCTCCGCCTTGCCAAGATTCAAGCTCAGCTTGTTTCTCCTCATCCCATCTCACCACTGCGTCCAGGGCGCTGGTTCTAGGGCTTGCATGGCCTCTCCTGGATAAATAGAGCCGATAAATCAGCATACTGATGGCACCTTGCCCCCAAACTCCTAATGACTGCTCCCAGCGGCTTCATATAGAAATTAAATAGCGTTGGAGATGAGATAGTGCCCTGCGGCAGGCGCCCCATTCATTATGCACATCAAAAAGAGAGCTGAACGGTATAGTTGCCTCTATCCCGAGTCAGAGAATTGGCCTCTCACTTTGAAGGCAGCAGCTCTCAGCAAAGACTGCCAGACCCGTTATTGGTGCATTTCAGGGGGTTGGATTAGATGACCCTTTGAGTCCCAACTCTACAGTTCTGTGATTCCTTTTTATTAACTGCAGATGTTGGAACCTGGAACCCTCAGGATGCAACACAAGTTCTTTGCCACAGAATTGTGAGCCCTTGAGAGAGTTCTTCCCGGGTAGTTGTGTGTAGGCTTATTTGCATGGCTGATTTTATTTTGCACAAAGCCTCTGGACTCTGCTACCGTCAACAGCTATGACATTTTGCAGACTGTTAAGTTTGGCTTTGAAAGTTGTTGAGATGTGCATTTCACTTTAGTCAGTGTCCATGCTGCCTGAGACCTTTCTCATTTAAGAATCCAAAGAAGGAAGCTTTTTTCCCTTTCTTTTTCAAAGCGTATTCTCAATCGGGCAGGAAATGGGATATGTGTGAACTGCAGACTTGGCTGCCACAAGAGATGTTGTTGGCTTCAAATAATTGAAATATGTTTGGCAACGCCATGAATATTAGGCACGTACTTTCCCTCTGGGATAAAGTTACCGCCCTTGAACCTTGTTGCAAAGCGCAGCGTGAGAGCTGCCACTGGGGTGAAATTTCACCTTCCCGGCTCAAGTGACCAGGCAGTTTGAACAGAGCCAGGTTAGACAGGTGAGTTGAACTGTGGCTGGTAAGTTTCTCTGGTGCTGTTTAGGCCCCCTGGTTGTTAGAAGAGGGTAGGGGCAAACTGGGAGTGTGAATTCCTCCCCTTTTGTAACTTAGATCCCCCCCCCCCCGCAACTTATGCTTAGCTGGTTTCAAGAACATGATGCAAACACATGCAAAAGCTTAGATCTCCTTTTGATGTGTCACAGCTGCCTGAGAGAAGGCTGCTGGCTGAAACCAGAATGATGATGTTGTTGTTGTTGTTAGAATTTATACACCACCTTTCATTTGAAGCAGAAAATACCAAGGTGGTTCACAAAAAGATAAAGACATCAGCGAAACGACAACAACAAAACCAGTAATGACACAGCTGCCCACAATTAATTAGAATGCATTGTAAAACAGCTGCATTAAAACATCCACGATTAAACTATATAGTAAACAAGCCCATCAAAGCAGCATCGCAATTAAGACATGAGTCTTAAGCGGGGAAGCGTTTGTCTGAACAGGTGTATGTTCAAGAGCTGGTAGAAGGCCAGTGCTTGATGGGGCCTCCTTTATTTCAGCAGGTAGAGCATTAAGCAACACTGGTGCCACCACTGAGAAAGCCCACCTCAGTGTTACCACAAGCAGATAATCATCAGGCTATGGCAAAATCAATCGTCTTAATGCCTTACCAGGCAGTGGTGGGAAATGGCACCTTTTGGTTAACCAGGTCCAGAGTTAAGCTCTTTCCTTCCTCCTGGAAAGACCTGCCTCCATCTTTCCAGTGTATCTTGAGGCCGTTATATATTTTTTGGGGGGTGGGGAATAACTTGTGTTTTAATGGGGCAGAGCGCTGGTGGGCTTTGAATCTTAACCTTGATGAATTGAGGAGAGGGCCCAAACTTACAAGAATGAGTCCTATAGAGTATGCATGAATACCCAACGATCTTTGTGACTTCACTCTGAAAGGCAGACACTGTATATAATATCACATCGGTGTTGGTTGTTATCGGGTGCTTTATTGGCCATAGAGCTATTCGCCGTAAGGTTTTAAAATCCTTTCACGTTCATGTTGCAAATGCGTGGTTCTCAATTTAGTGCTGTTTTGTTTTTGTTTTTTAATTCTTTCGGATGGCTTCTTTGCCAAAGATGGACCAGGTGCTTCCCACTGTTCCTCAGCCCATGCAACAGCTGTGCAGTTCTGCCCCCCCCCATTGAACTGACCTGGCGAGCTCTTCCACAGTCACCATGTGCATGTCTCGTTTTGCACCTGGAGAGGCGAGCGGGTTATCTGAGCCTGTTAACCAATCCGAGGAGGAAAGTTTATGCTGTGCCATTTGCAACCTGCCCTTGACCCGGTTTTGAGCTACGCGCCTGCATCGCTTAATGCTTCTCAATTGGGGTTCTAGGATGGCTCCTGGCGCCTCTGCTCTGTTGGCTGTCTGAGATCTGTAGGTATCAATTATGTGTGTTAACCCAGCATGCTGGCTTATGGGAGTTGTAGTCCAAAATATCTGGAGGGCATGATGGACTGGCCTATGACTATGTTAAGAGGAGGTAGTTGGAGGGAGGGGGCGCAGGTCACTTCCATTCAGTTTTCTCTTCTGTCATATCCAGGCCTCATCTGCACCATACATTGAAAGCACTATTTAAACAGTTGTGGCTTCTTCCTAAAGAATCCTGGGAAACTGTTGTTTGTTAGGGGTGCTGAGAGTTAGGAAACCCATATTCCCCTCCCAGAGTTCCCTGGGAAAAGGAATTGATTGTTAAACCACTTGAGAATCGTAGCACTGTGTGTATTGTAATTTGTAAAGATGGCACGCACCCATAGGAGGTGAAGCCAGAGCAGTCATTCATACATTCACCTAGTCATTCACTAGGCAGGTTCTTTCATACTCTCTGTACTGGAAGTTACTGAGCAGTGAGCAATGACTGAAAAGAGCCAACTTCATGAAGGCAAATGGGCAGTTGCTGTTGCGGATAGATGCATGTGTGTCTCAGGAGCCTTCGAAACAAACAAGCAGATAGAGGTGTGTGAACTTAGTACTGAGGCTGGTTTAGGAATGACCAAAGGTATTGTTAAGGAGATGTGGAAAGCTACCCCAAACTGCAGGAAGCTGGTGCCTCTTTGGTTGCAGTGTTGGAGCAGAGAAGGCTGAGTTGAGGTCTGGCAGCTCTGGGTAAGGGATAAAGGAAAGAAGAGTTAGAAGTGAAAGAATCTCCCAGTTAGAGAAGCATGAGATTCTGGTAAGTGCTTTCCCTTCTGCCTCGCAGATAATAGTCCCTCCCACCAGCCTGTGATGAAAAGGAACCAAAAGTATTTTCCTGCAAGTGGCGTGGGGCTTTCCCTTTCTAGGCTTTTTTACTTCTAGGCAATGCTGCAATGAGCTTGCAAGAGAGGGGGAGGAAGCACTCATCATCGGTTTCTCTCCCCACCTAAAGTCCCCCCCCCAACCCTAAAGCTAATAGCTTTACCTCCGGCCCATCCCTCTGTCTGTAACTAGACACTCCTTGGGCGGAACAGCATAGAGGGAGGCTGGACCTCCGGAGAATTGAAAGCGAAACTTATCTGGCAGTTATGTTAAGTGAGTGATCCAGCCTGCCTGCTGTACTGTGGAGAGAGAAGGGAGGAGGATAGTGGGGTGTTTGTGTAATTCTGGCAGAGTCCTTGCTTTGTGGCGAGCCTTTCCTTCTCCCCCACCACCCACGGGTGTCTGTGTCTCTCATAGTGGGGGACACACACACCTCCTCTTTCTTCTCTTCCCTTGCCCCCACCTTGTTCTGGGGAAGGCCTTCTCTTCGCAGAGCTTTCCCCCTCTTTTTTTGTTTCTTGCTATCTATGCAATGCCTGGTTCTTACCAGCGTGGAACAAAAAGAGGTAAGACTATCCGATTTCCCTTATCTATACCTGTTTTACCAGTTGCCTCCCCTTGAAATGCCTGGAATTCCCTCTGCTACCCCTCAACCAACCAACCCCCCCCCCCCGCCTGCCTTGTTCCCTTGTAACTCCTGAAATTGGGGTAGTTAGGGTTTGAACAGAGGGTATTCTGGAAAGGAATATAGCTCCCTCTCTATGGGCTTCAAAACTGCCGAAAACCCCAGAGAGCCACTGCCAGTCAGTGTAGGCATTGCTGAGCTAGCTGGACCAATGTTCTGACTTCTCATAAAGCAACTTCCTGTTCTCCCAGAGAGTAGAAGACGCTTAATTTGGTTGCTGCAAAAAGAGTCTTGTGGTGCCTTGAAAGATAACCCATCCCATGTCTCCATACCATAGTAAATTTGTGAGTCTGAAAACACCACAGGTCTCTTTCTTTGTGTGTGGGTACTGTGACAAACTGAAGCCACAATACTGTACCTGCTTTCCTGGTGACGAAGCCCCTGTGAACTTGGTGGGGCGTGCTGAATGTGATCCTGTACATCTAGGAATGTAAAAGGATTGCTTTGCCAGGCTGCAGTCTTGCTAGCACTTGCTTGGGAGTAAGTTCTGTTGAACTCAGTGAAGTTTGCTTTCGGATAGACCCGGCTGGGATGGCCTTAACAGGGCTACCCCTCTTAAGGATTTCTTTTTCATCGACTGAAGGGAAGATATAACTGTTATGTTGGTTCTGTGGGTTAGAACAAGGTGGTTGTTTTTATTTTTTAAAAAAAAGTTTGGCGCTCCAACATCAGTCATATATTTTTCCAAATCTGCCTCTTGGAGAGGAGTTTTGAAGGCCAGGGGTGGTCAGTTTTACAGCTGTACTGAGCCAAATAGACTCTGAAACTGTAAACAGACTCTGCTGACAAACCCAATTTGCAGCTGGGTTTAATGACAAAAATCTCACATATGTATAGACTGGGGAAAACCCCAGTCATTTTGGTTTACAAGTATTTCATCCTGGCATCTGGAATCTTAACTCTGCCCCAGGGTTGTTCCTCTTAACTATTTTCTAAAGGTCTCCTTGCCATTCTGCTATGAAGCTGCTCTTAATCCGGCCCCAACCATATCACCACAAACACAGGCAATATGGCTGTACAGGGAAAGGTGGGCTATGGGATGGTTTTCCTTTTAAGAACATGAGGAGAGCTCAGAGTGGCCTGCCTGGTCCAGCATCTTGTTCACACCGTGTCCGAACACATGTCGACGAGAAACGCACAAGCATTAGCAAAGCTCTGCACCTGCAGTTTGCAGCAACTGTTAACTCAGGACATGCTTCCTCCCACAGGCTTAGCAGCCACCGATGGCCTCATTCTCCCTGAATTTGTCTATCACTGCCACCTGGGGGAGTGGATTCCATAGTTTAACTCTGAACTGATGGGAAGAAGTGCTTCCGTTCTTTCCCCCTGAATCTCTTTTACTATGTGCTGGGAAGTAAAATCGCACAACTCTTGCCCAAGAAACCCTGAATCAAGCTGAACATACCTTGCGTTGAACTGTGTTTGGGAGACTCGTTCTCCATCCCAGGCTCATCTGTAGATCTCCCCTGACCTTAGTGCCTTAAGCCAGTCTCCTCCTCTGATAAGGGAGCGCAGGTCTTCAGTAGCTGTAGAGGAGGCGTCCACTCTATCTGACGGGAGCTTCTTCCCGTCGTCAGGTGTTGTCTTTTGGGAACTGGGGCAGAGGGACTGGTTCGGTAGAAGTGCGTCGGCTCCCCCGAGCGTGTATCCGAGGTCTGAAACGTGCCCTGTTCTCTTGTTTTCTCTTTGCCAGGCCTCTGCGCAGCAGCCCCCGTGAGAGCAAGCCGCAGCTGCCTCTCGTCTGGTGCCCATGTGCCCGCCCCCAGCCCTGCGCCCCAGCAGCACGCTATGAGCAGAGGTGTCACTCGAGGCAGAGGTTCAGATCAGGTGCCCCCAAAACATAGCGGCCTCTCTAACCCAGCTTTCTTTAACGGTCCTCTTGTCCCGCAGGGAGGCGAGGATTTTCGGCAGCGGCAGGTCCTCTTCCTAAACGGGCAGCTCGCTGAAGCCCCGCTGTGGCAGCCCCGGGCGCAGCGACCCCAACTGTACCAGGGCTACCACCGAGGTCCAGGCACCTTCTCACCTCCCCAGAGCTCCCAGCACAGCAGTTGGGGCGCAGCCAGGAGGCTTCCTTGCAACAGTAGCTGGCAGGAGCAGAAGCAGCTTCCCCAGCCCCCCCGGCCGAGGTACAGCGGCAGTTCAAGGAGGGAAGTTGACGGGCTCATCACAGACTTACGGCACCTGACGCTCTCCGGCCAAGGAGTTGAGCAGCGGCTCTTGGAGATCTTGGGGCAGCTCCGACCTGGGGAGGCCGAATCTGCCCGCTGCCTTGCCCGTAAACTCGAAGTGCAGAAGAAGGAGGTCAATCATCACCTCTACAGGCTTCTTACGCGAGGGCAGTTGTGCAAAATAGGGGAGCACCCTCCGTTGTGGAGGTTAGCAGACAGCCCTAGGCCCCAGGGAGCGTTGAGAGAAGGGAACTCCGCCGGCCAGAGGGGCCAGGGCCGATTCCCAGTTCCTGGGGTTGGAGGAGGAGGAGAAGAGAGCTCTGCCTCTGACCCAGAGGACTATCCCGATTCCGCTGCCATGGCCGAGGTCAGGGAGAAGATCTGCAACTACCTGTTCAGCGTCGCGGACTCGACGGCGCACGACCTTGCCAAAAACATCGGCCTCTCCAAGGCCCGGAACGTGAACTCCACCCTGCTGTCCTTGGAGAAGCTGGGGGAGGTGTGCAAGGAGAACGCCAACCCCCCTAAGTGGTCCCTCACGGACAACAAGCGCAAGAGGATGCAGAACAAGCAGAAGGCGGAAGAGGTCAGGGAAATGGCCGCCCCTGCTCCAAAACCGGACCCCGACCCTCCGACCCCATGCACGGAACCGGAGCTGCCCGCCAGCTTGCCAGCTCCTCCTCTTCCTTCCCCTTCCCCGCCTCCTCCTCCTCCGCCGCCGCCGCCGCTTCTAGAGAGTGAGGAGGAGAACGTCGAGAACGGGCAGCAGGTGTCGTCGGAGCCAGCGGAGCAGGGAGACGCTTGCTCTCCCCGGGCGGCGGCCCCCCCTCCTCGCAAGCGGCCCCGGTACCACTGGTTCCCCAACTACGACAACTTTGAGAACGGCAAGTGGGCCACCGACGACATCCCGGAGGACCTGAATGCCATCAACAACCAGGACGAGGAGTCCCGGTGCATCATGGAGTCCCCGCTCTCCCCCAGCTACGCGGCCCAGTTCGACACGGCCTTCCTGTGCACTCCCTTGGAGAAGCTCATGGCGTGCCAGAAGAAGAACCCCGTCAGCGGCTTGATCGAATACACCCAGTACACCTACCAGCATTGCGAGTTCGTCTTGCTGAAGCAGAGCGGGCCGTCACACGAGCCACGGTAAGAGAGGAGAGAGGGAGTGCTTTCTGGGGAGGGGGTTGTTCTTGCTCAGTGTTTATGCGTTTGTCTCGGACTGTGCAGGTCATTGGCAAATATGTTAAAATATGTTAAAAAGAAAAGTTTTCTCCGAAAGGAGAAGGGGATTACTTTTGCTCAGGTTACGTTTCAATGCATTTGCCTCGGCTTTGTACAAGTCACTGCAGACATTAAAAAGAGCAGTTTTCTTTAAAGCAAGAGATGTGAATTGGTTAAAATGCTAGTGTGATTGCAACTGGTTTAAGATTGTGTGTTGCCCCTCTTCCTTTCACAACTGCTTTTGCGTATTACTCTGCCCCATAGGTTACAAAAGCCTCTTAATAAGCAGGCAGATGAGATATATTTCAAGGCTTCCCTTAAAAAGGAAAGAAAGACTGTTTGTTTTAGCACTTTAAATGCAGGAATCTCTGTCCTTTCTTTCTTTTACAAAACACATTCTTCTCATATTAACAATTCGAGTGATGACACAGCAGTCTCTGCTGAATAATCTAATAATGTCCCACAGCCCCAAGTCCGTCTAAATTTAGTTAGTAAGCTCTGTGGAGCAAGGACTCGCCGTCTTTTAAAAACTCCACACAACGCTGAGATGCTGGTGTCGAAACCCTGATCTTCGTGTGTGGCGATCGGTTTCCGCCTTCAGGGCTCTGAAGTTGGGGAGCGCAGGACAGAGGAACGAGCATGAATGGGCAGCAATAGGAAGGTCTCGTTTCTGCTTGCTACATCTCCTCCTTCAGGCCTGCGAAACAGCCACTTTCAATTTAAGAATCGCTTCCCACTGCCAGGCAGCGAAAGCCTCAGGGGGAAGGAGGAAGACTCAGCTAAGCGAGAGTAAAATGCAGAACCCAACCACCTGCATGCTGAATGCATTTCTCCTTCCTCTCTCTCTGTGTCTCTCTGTCTCCAAATTTGAAAAGCGGTGCTTGGCGTGAGCTCTGCAGTCCCCTTTAGAGCCACATTCCACCATGGGCAGTCTTCCTGGGGCCACGTGCAAGCAGTGGGTGAAGCCAGAGGTGAAAGTGAGCAGGAAAAAGGCATGCGAAAATCGGGGAGTTTCTACACCCACCTACCCACATCATTCAGGCGAGCAAGAAGCATTGCTGAAGTTCAAAGGCACATTCTGTCCCGACAAAAGCACTTGAAGAGGGTGCATGGAAGGGGGGGATCAGCCTGGGGAGGGGGATGTAGCCTGGGAGGTGCCCTGGGGGGCAGATAGAGAGGCCTGGAGGGTGACATTTGGCCCCCAAGCCTGAGGTCCTCCACCTCGGCTTTAGAATAGCAAATCTTCAGCTGCAGTTCCAAAGGGGGGGGGGTAAGCCCGCTGTGTGGCTAATTAGTAGTTTTGCACTAGGCAAATATTATGCCCCATAAGTTCCTGTATGGCTGGAGGAGTTCCACGCTGTCTGCTTCTGGCAGGGAGCATCTGTTGCCATGTGGGGGGGACCCGGAGCGTTCCTCTTCCCTCCCTCTGGCGCATCGCTCTGAACAGTTGGGTGGGTTGGATTTTATTTTTACGTTCTTGCTTGGCTGCTCTTTATAGCCACTGTGTTTTTAGAAACACACACACACGAGTCTCTTTCTGTCTCACTCCTTGCCTTTTCTAGGCACCAGCAGAGTGTGTGTGCCACCCTCTGGTACATCAATAGACCCGCTAGACAGGAAAATTGGCCTACTTTTTTCCATGAGAGCAGATTCTTCCCATGCAAAGGAGCCGGGAAAGACAAGCTGTGAGGACGGGGAGCTTGAAACCGCTATGGGATGTTTGGCTCTGTAGTCTCTGTTGCTACCTGGGCCAGTGGAGGCTGGTCCACTTGAACGTATGGGGCTTTGCCCTGCCAACCTCATTCTGCCCCCTCAGCCAGCTCTCACCTGCCTGCCCCTCTTTCTTGCATCTGGCTTCCTCCCACTTAGCCTCAGTGTTGCCCTTGTAGATCTCAGCAGGGAGGGTGGCTGTGGCAAAGCAGAAATTGGCCGGCGCCACCTACTGTTGGGCTCCCTACCTTCGGCCCTACAAGCCCCAACAACGGGTCAGCAAGCTTTTTCAGCAGGGGGCCGATCCACTGTCCCTCAGACCATAGTTTTTTGGGGAAAATGAAAGAATTCCTACGCCCCACAAATAACCCAGAGATGCATTTTAAATAAAAGGACACATTCTACTCACGTAAAAACACACTGATTCCCGGACCATCCGCAGGCGATTGGACCGGATCCATGGGTAGGCCTTATTTTGTCTACCCATGCCCAACAAGCACCTGCCACCATCAGCCGGGGCCTTTTTCTTCCTTGTCTTGCTTGTAGTGCTGCCGCAGTTTGAAACTGGGTTCCTTGGGAGTTTTAGTTTTTGGGGTGGGATGGGGCTTCCTCCAAAGAGAAAATCTGCAATGGCAGTCCAGCTTCCCTGAAAGAGAACTGCTAGCACGTTCTCAAAACAGGGTCCAGTGTGGTTCCAAATTGGACGGGGGAACCGCATGTTGATATTCCTACATTTCAAGGGGTTGGGCTAGTTGAGCTATGGGGGGCCCCTTCCAACTCTACGATTCTATGATTCACCTGGCAGCCTCTTTGTCTTGGCAGTGCACAGCCACAGAAGAGGGCTGGGCTTCTTCTAAGGGTACTGTTCCTTAGAACAGAGAGGCCTAGCCAGCTAGCAAGCTTTTAGAGCATGCCCCACAATTTTTGCTGTGCCCACAAGGAGGAAGGAGTTCTCCAAAGGCGCAAGACAGTGGTGGGGGATATCTCTGGCCTTCCAGCTTTCATTGGGACTCCTAGATCCCCACAGCCTTGGCCAGCATGGCCAGTGCTCGAGTGCTGGTTCTGCCACTCCTGGTGTAAGTGCTGCACCAATAAAAAGGTAAAGGGACCACTGACCATTAGGTCCAGTCGTGACCGACTCTGGGGTTGCGGCGCTCATCTCGCTTTATTGGCCGAGGGAGCTGGCGTACAGCTTCTGGGTCATGTGGCCAGCATGACTGAGCAGCTTCTGGCAAACCAGAGCAGCGCACAGAAACGCCATTTACCTTCCCACCAGAGCGGTACCTATTTATCTACTTGCACTTTGATGTGCTTTCGAGCTGCTAGGTTGGCAGGAGCAGGGACCGAGCAACAGGAGCTCACCCCGTCGTGGGGATGAATCAAGGGGATGCAGCTAAATTAAGACTTAATTGATGCAATGGTAGGATACACACGGTTTAAACGGAGCCAGCGTACAGCTTCCGGGTCATGTGGCCAGCATGACTAAGCCGCTTCTGGCAAACCAGGGTAGCGCACGGAAACGCCGTTTACCTTCCCGCCAGAGTGGTACCTATTTATCTACTTGCACTTTGACGTGCTTTCAAACTGCTAGGTTGGCAGGAGCAGGAAACGAGCAACGGGAGCTCACCCCATCGCGGGTATTCGAACCACCGACCTTCTGATCGGCAAGTCCTAGGCTCTGTGGTTTAACCCACAGCGCCACCCAACCCACAGCCAAATTACAGTTTCCAGGAGTCTTCCGGGGGAATCCCAACTGTTAAGGGTGCTGAGAGTCATTAGGAGAGCAACTCCTTCCTAACAAAACCTATTTGTAGAGGCAGACGGCTTGGAAAGGAGAACCAGTGTTCTGTAGTTGTCAGCATCGGACTTGGGACCATAGAAGCCGAGGCTCAAATCCCTGCTCATCCAGGACGTCCGCTGGGCTAATCACACACTCTCGAGGCCTAACTGTGTGGTTATCACTGCGAGGATAAATTGGGTGTCGGGCGAGGGGCACATACACTGCCTTGAAGCTCCTTGGACATAAATGTGATAAATAATGGCGCCAGATTCACTGATTAGCACACATCCTCACCATTTTGTGCCTTGTGTGTTTTGGTCAAGGTTTAAATTCCAGGCGGTGATCGATGGTCGCCGGTTCCCCCCAGCGGAAGCAGGCAGCAAGAAGTTGGCCAAGCAGGAAGCAGCCGCCCACGCCATGAAGATCCTCTTGCGCGAAGTCGAGCACGAAGGGGAGGATGGCATGGAGCTGGAGAAATCCTTATATGAGGACAGTTCTCTCAGCGAAGCAGAACTGGTGAGAGCGGCTCCCCACCCACCCCAGTAGCAGGCAGGGGCCAAAAGTAGAGCTCTCTGGAGCTACCATTTCTGTGAAAAGCGGCTCCACCACAATCCGATTTCCATATAGATTTATTTTCTCACAATGGAAGTGGCCCAGCTTCTTCTACTTGTTGTTGATCTGTAATAATTAGGTGGTAGATCTGCGTTAGGGTTTTTTTGGGGGGGTATGTTTTTTGTTTCTTAATGGTTGTTGTAAACCATTTTGATGTTTCTTGAGAAACTGTGGTATAAACACACATACGCATCCCTACCTTTTAGTCGATTGTTGGGAATGCTGCCTCTGTCAGTGGAGAACATAGTCATCAAGGTTAGCCCAGAAAGGGTGTTGTTTAGTGATAACAACGGCAAAATGACAAGAGGATTCGGATATTTAATTTGGCACAACTTACCTGAGAATCAACTTACCTGAGAATCTTAAGGGATGCGGGTTAAACCACAGAGCCTAGGACTTGCCAATCAGAAGGTCGGCAGTTCGAATCCCCTTGATGGGGTGAGCTCCCGCTGCTCGGTCCCGGCTCCTGCCAACCTAGCAGTTCAAAAGCACGTCAAAGTGCAAGTAGATAAATAGGTACCACTCTGGCGGGAAAGTAAATGGCGTTTCCGTGCGCTGCGGCTTAGCCCTGCTGGCCACATGACCCGGAAGCTGTACGCCGGCTCCCTTGGCCAATAAAGTGAGATGAGCGCTGCAACCCCAGAGGCAGCCACAACTGGACCTGATGGGCAGGGGTCCCTTTACCTTTACCTGAGAATCTTCTGCTATTCTATTTTATTTAATGCAACAAATAATTTTAGTAGCTGTGACTGTGGTTTTATTGTATGTGTGGCGCCTGATGATTTTTATGTTTTGGGGGTTTTTGGGGGTTTGTTTGTTTTTTGTTCTCCTTCTGAATGATGCCGTGGCCTACGGCTAGTGCAATAAAAAGTTGGTCAAAAAAATATATATATAGCAAAATGATTTTCCCCCACCTCCTTAAATTAGGCTGCAAAAATGAAGAAAGCTAGCCAGGTATGGACTCAGGTGTGAAAGGATTTTGAGCCGAGTTCAGTACTGTTGAATATAGATCCTAAGGTCATGAGCATGAGGCACCCTGTCCTTTTAATTCTTCACTGTTGGTCTTCGCACCTGACTCTGGTAGGCAGACCATGGGGTTGTAGTAAACCGCAAAATACAGCGGTGCCCCGCAAGACGAATGCCTCACAAGACGAAAAACTCGCTTGATGAAAGGGTTTTGCGTTTTTTGAGTCGTTCCGCAAGACGAATTTCCCTATGGGCTTGCTTTGCAAGACGAAACGTCTTGCGAGTTCTTGCAAGTTTGTTTCCTTTTTCTTAAAGCCGCTAAGCCGTTAATAGCCGCTAAGCCGCTAATAGCCATGCTTCGCAAGACGAAAAAACCGCAAGACGAAGAGACTCACGGAACAGATTAATTTCGTCTTGCGAGGCACCGCTGTAGATCTGTCTTGCCTGATGTCTGCCCGCCCCTGCTGTAGTCTCTCCCCCACCCCCTGGGAAATTATCCACAAGCCCCTGGGGTTCTGCAACAGGCTAGTCAGTGGGGGAGGGTCTCCCCCAGGCTAGGGTGCCTGAAACTGCAGCCCTGTGAGCCAAAATTTTGCCTCTGGGGAGAAGTTGGGGTCAGTGGAAGTTTTGTTGAGGGTGGTGGTCAGCTGGCTTTTACAGCCATCCTTTCATTTGCATTTTAAATTGCATTTTAACCTGTATTTTAAATTGTGGGGGTTTTTTGGTTTGTTTTTTACTGTAATTTTACTAGTGTTAGCCGCCCTGAGCCCAGCTGTGGCCGGGGAGGGCAGGGTATAAATAAAATTTTTTATTATTATTATTATTTCCTCTTCTGGGCACCAGGAGCATAATTTCCCATTGGTGCCCCCCCCCGCCCTAAGTTGCCAAACCAGCATGGTGCTTCAGTGAGAGAGATACTGAAACAAAACAGCAGAAAGAGCCCCACTCTGCAGCGTCCTGGTACAACCCCTTCTTTATTTCCTCCTCTCTTCCTTCCTTCCTTCCCTCTCCAGCCTGAGCAGACAGAGTCAGAGGCTTTGTCTACAACGCAACAGCTGAATGTGCTTTCTGGGAAGAACCCCGTCAGCGCCCTGATGGAATACGCACAGAAGTCGGGGAGCGTCTGCGAGTTCCAGCTGCTCTCTCAGGATGGCCCTCCCCACGATCCCAAGTAGGTCGCGACTCGCGTTCAGAAGCGTGTGAAGCTCACAGCGTGGCGAAGCCCTAGGCTGCTGTTGCTCTCTGGGGAATAGACCAGGACACAGGCACCACCTTTGGTTTTTTTTGGGGGGGTGAGGATGGAGGGAGGGCTTGTTTCTTTATTGCAAGAGTCCCCGAGGATGTTTGCGCACGCACATCATCACCACCGGGAAAACCTCTTGTTTCTCCTTGTGCTGTATTCAAAACCTGCCAAGGAGTCCAGATCATTTTGTTGTCTTTTAAAGTAATTTGTAGAAAGTTCCCATTCTTCCTTGAAGTCACTGTTGTCCTTTTCACGCAGTTTATATGTCAGTTTTGCCAATTCCGCATAGCTCATCAGTTTTTCTTGCCACTGTTTTTTCGTTGGGATTTCCTCATTCTTCCATCCTCGTGCTAACAAGACTCTTGCCGCTGTTGTAGCATACATAAATAAGTTCTTTATTTTTCTTGGCAGGTCTTGTCCTACAATCCTTAACAAAAATGCTTCTGTTTTTTTTGCCCTGGGTTCTGTTTATTGACTGTGCAAGAGACAAAGCTCTCGGGGCTCGCTGCTAAAGATCAAAAACATTCTTGGCGGTCTTGCTTCAAGAGGCCTGACTTAATCTCTTTTAATTGCCTCTCCTGAGCCCCTTCATTCACTAGGGCAGGTGTGGGAAGCCTTTGGCCCTCCAGATGTGGCTGTGTGGCAGTTCTTATCAGCTCTAGCCATCATGACTCGTGGGCAGGGATGATGGGGACTGTAGTTCAGCCACACCTGGAGGCCAAAGGTTATGAGAGCACCCAGCCCACTAACCAGCTTTCGTCAACCGGGTGCCCTCCAGGTGTTTTGTACTCCAGCTCCCATCAGCGCCAGCTAGCGTGGCAAACAGGTCGTGGATGATGGTAGTTGTAGGCCTCCAATTTTTGGAGGGCCACAGGTTGAGGTAGGTTGGAATCAGCCTTGCCTTTGCTTCCCCCCCAAAAAAGCAGCAGTTATCTCAAAGGGGGACAGTCTAGGTTATAATATTTGACTAGCTTGGTTTAGGTTATAGTATTTAGCAGTGTGCTGGGCTCTGCACAAAATGCAGAGGAAGGTATTGGCTATGTCCAGTGGCTTGTCTGTCTAAAAGGAACTAAAATCAAGAAACATGGTGTTTTTTTGGGGGGGGGGGGGGACAGGCTTCCTCTCCTTTTTCTGTTCAAAGGGAGTGGGGGTTCTGGAAAAGACCCAGGCTCCACCTGCCTTCCTGCTGCAACCACTTTCTGTGTGATCTACCTTCAGTCTCAATAAGCCCATGAACTCTCTGTCTTCCCCTTTTCCTTCGATCAGGTTCAAGTACTGCGTGAAAGTGGGCGAACGCGTCTTCCCTGCCGTGGTATCGAACAGCAAGAAGGGAGCGAAGCAGATGGCCGCCGAGGCCGCCATGAGGGGCCTCACTGGGGACACCAGCACCTTACCTGAACAGGTATCCTTGTTGTTTATTGTTTCTTAAAGGTATAGACCGCCCCATACCCATAGATCTCAGGGCGGTTCGCAACGTAAAATCACAATATGAAAAACGCTCAGTACGTCATGAAAATGAGAACCGAGACAGGTCTCCCGGCCTCCTCTGTGCGCCGCGCTCCCTGGCCTCGATCCAGCCTCCTCATCAGCCTCTTTCTCTGTTTCCTTGGTGACTTTTTCAGACAGAGGCCCAGGGTGACCAGCCTGCGGATGTGCCTGGTGTCCAGCCTGCAACTGTGGAAGAGGCAAAAGCCGCGAGCGCTAAGGGTGTCGGCGAGCTGATTAAGTACCTGAACTCCAACCCAGTCAGTGGCCTCCTGGAGTATGCCCGGGCCAATGGCTTTGCTGCTGAGTTCAAGCTGATCAATCAGACTGGGCCACCCCACGACCCCAAGTGAGTAGGCGGAGTGGCTCTCTGCCCAGCCAGCCAGAGGGTTCTTTCCTTGTGTTGCTTTCAGAACATAGAAAACAAAGCCCAGGCCCTTAGTCTCCAATTCGATTGTCATCTTCTGGCTGGCAGGGGCTGTTCTGTCTAAAGGTCTTTCCCAAGCCCTGCTGCTTAATCTCTCTTAACCAGAGAGACCCCGGGGGGAACTGGAGTCTTGTGTGCAAAGCAGGAGCTCCGCTGCTGAGCTACAGAACTTCTGTATCGGAAAGGGCTCGCCTGCATCGCCGATAAGTCCTCGTGGTCCACTAGGGAACTGCCCTAGGCAGGATGGCCATTAAACATAAGGAGATTCTCGCTGCAGGATCAGGCCAGCAGCTCTGCTCATCCAGCCTCCTGTTCTCACAGTGGTCAGCCGTACACCACAAGGCAAAGCCCGAAAGCAGGACCCAAGCACAAGAGAAACTGTCTTGTGGTTTTCATTATTATTACAGTGGACGCTCGGGTTGCGAACGTGATCCATGTGGGAGGCATGTTCACAACCTTCAGCGCTCGCAACCCACAGCGCCGCGTCTGCGCACGCACAGGTTGCGATTCACCACTTCTGTGCAAAGCGCAATTTAGCGCTTCTGCGTGACCACTGAAACCTAGAAGTAACCCGTTCTGGTACTTCCAGGTTTCAGCACGTCCATAACATGAAAAAACACAACCTGAAGTGTCTGTAACTTGAGGTATGACTTGTATTATCATCATCATCTTCTGTTTTCTGGATACTTGTCCACAGATATATGAAAGTTCATACTCAATGCAAGGTGTGTTTTTATAATGCACCAGAATGAAAGAAAGACTTTTAAAAATCTAAAAAGGAACGGAAGGAAAAAGAGGGAAATGGAAAGAAAGGAGGGGGGGACCCTCTCATGTGGTTTTCAGCAGCTGGTGCCTCTGTGGAGGCAGAGAATAGCCATCGTGGTCTTTGATAACCTTATCCTGCATTAATTTGTCCAATCCTCGTCTAAAGCCATCTAGGTCAGTGGCCATCACCCCCTCCTGCAGTAGCAAGTTCTGTCACTGTTGCCTGAAGTCCTTTTACAAGAGAGGGACTGTTGCCTGATGCCCCTTTTACAAGAGAGGGAGAAAAAACGTTTCTCGGTCCGCTTTCTCCTGTTAATATGTCCTGCTCTGTCCTTGTGGCTATAATTTGTTCTCAAACTGTTTTTAATATTGTATTTTAAATCGTTGTAACCTGCCCTGGGACCTTATGGCAAGAAATTGAATTATTATTATTACGATTATTATTTACCACATGGTTGCCCTGGACTGTAAGCTGAGGATGGGGCACCTCTTGGGGCCCTCCAGACGAGGTCAGGCTTCCAACACCTGTCCAGCCACACCTGGACGGCCTCAGGTGTCCCCCTCGGAGAGATGTAGCGATCCAGCCTGCTTGGTGGAAGTCCAGCAGCCTCTTAGCAGGCTGATCTTAAAAACAGAACAAAGGTGGGGGTAGGACCCAGCCAGTCACTTTTCGGGCTTTACTCAAGCTTGCTGCATTCTTTCTGACCTTTCCAACTCTCTCAAGCTCTTCCTGTGCATTGTTTTCCTGCTGGGGCTCTTGATTTTATAGCGCCAACCTCACCCAGGGCCCCTCGGTTACTGAACCTGCACCTTCTCTGCTGATTTTCCTCCTCCTGGCAGATTCGTCTTCCAAGCCAAAGTGGGCGGCCGCTGGTTCCCGGCTGTCACGGCGCACAGCAAAAAGCAAGGCAAGCAGGAGGCTGCCGACGCGGCGCTCCGGGTTCTGATCGGGGAGACGGAGAAGGCAGAGAACTCCGAAGGCATGACCATCACAGAGGTAACACTGCCACCCTCGCTTGCCTCTCCTTTCGCTGTTAATGGGCCATATGGGAAGACCTTGGACCCGTAGATGTTGCTGAACTACCGCTCCCATCACCCCGAGCCATTGGCCATTCTTGCTGGGGCTGATGGGAGTTGAAGTCCAGCAATGTCCGGAGAGGCTTCCTTGCAGTTTGCTTCTCTCCCCTCTCACCTGGGCCTTGTTCTTCGGCTGTGAAAACTCCCGGCCTCCCCTTCTTCTTCTTCCATCTCGCAGCTCCCTGTGAGCGGAAGCACACTCCACGACCAGATCGCTATGCTGAGCCACCAGCGGTTCAACACCCTGACCGCGCGTATCCAGCACAGCTTGCTCGGGCGCAAGATCCTGGCTGCCATCATCATGAGGCGAGGGCAAGAGGGCCTGGGGGTCGTGGTGAGCATCGGGACAGGTAAGAGACGCTTCTGGTCCGGGCAGGGGGATTACTCATATCAGAGCTGGGAAGAATCTTGCTTAAAAGCTCCATTTAGCCATGGCTAAGTGACTCTAAGGGATGCGGGTGGCACTGTGGGTTAAACTACAGAGCCTAGGGCTTGCCGATCAGAAGGTCAGCGGTTCAAATCCCCACAACGGGGTGAGCTCCCGTTGCTCGTTCCCTGCTCTTGCCAACCTAGCAGTTTGAAAGCATGAAGTAAAAGTAGATAAATAGGTACCACTCTGGTGGGAAGGTGAACGGCGTTTCTGTGTGCTGCTCTGGTTCGCCAGAAGTTGCTTAGTCATGCTGGCCACATGATCCGGAAGCTGTACACCAGCTCCCTCGGCCAATAAAGCGAGATGAGCACCGCAACCCCAGAGTCGTCTGTGACTGGACCTAATGGTCAGAGGTCCCTTTACCCTTTACCTTTATTTAAATGACTCTAAACTGGTGTTTCCCAAACTTGGGTCTCCGGCGGTTTGGGAACTACAATTCCAGTCATCCCTGACCACTGGTTCCTTCTAACTAGGGACAATGGGAGTTGTAGTCCAAAAACTGCTGGAGACCCAAGTTTGGGAAATCTTGCTCTAAACAAAAACTTTTTTTAAAAAAAAAGGTCATGGGGAACAGATTATTTTTGGACACCACCCACTCAGGTCACTTCGTTCTCGCCCCCCCCCCCCCAAAGAAAAGCCAGGTGGAAATGGAGTAAGCAGGCACCCTGCCTTCTTGTTGCTGTTCTATTAATGGAATCTTGAGTGAAATCAGATCCAGCAGAATTAATATGAGCTTTGAAAAGCCCATAAAGCTGAAAGAGGAAATGGGGAAGAGTTATCACTCTTCCAGCTTCCTCCTTCAGCTCCATGTGCTTTTCAGTGGAGGAAAAGACAGCCGCACTCATCTCGCGACCCCAGGGGCAGCACATGGAAGGGCTTATGGATGCCAGGGAAAACCCTGTACAACCACTAGCTGCCTCTTCCTCTGGGAATAAGTGCCCTATGTTTTGGGTGGTTTTTCTTTCATGAAGAGGGTTTTAAAATCAAACCCAGAATGAAATTGGAAACTAGCCTCAGCCGTCTTTTCGTTTAATAAATAAATAAGTAATCAAGGGGGATAGAACAATCGGAATGCAATTCAGCTGCTGCAGAAGGCCAATCCGTATAGATTTGCTCTCGTTGTAAAACACAGCTTTGCAAGCGCAGTCCATATCGTGCACCTTTTCAAGGTGGATTTGTGGAGTGTGTTACGTAAACTGTAGCACGGCATCAGGTTCTACAGCAGGCTCATATTCAGTGATGGCTCGCGAGTGACAACTCTTTGTCCCAGCAAACCGCCAAGGATTCCTTGGTCTGTTGTTAAAAAAACACACACACAACAACCACCTGGAAGTAAACAAATTCGGCTCTCCTTTTGTCCACACCAAGCCCTTCGTGTGGGGTCTGTTAATGCAGTATTTTCCTGACCGCTTTCTTTCTCCTCCTTGCCTCTCAGGGAATCGCTGTGTGAAAGGGGAGGAGCTGAGCCTGAAAGGGGAGACGGTCAATGACTGTCATGCGGAGATCATTTCCAGGAGGGGTTTCATAAGGTGAGGAGGCGGAAGCGGGAAGCCAAGCAAGGCCATTCAGAAGAGATCTGCCCAGAATGGGGCATGTGTTGAGTGCCCAGCCCCTGTTCCAGGACAGAATACTAGGCACTGGTCCTACCTTGCAGTTCGTTGTGAGCGATATTGTGAATGAATGGAATATTTAATGATGGCAACCTTTATCTGTAACACACAGGGGTGAGGAACTTGTTTTTTTCTGTTGAGAGATATAATATTTTGGGAGGGGACAGAGAGGCTGGTGGAGGGTGAGGCACCCCCTTTTCTCTTTCGCTGTCTACCCCTCTTTACAGGGTGGTGACTGGCAAGTATGAATAATGATACCTTAAAATGATGAAATCTACAGTAAAACCCTAACACCGTGCAACAGTTGTTTTATAAACTGCTTCCTGATGGTTTGAAGCACCTATTTAGATTTTAACACATCCCACTTTCGAGGCCACCAGAACCTCCCAAAGCCTGCATTAAAATTTCAAAACGGTAAACCTGTTTAAAAAGCAGTTAAACAAGGAGCAGGAGGGGGAAAGGAAAGCCAAAGAACTGATTGATTAAACATTGCAGTCCTACTTGGGGGGGGGGGGCAGCCTTGCTATGTGGGGCTTTACGGCCAAGTAAACGTGTGCAGAATGGGGTCCCAAGGCCAGGAAGGTTGACCAGGCACCGCTTCACATTGTGGTGGTGTTATTCCAGGTTCCTCTACACAGAGCTCATGAAGTTTGACCCCTTGGCACCCGAAGATAGCATCTTCCAGCCCCTGGAGGATGGCAAGCTGAAGATCAAAGACGACATCACTTTTCACCTGTACATCAGGTGAGCACCAGCTGGGGCCTGACCTGCGTGCAGCGGTGCAAGATGGCTGAGGGGTGTGCGTGCCTGATTGTGCTGCGTTTTGCAGGGGATGTTGAATGCAACACGGGGAAAGAGCTATCGGGGAACCCAAAAAACAGCAAAGGGAAGAGTTGGGCAGGGGTAAAGAAGTGTTCCACACAGCAGGCAGACAGTGTGACGTTGATTTTATTTCCTACCCCTCCCCTTAAGGTCCCAGGGCAGGTCGCAACCATTTAAAGAGCAGTTCAGAACAAATTGCAGTCGCAGGAACAGGGTGGGGTCGCCCCAAACACACCGTTCAAGTGTCAAAAGGGCAGGGCAAAGAGGTGTGTCTTCAGCATACAATGAAAACCATGTTAGTGAAGGTGACAGGCGCACCTCTCTCGGGAGGGAATTACGCAGCTTGGGGGCAGCCGCAGAAAAGGCCCTGTCCAAGGCTGCTGCCCCCCAGCGAGTTCTGTGTGGGAGGTGGAACTGCCCAAGGGTCAGATAGAGAGGCCTGCGGTTCTGCATTTGGCCATAGGACCTGAGCTGCTCTCTCCTTGGGCTAGAAGGGCCATTTAGCGCAATGCCTTTTAAATTGCCGTTTTAAGAATTTGTTTGAGCGCTGTTTCAGGTCGACCTGCTGAAAAGCAGCCCACACTGATTTCTTAATAGCCTCTCGGGTTCAGGGTGTGCCTTGTTCTTCTGCCCCCTAGCACGGCACCTTGTGGGGACGGGGCTCTCTTTGACAAATCCTGCACCGACCAGGCCAATACAGTGGGGGAAGGCCAGCACCAGCCGCTCTTCGAGAATCCCAAGCAGGGGAAGCTGCGCACAAAAGTTGAAAACGGTGAGTGCCAGGGGAACTGAGCCCGGCGACTGGGGTTTTGTTGCTTCCCTTTCTCAGCTTTTACCTGTGCAGCCGGGTATTCTGGTATGCAGTTTTTTTAAGGATACAGTTTCCAGCCTTCTAATTGCCTTATTTATACTCAGTCAGTCCATCCAGTAGCAGCAATAACTTCTTTTCATTGTATGCAGACCAATGCCTGTTGCAATACAGAACGCTGATTTTCTCTTTTTTAAAATTGGTTATTTAATTAAAGTTTTTTGTGATGCAGATAAGCTAGGAAAGGTACATATAGCATCTCCACCTTCAATTCTGGGGAGGGGGGGAGAGAGGGGGAGGGAAAAGGCTGGGGGAATAGTGGTCTTTTCATTCTGTTGCGTAGTTTGTCCATGGTTTTTGCGTCAGTGTCTTGTGGGCAGGCCCCTTGCAGTCATACCTCATGTTACATTTGCTTCATGTTACGTTTTTTCAGGTTGCGTCCCGCAGCGACCCGGAAGCACTGGAAAGGGTTACTTCCGGTTTTCGCCGCTCGCGCATGCGCAGAAGCGCCAAATCGCGCCACGCACCTGTGCAGATACAGTGCTTCAGGTTGCGGGCTTTTCAGGTTGCAAACGGGCCTCTGGAACGGATCACTTTCACAACCAGAGGTACCACTGTACAGAGGTACCTTGGGTTAAGTACTTAATACTTTCCGGAGTTCCGTTCTTAACCTGAAACTGTTCTTAACCTGAAACACCACTTTAGCTAATGGGGCCTTCCGCTGCTGCCGCGCCGCCGGAGCACGATTTCTGTTCTCATCCTGAAGCAAAGTTCTTAACCCGAGGTACTATTTCTGGGTTAGCGGAGTCTGTAACCTGAAGCGTCTGTAACCCGAGGTACCACTGTAGCTGTTCGTTTTGCTTCTGGCATTGCGAGGCTCCAATGGCTGCCCCTCTGCCCAGGACACTATTTCAGCCAGACTGAAATGCTCAGGGAACTCTGGAGGGGTGTGCCCGGTTTTATGCCGCGGGTGGCACTGTGGGTTAAACCACAGAGCCTAGGACTTGCCGATCAGAAGGTCGGCGGTTCGAATCCCCACGACGGGGTGAGTTCCTGTTGCTCGGTCCCAGCTCCTGCCAACCTAGCAGTTCGAAAGCACGTCAAAGTGCAAGTAGATAAATAGGTACCGCACCAGCAGGAAGGTAAACGGCGTTTCCGTGCGCTGCTCTGGTTCGCCAGAAGCGGCTTAGTCATGCTGGCCACATGACCTGGAAGCTGTACGCCGGCTCCCTCGGCCAGTTAAGCGAGATGAGCACCACAACCCCAGAGTCGGCCACGACTGGACCTAATGGTCAGGGGTCACTTTACCTTTTTACTAACAGCTGAATGGAACCTCTCTGTGCAGAGGCGGCATACCTTTTGAACACATCAGGTGCTGGAAGAAGCCCTGGCCCCCATGCCCTCCTCTCTGAAGATCCAGCAGCACCTGTCTGGCGGCAGCGGCTGGAGTCAGCCATCCTTGGACTCTAGTATGGGTGTTTGTGTGGCCTTTGGGCCATCCCAGCAAAGGCAGCTCCCGACTGGCTCCCTCTCTTCCTGCAGGGGAAGGCACTATCCCGGTGGAATCCAGCGACATCGTGCCAACGTGGGACGGGATCCAGCATGGCGAGCGTCTCCGCACCATGTCCTGCAGTGACAAGATTCTGCGCTGGAATGTGCTGGGCCTGCAGGGGGCGCTGCTCTCCCACTTCCTGCAGCCTGTTTATCTCCGCTCAGTCACACTTGGTAAGGGATCTCTCCATCCTCCCGGTTGCTGGGTGTGGGGATCTCGTATCTCTTTTCTCCTGCCTTCTCAGCTATAACCCCCCCCCCAAAGCACCTATTACTTTACCCCACTCCATTCCAAGATGTCTGAAAGACCACTTCCTTCGCTACAGAGATGCAGACCCTCTTGGGTGTTAAGATCAGCAGGGGAAGGGCGGTATTGGCCTGGGAGAAGAGGGAGCCTTCTCTGTGGCAGCCCCAGAATTCCCTCCTAGCAGAGGCGCCCTGGTGCCTTGGCTGTGTAGCTTTCCGTGTACATAGAAGTCACACCTCTCTCCACCCCCCACCCCCCGGGCAGCTTTGACACCAGAGAAACATTTCCTGTTGTTGATGGGGCAGACTGTCGCCAGTGCATTGCTCAAAAACCTTTCCCTGGCTGCCAGGATGCTGCCAAGCTGAGTTCAAGGTTCCTACATTAATTTTCAGCATCCTTACTGACTTCGGTTCAGAATAGCTTAGGAGTGCTTGATTCCTTCTATCCCTGCCTGGCCACTTAGGTTTTTGGAGAAGTTGATGCACGTTCCATATGGTGGGCCCAGTTCTGGGAAGAGATGCCCCTTCCCTGTTGAACTTTTTGGCATCTGCTGGAGACTTTAAAAAAAATAATAATAATAAATCCCAGCAGCCATTCTTTCACCGTTCTGATTTTACAGTTGGTTAACTGGTTTTATCTTGATTCTATTTGTTGGGCTTGGTATACACTGCCTAGAGATAATCAAAATTAAGTGGTGTATAAATTGTGTTTTTTTTTAGGGGGGGGTTGTCCATATATATATAGAGAGAGACCCTCCCAAAAATCTTTGGTTTAACCAGTTTTAATGCAGCACATTTAAACTGTTGTAACCTGCCCTGGCATGGCAAAGCACAAGTAAAATATCTGATTAGCAGTAGTCGTAAAAAAAATAATGGGCACAGTCGGTGAGAAGACTCGAGAGCACAGAGACGCAATTCTGCCACAAATGACTCACCTTAGGGCAGTGGTTGGGAAACCTGTAGGGCTCTCTAAATGCTGCTGTACTACAACTCCCATTAGCCTTGCTGGCTGGGGGCTGGTGGGAACTGGAACCCAAGAACATCCACACAGCCCAGTTTTCCCATCCCTGCTCTATAGGAAGCAAAAGAGGCTGTTGAGATTTTGCTGCATGTTCATTTGGGTGTTTTCCCCCCTCCTCCTCCTTCTTTTGGGACCTTGGAAGCCCCCGTCTCATGACAGGGACGCAGCAGGCCCTGGCTATAAATGTCTTAAAGGCAGCAAAGTACTCAAGACTTGTGTTAAACCTCTGTCCTTCCTGCCAAGATGCAGCTGCTGCTAGCCCTTCCAAATGTGGTGGTGCCCTTCATGTTGATGAAGCAGCTGATCTGTGCCCCTTTTTTTCAAAAAAATGCCTGCGCCATCAACCTCGTTTTGTGTTCCCTTTCCAGGCTACTTGTACAGTCAAGGTCACTTGACGCGTGCCATCTGCTGCCGCATGTCAAGAGACGGCAACACATTCCAGTCCGGACTCCCCGAGCCGTATTTTGTCAATCACCCGGAGGTAACCGCTGTTTGATTCCCGTTGCAGTTTTAATTCCTTGTCTTCCTCCTCCTCCTTCATCATCAATTATTTGTATGCCACCTTCCCATAGTTCAGTCGTGCTCAAAGCATAGGTGTCTGGAACTTTTCACTATGCAGCTGCAATATTTGTCACTTACGGTCTAGCTGAGATTCCTGCATAGGTTGGACTAGACAACCCTTGGGGAATGGCTCTCCAACGCTACAATTCTACAATTCTAGTTTGGAGGAGGGAAAGCAAGTAAGTGGGGGACATTATAGAGAAATTGGACTGATGGGAGGAGAGTCTTTTCTCCCTCCTTAGTATTCAGACTGGCCTCATCCAACAAACCTGAATGTTGGAAGATTCAGGACAGGCAAAATAACGTACTTCTGCACAATGGACTGCTGAGTTTGCTGTCGCAAGATGGGGCATAATCTTCTTTTTCTTTGGCGATCACTCGTAGCCAAGTAAGATTCTCTTTCATAAACATGGTTTTAATAATGAGTCCATAACTGGAGGTCAGTTCTGGATCCACACGTCCTTCCACAGTGGGGACATTGGTTTCCGGGCACAAGTTGGTCACAGTGTGGATTTGCCAAGCGTGCCTTCCTCTTAGCACGTTTCTCCCTTGCGCCCTGAGTTTTGAGTGTCTTCAAAGCCCATGACACCTTTGGTAAAGGCTGTTCTCCAACTGGAACGCTCGCAGGCAAGTGTTTCCCAATCGTTGGTGTTTATACTACATTTTTTTACATTTGGCTTGAGACAGTCTTTAAACCTCTTTTGTTGACCACCAGCATTACGCTTTCCATTTTTAAGTTTGGAATAGAGTAGTTGCTTTGGAAGACGATTGGTTTGGAATAGCCACCAGATTGAATGGCTTTAAAAGGGAATTGATACATGCGTGAAGGATAAGGCTGTCAGTGACTGCTAGGGCATGTTCTTACCTCTGCTGTTGAAGGCAGAATGCCTCGTGATTCCCAGAAACTGGTATTAGAAGTTGGAGAGAGTTGCTCTTGGGCTCAGGTCCCGCTTTCGGGCTTCCCTTGAGGCCTCTGGTTGGCCATTGTGAGAACAGAATGCTGGACCAGATGGGCCTGATCCTGCAGCCTGGCTCTTCTTGTGTTCTTGCACGTTCTGTCCTATCCTTAAGACTTGGGATTCACAGGAGTTTTTGCTAAAAAGAGCCCACATCAAGGGCAACACAGCACGTTGCAATGGTAACAACCAGTGTCTCCTGCCCTGCAAAATTTGGGCTTTGTTTTCCAAATGTAACTATGCCAGAAAACGAGACCTTAGGTTAGGCTGAAAACTAGGGCTGGGAGATAAATTGAAGTGTCATCCAAAAGCAGTTTGAAGTCCATATTGTGGCATTTTTGACCTGGCAATATATCGTGAATTTTGGCGTGCGTGTGCTGTGCCAAAATCACAACGTGGGAAAAACTCTGAAGCCAGCTAGTGCCTCTACCTAGGTCCACCCTTATATCAGAGATCGTGATATATCACTCTTAACATGATGTTTAGCTGGCGATATATCGCAGTGTTGAAACCCGGTCCTGGTGAAACCACTGGATACACTGTTTGTTATATGTGTATATTGAGCTCCCGTTGTTTGGTCCCAGCTCCTGCAGTTCAAAAGCATGTCAAAGTGCAAGCAGATAAATAGGTACCACTCTGGCGGGAAGGTAAACGGCGTTTCCGTGCGCTGCTCTGGTTCGCCAGAAGTGGCTCAGTCATGCTGGCCACATGACCCGGAAGCTGTCTGTAGACAAATGCCAGCTCTCTCGGCTTATAGAACGAGATGAGCGCTGCACCCCCAGAGTCGTACGCGACTGGACCGAACGGTCGGGGTACCTTTACCTTTATACACACACACACACACACATATACACACACACACACACACACACACACACACACACACACAGAATATTCAGCTTTGCTATCTATCTCTTTCTGTCTCTCTCCCAACACAGGTTGGCAGAGTCAGCGTCTACGACTCCGCAAGGCAGACGGGGAAGACAAAGGAATCCAGCGTCAACTGGTGCCTCCCTGATGACTCTGAAGTCGAAGTCCTGGATGGCACAAAAGGCAAAGTAGATGGGTAAGAGTGGGACACAGCTATCGGAGGGGAGGCATAGAGGGGTAACCATAACATCAGGCATGGTTGGGTGGCTGCTTCCAGTGGGTGTGGGAAGCAGATTTTTGGCTGCCTTTGTTTTCATGCATATTCCATCCACATGCTCGGGGCCAGCAACAAAACTGACACTGGGTGAGATATAAGAAAAGTGAGTAATTTGTGGGGGAGCACTGCCTGGTGTGGATGGGGGGGGGACACACACGCACACTTCCTTTGCACCAAGATGGTCCCAGGCATCTCCAGGCAGAGCAGAGAACACACCCAACCTCGCACATTCTTTCAGTGTAGGTCTGTGTGGCCAAACTTGGCCCTCCAGTTGTTTTTGGACTACAACTCCCATCATCCCTAGCTAACAGGACCAGTGGCCAGGGATGGTGGGAATTGTAGTCCCAAAACAGCTGGAGGGCCAAGTTTGTCCGTCACTGGTGAAGGTAATGCGAGCTGGACGGCCCCAACAGTTTTGACACATTCTTACGAAAGATCAGCACATTCTTTCTGTCGTCCAGTTTGAATTGCTAGCACTGGCGACTGCCGTGGGAAAGCCAGGAGGACAACGAAACACTTAGGCCTCCCTCCTGGAGTCCTTTTCCTTTATGTTCCTTCCTTCCTCAGACCAAAACTGGACGTGTCCCGGGTCTCCAAGAGGAACCTGTTTGCACTCTTCCAATCGCTCTGTGCCAAGATGGATCGCAAGGCCCTGCAGAAACTGACCGTGTACTCGGAGGCCAAGGAAGCGGCCGTCACATACCAGAGTGCCAAGCGGCAATTCTTCTGGGCCCTGCAGGAGATGGGCTACGGGAGCTGGATCTGCAAACCCCAAGAGGAGAAGACCTTTGGCCCGTCCGAAGTCTAGCAAGCTGTGCATTTTTATTATTTTATCTTTTTTTTTTTTTTTGGCTGCGGGGGGAGGGGTGAAAGGAAAGGGGTATTTTTTTTATTAACATAGGTTGTGTGTATTCTTTTTTTAAAAATGGAAGCAGGAATGTTAACTTAGGGTTATGGATTTGCCGCGAGGCCTTCCTTCCTTCCGATTTAAATTGGCAGCATTGGGGAAGGAGCGGGGGGGAGTCTCCCTCCCCTTTAATTCCCCCCCCCCTTATCAACGAACATTGCAAATACGTGATCCGAGTGCGCAAACCTGAGAGAGAAAGAGAGAGCTCCACCAGCATCAACGCTCGTCTTGTGACAACACCCCTTCCCCATCTCTGTCCCCTTCTGGTTAGTCAAAAGGCCGCCTTCCTTGTCCTCTCTCTGCTTTTTTAAAAATCAGTTCTTTGAACCCCTCCTTTTATTTTATTTTTAAAAGCTGTGAATTGAGGAACTGGTAATTATGCACACACTGTCTTTTCCACAGCAGTTCTGTCTCTCCATGGATTTGCATAAAGGTGAACTCTAGGAACATCACAGAGATTTCCCCTCACTTGAATTTAATTTTCTGATATATATAACCCAACTCCTCTTCTTACCTTTCTGTTTAATTCAGAATTCTGCCTTTGGAGCCACTACAACATTTACCCATCGCACCGCCAGGTTATGGTATAATTCCGGGGGTTTTTTTAATTGGGGGGGGGGTGTATGTGTGATCATTTCCCCTCTCCCCGAATCTTTGGAAATGCTGTTGAATTCGCCTTGTTCCCAGCGAGACAGCCCAGCCTTTCTGAGGTCATTCTAAGCTAAAACCGCACAGCTCCCCCACATTCTCCCAAACTCCTTTCCTCCCTCTTCTGTGTTGACACCTGCTGTCGTGAGAGCCAGCCAGACTCACCTTAATTTTTAATATTAAAAGGCACGGAGGAGCAGTCACTCAAGCGAGTATGTCCTACCACCGGGTCTCTATGAATGTTTAAATATGGGGTCATCACTTGATTCCTTCTAACCCCTCAGAATTCCCACGCTCCCCCTTTCTTTTAAGTTCCTAGTCCTCAATTTTTAAATATATGTATATAAAACTCCAGTTCCAAGCTGTTGGCTGCTATGGAGTCGGCAGTGGTTTGTCTTATTTGTGGAATCCTTCCCCCTGATGTTCCAAGCAGCCTTTGTTTTTCGTTTTCTAAAGGCGCATTTGAAATGCAAAGGATCCCAGCCAGGAGAGGCTTTTGGGGTTTGTTTTTTTTTGCCCCCTCCAGCTTTTCTCCTCCCCATCAGTTGCGTCTGGGCAGTTGCTGTAGTGGAATTAACTGGGGAGAGCTCTCTTTATGCAAACTCTTTTCTGTCGAAAGGCGGCAGCCTCTCCTCCAGCCCTCATCTCCCCATCCTCATGACGCACAGTTCATTTCCTTCCTTAGTCACGAAGGCACTGGCGAGCAAATAATAATAAAAAACAGATGTAAATTTATTCAAGGCAAATCTGATCCTTCTCCCACCACTATTGTAATTCAGGTTATTTCCTCCCTCCCCCCCCTTTTTTTGGCAAGTCTGCTTTTAATTGCCCCTCTAGATACCATCGTTTGACAACTGAAGTCATCACATTCCGCCTGAAAATAATAATAATAAAAAAAAGGTTTTCTGTATTGGTTTTGCTGGTGTGATTCTTTTTTCTTTTCCCAGGGGAGAAGGGGCAAAGCAAACATCTTTTTGTTTTTTTGTTCCTCTTTTGGGAGGGGGGAGACCATCTCCCATGAGATTCTGTAAGGCGGGAGGAGGGATCTATGTGCTTAATTTCATGCATTTGGGAAGGAGGGTGGGGGAAGAAGCTGAAATGGCCGGGGGTGGGGAGGAGAGCGGGGGGAGCCAAGACCTCTGCAAGCAAATGCTTTGTTACTTGGGCAGGAGCAGCCTTTTCCCTGGAGGAGCGTCTTCACCTCCATCGTTCTGCCCGGACACTGAGGTCCAGCGCCGAGAGCCTTCTGGCGGTTCCCTCGCTGCAAGAAGCCAGGTTACAGGGAACCAGGCAGAGGGCCTTCTCGGTAGTGGCACCCGCCCTGTGGAACGCCCTCCCATCAGATGCCAAAGAGAACAACAACTACCAGACTTTTAGAAGACATCTGAAGGCAGTCCTGTTTAGGGAAGCTTTTAATGTTTAATAGGTTATTGTATTTTAGTGTTCTGTTGGAAGCTGCCCAGGCGGGGTATAAATAATAAATTATTTTATTTATTTATTTATTTAAGCAGCCACCTTGGGTGGGGGGAGGCTGGAAGGGAAGAAAGGTGACAGAGAGAGAAAGAGAGGCTCTGGCCCCTCTCGTTGCCCGCCCACATCCCTCCACCTTGCCACTCGCAAAGAGTGGTGCCCAGAGAAAACGATAGGGTGGAAGGCAGGGAGCCCAAAGGTAGATGGCGCCAGAGAGCCAATGGCAGGCAGAGCCAGCAGATCCTAGCGCTCTACAGGGGCAACTCTAAGACTAAGGAAGAGGGAGCTAATGGGCAGTGCTGCCCCCTGGGCTGGTGGTAAGAAATAAGGCTTTGGGCTGGCATTGCCCCATCTGCCCTAGTGCACCAGCCTCTACTGAGCGCAGCCCTGGGCAGAATAAAGCCCTCGTTCAGGATAGCTTCCTCTTTCCTCCTATGTGCATTAATAGGTAAGGTATGAAAGTGGGTGGGTTTTCCCAACCCATTACAATATTTCTGCCCCTCCCTCCCTCCACGTAACACTTAACCTCTTTTTTTAATACCGTGATATTTTAATTCCTCTTGTTTATCTGCCTGGGATAGGCTTGTGTGTGTATCTGTTGGGCACATAATTGATCATTCTGCTATGCTGTTGGTGTAAGAAACGATGGCTTGGTAAGCTTTTCGAGCCCTGGATCACAATCAGAAGCGCCAATCCCTGGTTAAACTTGAGTGCGCCACTTGCGTTTACCCAGCAGGGTCAAAAACGAGGCCCAGGGGGCGGAGGAGCTGATAAAGCATTTATTTGTTTGCACTGTGCTTTCAAAGCGCAGTAAGGAAAATCCAGTTCTGGAAAATAAGATTGGAGGTGAATATGGAGACTCTTGAGAGTCCCATGGACTGCAAGAAGATCAAACCTCTCCATTCTGAAGGAAATCAGCCCAGAGTTCTCACTGGAAGGACAGATCCTGAAGCTGAGGCTCCAAGACTTTGGCCACCTCATGAGAAGAGAAGACTCCCTGGAAAAGACCCTGATGTTGGGAAAGATGGAGGGCACAAGGAGAAGGGGACGACAGAGGACGAGATGGTGGGACAGTGTTCTGGAAGCTACCAGCATGAGTTTGACCAAACTGCGGGAGGCAGTGGAAGACAGGAATGCCTGGCGTGCTCTGGTCCAGGGGGTCATGAAGAGTTGGACATGACTAAACAACAATGCTGGTTTTGTATAGATGAATGAGGAATGGGAGGGTTGTAAGAAAAAGCAAGGAGCATTTGCATTGAATGGATTATATTAGCTCTTAAAAACTGGGCTTGACCTTTAGAATAATGCCTCCAAATTAGATAGGTTGCAGTTTTTTTGTTTTTACATGCAGGTTCTTATAAAAATGTTGACACCAGGTTCCATCTTTTTTTTTTTTTTAAAAAAAGACATTCCTCTTGGGAAGGTTTATGAATGAGAACCTTGTTAAGAGTTCTGGAGAGCTCGAAACCTCTCGTGATATATTTTGCGATCTTTTGGCTTAATAAAGGTATTGCCCTTACGACTTCTGTGGTTTTTTAAATTGGCTTACGTTAGAGGGAACCCATCGCTGATAAACCAGCCAGAATGTCTTGGGGTCCAAATATTCTTTGGGAAGAGATGAATCCAGAGGCGCTGGTGGTGCAGTGGTTAGAGTGTTGGACTGGGGCCCAAGGAAAGACCAGGGTTCGAATCCCGCCTCAGTTGCCTAAGCTTCTTGCAGGGTTGTTCAGGAGATAAAATGGGAAGAAATTGTGTGCTACCTAGAACTCCTTGGAGGAAAGGCAGGATATAAATATAATAATAAATGATACTGAAGGAATGGATTTCCCAAATCTAAAAACCTGACTGTGCAGTCAGTCTGAAACGGGCCCCAAAATCCCATTTTTCCTTCTCCAAGGGTGCATTAGCTAAAAACCATTAACTTGAGCTCTTGAGCAAATGTATAACAAGAACACAGCTGTATAAACAAAGCTCTGTCCTTTATCAGTCCATGACGCCTAATGAATGGCCTTGCCAGTTCCAAAGTGGAGCAGGGATGACACATCTGGGTCTTATCTTACACCCTGACCACAATGACGCACAGACCTTGTCAGCCCCCAGGAATGGCGCCAGGAGTACTCTTAGAGTTGGTGACCTTACCCCAAGATAAGGAATACAGGAACAGGAACACCCTTTTATGGTCAAGAGTACAGGAGCAGGAACATCTGTGATGTCAACTTACGTGTATAAGCTTACGTGGCTGGATTCCTGGGGAAGGCGGGAGAGGGTGCCTGGAGGATGTATATACTGCATGGAATCTCTCATTTCTTTGGACTTGCTGTGAACTGACCATGCAAGTGCCTTCTGCTATCTGGAGAGCAGAATAAACTCTTTCTCTGAATCAACCTTGGTGTCATTTGACTTCCTTTCTCCCTCCCGGGAGCAACGCAGACCCCACCAGTCGGTAAAGTCTAATAAGGCTACAATACTACTACATGTAATACAAGGTGTGACTGGAAAGTTCGGTGAACGGTCACAGAAATTGAACAGCGAGAAATATTCGAAGATACAATCAGCATCGAAAACCCATGAAATGCTCACAATTGTATATGGAGACGAAGGTGTAACTCAAAAGACAGTGTGAGAGTGGTTTAAGTGTTGCCGTGAAGGGCGGCAAACCATTGAAGATCACACTGTCTGGCAGACCGTCGAGCAGAATGGCGGCAAATATTGACAGAGTTCCTGAATTATTGCTGAGGGATTGGCGTTTCGCCGTCCGAATGATGGCGAAAGAATTGCATATTTCACGTGAAATTGTTACTGAGTTCCCTCACCCTCCATCTCCCAATCTGGCCCCAGATTTCTTTTTCCAAAACTGAAACCCGCACTGAAAGGGCACACATTTTCCAACATTTCACACGTCCAAGCTGCTGTGATGAGGGAACTGAAAGCAGTACGAAAAGAGGACTTCTCCAGAAGTTTCCAGCAGTTCTACAAACGTCAACAGTGCATTGTATCAGAGGGGGCTGCTTTGAACGCCTGTAAGGCATGTATGTTCGAATATTTATTGCCGTCCAATTTCTGTGACCATTCACCGAACTTTTCTGGACACACCTTGTAGCATAACTGTCAATGTTTCCCTTTTTTAAAGGGAAATTCCCTTATTCCGAATAGGATTCCTCACAAGAAAAGGGAAAAGTTGACAGCTATGCCTTGTAGTGGACGTGGGTGGTGCTGTGGGTTAAACCACAGAGCCTAGGAGTTGCCGATCAGAAGGCTGGCGGTTCGAATCCCCACGACGGGGTGAGCTCCCGTTGCTCGGTCCCTGCTCCTGCCAACCTAGCAGTTTGAAAGCACGTCAAAGTGCAAGTAGATAAATAGGTACCGCTCTGGCGGGAAGGTAAACGGCGTTTCCGTGCACTGCTCTGGTCCGCCAGAAGCGGCTTACTCATGCTGGCCACATGATCCGGAAAAACTGTCTGCGGGCAAACATCGGCTCCCTTGGCCGATAAAGCGAGATGAGCGCCGCAACCCCAGAGTCGGTCACGACTGGGCCTAATGGTCAGGGGTCCCTTTACCATTACCTTTATGCCTTGTAGTAACACACACTAGGGACACACCAGAGTGGTGTCAGGCTAGGACCCGGAAGAATTCCCCACTCAGCCATGAAGTGCACTGGGAGGCTATGGGCCAGTCACTTTCTGTCAGCCTAACCTACCCCTCATTGAACTCCTTGGGGTAGAGAAAGTGGGGGAGTGAATGTAATAATCTGGATGACTGCTGCTGTTTTATATTTTGGGGGCTGTGAAGAGGGATTTCTCACAGTTCCCAAGCCCTGGCCCAGGGGTAGGCAAAATAAGGCCCGGGGGCCGGATCCGGCCCAATCGCCTTCTCAATCTGGCCCGCGGACGGTCTGGGAATCAGCATGTTTTTACATGAATAGAATGTGTCCTTTTATTTAAAATGCATCTCTGGGTTATTTGTTGGGCCTGCCTGGTGTTTTTACATGAGTAGAATGTGTCCTTTTATTGAAAATGCATCTCTGGGTTATTTGTGGGGCATAGGAATTCGTTCATTTTTTTCTTCAAAATATAGTCCGGCCTGAGGAGATTTCACCCCTCCCATTCTAAGAATCTGCTGATGTTCTCTGCTGATTCTCCAGAGAGGAGGGGGGCGGTTTCTGCTCACTACTTATTCCGCTCCAGCCTCACATCAATGAGAGAGACTGAGTGTTAGAGAGAGAGAGTGTTATCTCTGTATAGATAAGGTTGCTGCTAAGAGCAGCTGCAGACACGCAGCACAGTTCAGCTTCCCCATTTAGCTCTGTATATAGTTTGTATGATAGTTGTAGATGGAATAAAAGTAGTTATTCTACAGAGCTGTTCTCCGAGTGGTTTAAGCTCTGCTGTACTCTGCTGTGCAACAACTGTCTTCGGGAGTGAATCTGGTGCTCACAGCTCTGAGTTGTGAGTCCACAGCACTTTTACCTGTTCCTGTGCAGAAGGTGGTCTCTGGAAGTGCTACCCCAGCTCGCCTGGCCCAGTCGGGGCTGAAGTGGTTGAGCCCAGTCAGTGGCACTGGCTCAAAGGGCGATGCTGACACAGCCCCCCACAAGGTCTGAGGGACAGTGGACCGGCCCACAGCTGAAAAAGTTTGCTGACCCCTGCCCTGGCCTGTGGACTCTGTTACGTAGGTTGCCATATCTTGAAGGGCAAAAAAGAGGACAGCCCGACCAAGGAAAGAGGTGAGTGTGCAGAACAACCTCAGCCCACGCCGCTGCTGGCCTGAGTGGAGACAGGACCCCAGGTATGAAGTTTACGGCATGTAATGCCTTAAGAGAGAATATTATGAAAATGATATGCAGGTGGTACATGACCCCAGTCAAGCTTGCAAAAATCTACCATTTGCCCGATAACAAATGTTGGAAATGCAAAGAAACTGAAGGTACATTCTTTCACCTTTGGTGGACGTGCCCAAGGATTAAGGTTTTCTGGGAGATGATTTATAATGAATTAAAAAAGGTATTTAAATATACCTTCTTGAAGAAACCAGAGGCCTTTCTCCTGGGCATAGTCGGCCAATCGGTGTTAAAGAAGGACAGAACTTTCTTTATGTATGCTACAACAGCAGCAAGAATACTTATTGCAAAGCATTGGAAGACACAAGACTTACCCACACTGGAGGAATGGCAGATGAAATTGATGGACTACATGGAATTGGCGGAAATGACTGGCAGAATCCGAGACCAGGGAGAAGAGTCGGTGGAAGAAGATTGGAAGAAATTTAAAGACTATTTACAGAAATATTGCAAAATTAATGAATGTTAGAATGATGTTGGATTGAAGTTAAGTGGTTTCTAGCTGTAATGGTATAAAAGAATATGGAAAAATTGGATTTTTAATAGGTAAAAACTTAATGCTATAATATATTAAGATTAAAGATCAGGATAAAATAAGGAGGGAAAGGAATTGCTGAACTAATAAATTGAACTGGAATACAAAAAAGGGAGGCATGAGGAGGTCTGGGAAACAAGTAAATGAAAGATAAGTGATGAAAAGATGGAATTGTTTTTAATTTTTTTTTGTATTTTTTCTTTTTTCATGTAATATTGTGAAAACTTTAATAAATATATATTAAAAAAAAGAGAGAGACAGGACCCCAGTTCCTACCTGATCTTCGCCGCGACAGCCTCACTTCGCAGCAGCGCTTCTGCTGCTGGGACATAGCGCCCTCGCAAGCAGGTGCACGCCACCCCCCAAAAAACAAAAGAAGCCTACCCCATCCCCAAATAAAAAACCTCCAAATCCAGACATTTCCTTAAAAATGCAAAAATCTGCCCAGATGGGCATGTTGGCCCCCAAAAGGAGGGCATGTCCTGGTTTTCCCGGACACATGGCAACCCTACCGTTAAGGTAGTTCCCAGCGAGGCTGCAGAACAGTCAATAACATCTGTCATGCAGGAGCTCGGAGTTGTGGGGGCCTTTAACTTTGGAATGACCTTGAAAACATGCCTTTAAATATCACATGGATTTCAGTGTTGACTATGGAAAAGGGGATGACTTGTCGAGAAGGGACAAAAATATTGTCAAGCTGGAGTCTCCCCGAGTGAAAGGAGCAGAAGACAAAGTAAAGTACAGATATAAACATGAAGAAGACCTGCGGAAGGGACATGGAAAAGACTTAAGAGCCTCGGATATAAGGTCACCAGGTTGATGGACTAGATGGATGGGATAGAAAGGACTGACAAAACCCGAGACCAGGAAGAAGAGACGATGGATGAAGATTGGAAGAAAGTTTTAAAAATATATTTAGAAAAGTATCGTAAAATTAATGAGTATTAGAAAAATGTTGGAATGAAATTATTTGGCTTTAGCAGAAATGTTAAAAAGAATTATGTAAGAATATGTTGTGGTTAAGAGAATTTGGTATAAATAAGATTTAAGTTTAAAGTTTTAGGGTTTTTTATGGTAAGATAAGGTTAAAATAGATTAAGGTAATTTAATGACAGAATATTGTGAAAGATGGAAAGGATTTGCTGAGATAACAACTAGAATACAAAAAAGGGAGGTGTGAGGAGGTCGATGAAATAAGTTAATGACAGTTAAGGATCTGGGAATATTGGATTTGTTTTTAAATTTTTTGTTTATTTTTGCTTTATGATTTTGATGTATTGTGTGTTTTGCTTTTTCTTTTTGACTTTGTTTTTTACTGATTTGTATTGTTTAATTGTTACTTTTATCTACTTTTTTCTTTCTTTTTCTCTTGTTTTTTCCTTCTTTTTTCTTTGTAACCTTAAAATTCTCAATAAATATCATTAAAAAAAAAAAAAGAATATCTGTCATGCATCTCTGCCTTAGATTTATTGTTTCTGATGGCGGAGATTGAAGCCGTTTTGACCAAGGCTCGGATGATCAAAACAGAGATTGGCATCAACCTGACCTGGAGCCTGCGATTTTCATAATACGGTGCTGGTAGAAGCCAGGATTTTACTCCTGGGTCCAAAGACAGAAACAGGCAGGCTGGATGCTGGAATGCTGCCCGTTATCGGAGGCTGGAACAGACAGGATGTTACACCGGCGTTCAAAGGACTTTGCTTACGGAAAGAAACCCCTCTGTTCCATGAGGAAAGCAAGGCTCACAGTTATTAAAATATGAGCCTGTGCTTTGATTTGCAGAACAGAGGGGGAGATGAAGGAGATAGCCACCTGCCACACACCTGCACTTTTCAAATGAATTGTTGAGGGGAGGGGGGTCTGATAACCGAAAGCTACACCATAACCTTCTCTCCCTCCATTTTACGAAATGCAGTGCAGGCCTTCCACAATAGCCCGCAACAATTTTCTCCCCTTCCATCTCCCCCCTGCCCACAATTTTTTGAACATCTATGTCTCTCCCCCCACCCCACCTCCAAACTCATCAAATCATCATAAATCATTCTTTTCAATATAGTCTGATGGTGTGGCTGCCTTGCCGGCCTCACGCAGAAAGATAGGAGGTATAAATTATACAGACAAAAACAGAGTGGCTTGCCAAATTATTGGAATATTACAATATATCCAAAACAATGGGAGAAATTGGAAGGATCTCAGAAGAGAAGATAGACAGGGACTGGAAGGTGTTTAAAGGATACTTGCAAAACTATATTGAAAAATCAGAACTCCTATTAGAATAAACAAGTTCCGTTTTAAATGCTGAAATACTAAATAAGATGGATAACAATGTGTAACAGAAAAAGAAGCATGAAATTAGGTTAAAGGTGTGTGAAAGAAAGTAATAGAAGTGGAAAGAAATTGCAATTGAGTAGATTGGAAGTCTAACACAAAGGTGGGGTGAGGGGTGAGGGGTGGTGGATGGTGATGGGAAAAGGAATTATCTGTGGGATTGAGTATAGGTATGTTTGAACATTTTTAAGGATTGTATGAAATGTATGTTTGTATATTCGCAATATGTGTGTATTAATGCTGAATTATTTTAATAATAAAAACTTTTCAAAAAAAAAAGAGATAATTTTTGCAGCGGCAGCCTTGCCGACCTCACGCAGAAAGACAGGAGGTATAAATGGAGGAAGGGGGTGGGATCAGGCCCTGGAGCTAAACGCAGCCCTCTTATTTGGCCCTTGGAATTTTCAAGAGGCCACACCCCTTTGCTCAACAAGCCACACCCCCTCACAGGTCCTGCTTTGCAGGAGTGTTTTTGCCTGGCTGGGATATGCCTTTGAATGCTGATCATGACTTTAGCTTGACTAGACAAAGCTAAGAGAGGGAGAAGTGTGTGTCTGTGTAGCAACTAGCCTAGTTGTGCGTTCTCTGCCCTGCCGACTTTATCCCATTTGCCCCTGGGATGAGGACCCTGGGAGGCTGCTGAGCAGGCCCTGAATCTGCAAAAGTTTTCCCGTCCTGAAGATAAATATTGCATGTTAAACCTATTGTGAGGGACGCGGGTGGTGCTGTGGGTTAAACCACAGAGCCTAGGACTTGCCGATCAGAAGGTCAGCGGTTCGAATCCCCATGACGAGGTGAGCTCCCGTTGCTCAGTCCCAGCTCCTGCCAACCTAGCAGTTCGAAAGCACGTCAAGGTGCAAGTAGATAAAGAGGTACCGCTCTGGCGGGAAGGTAAACGGCGTTTCCGTGCGCTGCCCTGGTTCGCCAGAAGCGGCTTAGTCCTGCTGGCCACATGACCCGGAAGCTGTACGCTGGCTCCCTCGGCCAATAAAGCGAGATGAGCATCGCAACCCCAGAGTCGGCCACGACTGGACCTTATGGTCAGGGGGCCCTTTGCCTTTTACCTTTAAACCTATTGTGCTTTGATTTTTGATTCATCGTCAATGGGCCCACATCTTTCCCTACAGCTTTTAAAGGTGGTTTACACCTCTTGTAGGGACGCGGGTGGCGCTGTGGGTTAAATCACAGAGCCTAGGACTTGCCGATCAGAAGGTTGGCGGTTTGAATCCCTGTAACGGGGTGAGCTCCCGTTGCTCGGTCCCTGCTCCTGCCAACCTAGCAGTTCGAAAGCACGTCAAAGTGCAAGTAGATAAATAGGTACCACTCTGGCGGGAAGGTAAACAGTGTTTCCGTGCACTGCTCTGGTTCGCCAGAAGCGGCTTAGTCATGCTGGCCACATGACCCGGAAGCTGTATTAGGTCACGACTGGACCTAATGGTCAGGGGTCCCTTTACCTTTACATCTCTTGTAGGCTTACACTTCCACGGTTGTTGGGAGAAGAGTCCTACTGAATCCTAACCCAACATCCTGTTTTCCACAAGCAAGGCATGTGAGCAACTGGCCTCCTCCTGCCTCTGCTGGCAGCAGCTGGTCCTGAAAGGCAGACTGCTTTCTACACAGAGATTTTATTTATTTGTTTGCTGTTGGTGAGCTATCATCGCCTGGGGTCCATGTGTCTAATGCTGAACAGAGGAAGCTGCCTTACACTGAGGCAGACCACTGGCCCATCTAGATCAGTGGTGTCTGCACTGACTGGCAGCAGCTCCCCAGGGTTTCAGGCAGGGAGGTTTCCCCCCAGCCCTGCCTGGAGATGTTGGGGGTCGAAGGTGGGACTTTCCACAGGGTCTCCATCGCTCTGCTGCCGCCCTTCCTAAAGGCTGGCGCTTCTGCTATGCGACTCTGAGCCTTGTGCCCCTGTCTCTCTGCTCTCAGCTAAAGAGATCGGCCGGCCTGGTTACGGCTGGGTCACCGTGCCGGGTGGAGTGTGTAAGCCGGTGGAACTGAAGTGGAAAGCCGTCCTGCCGGTCTGCCATCTGCTGCGGTTCAGAGGGAGCCAGGAGATTGTGCTTCTTCAGCGAGCTTCTTTCTGCCTTGTCTTGAGGATGAAAAGCAGGGGCAGCGGGACACCATCCAGGCAGTTTGGCAGAGCCAGCCACGTGTTAAGTGTTTGGGGATGATGTGTGCAGATCCAGCTGGAAGGAAGGGAGCAGTGCAGCAGCCGGAGACTCAGAAAGAACAGGAGAGAGTTCAGCATATTTTGGTTTGCAGGACAGCAGTGGGGGGAAAGTTGCTGAATGGATCAGACTGGGAAACCCAGAGAGATGGGTGGGGTAATAATAATAATAATAAATTTATTCATTCATTCATACCCCACCCATTTGGCTAGGTTTCCCCAGCCACTCTGAGCAGCTCCCAAAAGAATATTAAAAACACGATAAAACATCAAACATTAAAAACTTCCCTAAACAGGGCTGCCATCAGATGTCTTCTAAAAATCAAATAGTTGTTTATTTCCTTGACATCTGATGGGAGGGCGTTCCACAGGGCGGGCGCCACTACCGAGAAGCCCCTCTGCCTGGTTCCCTGTACCTTCACTTCTCGCAGCGAGGGAACCGCCAGAAGGCCCTCGGCGCTGGACCTCAGTGTCCGGGCAGAATGATGGAGGTGGAGACGCTCCTTTGGGTTTACTGGGCCGAGGCCATTTAGGGCCTTAAAGGTCAGCACCAACATTTTGAATTGTGCTCGGAAACATACTGGGAGCCAGTGTAGGTCTTTCAGGACCGGTGTTATGTGGTCTCGGTGGCTGCTCCCAGTCACCAGTCTAGCTGCCATATTCTGGATTAGTTGTAGTTTCCGGGTCACCTTTAGAGGTAGCCCTTATTACTATTATCTGTAGATTAAACAGGATGTTGGTTTGGCATTCACAGTTTAGAAGACATCTGAAGGCAGCCCTGTTTAGGGAAGTTTTTAATGTCTGACATTTTAATGTATTTTTAATCTTTTGTTGGAAGCCGCCCAGAGTGGCTGGGGAAACCCAGCCAGATGGGCCACAGCTATCAACCTTCCCTTTTTTTGCTGGAAATTCCCTTATTCCAGCGCCATTTCCCGCTGCTTCCCGCTGCTATCCCAGATTGTTAGATATCCCGTAGACCTGTCCCGTAGACAGGTGAGGCTGCTGATCCCTTATTTTCGAGACTGCTGATTCCTTATTTTCAAATCTGAAAGTTGACGGCTATGAGATGGGCGGGGTACAAATAATAAATTATTATTATTATTAACCTGCAGGATAGGGGACCTCACCTGCCCGCAACCTTGAAATGCGCTTAAAAAACAACCACTCGCACACAGCTGAACCGAAAGAAAGAATCTCTCCCATCTATGTGACCTATTTTATTGGTATTGCGGTGTCAGCGTTTGGCTTTTCAGGAGCAGAGGAGGACAGGGCCAGGAAGACACACCCAGTGGCTCTGTGGGGGGACACTGGTCTCTCTACCGAGGCTGCTGGTGATGGCCCAGAGTGGAAGACCCCGCCTGAACCGGACCCTGGGTGGCTGAAGCACCAGTCTACGCTCCATCTCCTCTGGCCACACACACACATATTGTAGGGAGAGGTGGTCCTGGCATCAGTCTGTCCTGAGAGATCCCGAGAGTCCCTTCTTCGCGCAGGGTTGCCACCTGACCTTGTGGATGTATTGGTCAAATCTCACGGGTGGTCCTAGGAGACCCCCTGCGAAATGTCCTTTTTTTCTGCCAAGCTCTCCCCACCCCACACCTCTCCCCGCCGAGGGTTGCGCCCCAGGGTGGCCTTCCAATCTGCAGCTGCTCCTCAGAGATGGAGGGTGTAGATGTGGATATTTAATTATATATAGACACATAGATGATGATTATTTTTTCCCTGAGTTGGGAGCTGGTTCCCCGTAATTGGCACGAGCCAGGGGGTATGGGGTGGGGAGCAGGGAGAAAGCTGTAGTCCGTATCCAAAATGCCCTCGAGGCTGCAAGACCCTCACCCTCGCCGCCCCCTGTGCCCCATAACACATCCTGACAGCCGTCCAGGAACTTGACATCTTACCTCAGCCACTTGGAAGGAACTGACTCCTCCTGGCTGCTTGGAACTGACACCTCTGATCAATGGGAATGGAGGAAGCTGCCTAAAATAAGCAGATCAGACAGCCAGGCCTGACCCTGCTGCAACCTTTTCCACCACCACCACCTCTTTTTTTTTTAAGTGGGGAAGCCGGGGATTGAACCTACGACCTTCCGCATGCAAAGCAGGTGCTCTACTGTTGAGCTACCATATCATCCTGGCAGCCCGGAAGAAACCAACCTATTCCAGTATTGTCGTTTGGCTTTGGCCCACTTCTCTGCAAGCAAGGCTCTGTTCTCAGTACTGAAGCTTGAGCCGGGGCAATGGCAGACAGCAGGGGAAAGGGCCCACAATCCCATATTGAGCGCACCTCAGGCCGGCGTCCGTAAAAGTAGAGATCGGGTAGGGTGTCTCTCTGTCCCGCTCCATCTCCCTCCCTCCTCCCTCCCTCTCTCTTTAATCTTCCTTGGCCCGCCTCTCTCCGCTCGCTCTGAACAGGTTGGCCAAGGAGAAGGGCGAGCGCAGATGCTACTTGGAGCCGGAACCACCGTGGTTGATCTGCAAGAGGGAGTTGGTGGCATAGTTCTGGAAGAGAGGCTGCAGGAACATGCCAATGGTGCCAAAGACGCAGACGAAGACGAAGATCCACAGGAAGAGGCGGTCGATCACCATGGCAACGTACTTCCAGTCCTCGCTCACCTGGGGAAAGGCCAAGGATGCGGAAGTTAGCACCTGTCAGCTGGAACCCGTTTTGGCTTGGCAAGCACCTGTTGTGTGTGGGCCCGCTTGCGGGGCCTGCTTCCGACCAAACGGGTGCCAGATCTAGGTAAGGTAAGGTAAGGTAAGGTAAAGGGACCCCTGACCATTAGGTCCAGTCGTGGCTGACTCTGGGGTTGCGGTGCTCATCTCGCTTTATTGGCCGAGGGAGCCGGCGTACAGCTTCCGGCTCCTGTGGTCAGCATGACTAAGCCGCTTCTGGAGAACCAGAGCAGCGCACGGAAACGGCGTTTACTTTCCCACCAGAGCGGTACCTATTTATCTACTTGCAGTTCATGCTTTCGAACTGCTAGGTTGGCAGGAGCAGGGACCGAGCAACGGGAGCTCACCCCGTCGTGGGGATTCGAACCGCCGACCTTCTGATCGGCAAGTCCTAGGCTCTGTGGTTTAACCCACAGCGCCACCCGCGTCCCAAGGTAAGGTAAGGTAAGGTAAGGTAAAGTAAGGTAAGGTAAGGTAAGGTAAGGTAAGGTAAGGTAAGGTAAGGTAAAACAAAACAAAACACAAAACAAAACAAAACAAAACAAAACAAAACAAAACAAAACACACACACTCCACAAAAAGCCCAATCTGGGCTGTCTTAAGCATATGCAGTGCCGGGGTGCAAAGATCCACCCATTGCCCCCCCCCCCGGTTGCCCAGGGTTATTGCATAATTGTATAACAGTGGCACTTTGGGTTACATACGCTTCAGGTTACAGACTCCGCTAACCCAGAAATAGTGCTTCAGGTTAAGAACTTTGCTTCAGGATGAGAACAGAAATCGTGCTCCGGCGGTGCAGGGGCAGCAGGAGGCCCCATTTGCTACAGTGGTGCTTCAGGTTAAGAACAGTTTCAGGTTAAGGACGGACCTCCGGAAAGAATTAAGTACTTAACCCGAGGTACCACTGTAATTATATGATCGCTGTCTAATCTTAGGGGTGTATGAGGGGCCATTTCTGTGACTATCTTGAAGGGACCCTGCACTTCTGAATTTGCCACCACACTCCCGGTCAGGCCCCTTCCTGCTTCCTTACAGCCAGTCCAGTGGACAGCCCAGGCTGTTAGTTTTCTCCTCTTGGGTCTCAGTTTTGCCCTTGTAGAACAGAGCAGGAAGGAAGAGCAGAAGCAATTGGCCTTGCCTGCCATCGGCTCTGGCGCCACCTGCTGTTGATCTTCTTCTTTCTTCTTCTTTGGCGATCACTCATAGCTGAGTAAGATTGTCTTCCATAAACAGGTTTTAACAGTGAGTCCGTAAGTGACTGTGGAGGTCAATTCTGGACCCACACATCCTTCCACAGTGGGGACATAGGTTCCCGGGTGGGAGTTCATCACAGTGAGGGTTTGCCAAATGTGCCTTCCTCTTAGCACATTTCTCCCTTTTGTCCTGAGTTCGAGTGCCTTCAAAGTCCACGACCACCTTTGGCAAAGGCTCTTCTCCAATCAGAGCACCTGCAGGCCAGTGTTTCCCAATTGTTGGTGTCTATACTACTTTTTTAGGGATGCGGGTGGCGCTGTGGGTTAAACCACAGAGCCTAGGACTTGCCGATCAGAAGGTCGGTGGTTCGAATCCCCGCGATGGCGTGAGCTCCCGTTGCTCGGTCCCTGCTCCTGCCAACCTAGCAGTTCGAAAGCACGTCAAAGTGCAAGTAGATAAATAGGTATCGCTCCTGTGGGAAGGTAAATGGCGTTTCCATTCGCTGCTCTGGTTCGCCAGAAGCGGCCTAGTCATGCTGGCCACATGACCCAGAAGCTGTACGCCGGCTCCCTTGGCCCATAAAGCGAGATGAGTGCTGCAACCCCAGAGTCGTCTGTGACTGGACCTAATGGTCAGGGGTCCCTTTACCTTACTTATACTACTTTTATTTTTGGTCCGCTGCTCTAACAGCCCCAATGAGTACCAGCCACCACAATTATTAGTGGGGTTTTGTTTTTTTTACAATTTCAAATGTTGCACGCCCCTCCCCAACCCCCAGAGAATCCTAAGTGGGGGGGGGGGTGTTGCTAATTCTCCTTTTGTGATTTTTAGCCTCCTTCCCTTGCTCCCACAGAACCTGATCCTGGGGAGAGGCAAGACCTGCTTAAATATTTTAAAGAGCAGACTGTTTAGCCTGCTTTTAAAAATGGTTTCAGCTCGGGTTCCCCTCCTCTTTCTTTCTTTCTTTCTTTTTTTTGTAATGCTGGTTTTAATTACTGCTTTTGTTTTAGGAAGTTTCTTTCATTTGCTAATTTTGCAAACTGCCTTCAAACCGATGGTGAAAAGCAGAATAGTAAAGTTAGCATTAAACAAAAACAACAATAGAGTTGCCTGTGTTGATTGCACCCTTTACAGTTGTTTTAGGTAAAGATAAAGGGACCCCTGACCATTAGGTCCAGTCACGGACAACTCTGGGGTTGCGGCGCTCATCTCGCTTTATTGGCCGAGGGAGCCGGCGTACAGCTTCCGGGTCATGTGGCCAGCATGACTAAGCCGCTTCTGGCGAACCAGAGCAGCGCACGGAAATGCCGTTTATCTTCCCGCCAGAGCAGTACCTATTTATCTACTTGCACTTTGACGTGCTTTCAAACTGCTAGGTTGGCAGGAGCAGGCACTGAGCAACGGGAGCTAACCCCGTTGCAGGGATTCAAACCGGCAACCGTCTGATCGGCAAGCCCTAGGCTCTGTGGTTTAACCCACAGTGCCACCCGCGTCCCAGTTGGACTCCCTTAGAGTGGTTGGACTCCCTTTTTTAAGCCAAAGGGCTTGCAGAGCAGTTTGTGGACTACAAATTAAAACAAGGCCTTCCCTGCCCGCAGGCCTAAAAGCGATGGCACAAAAGGAAAAGGCAACCAGCAGGGAAGAGGAAAGAAGTAAACTCAGGCACCATTTCTTGAAGTGAAACAGGAACTCTTATCAGGAGGAGCTGGAATGGAAGCAGCTCAGAGCTGGCCTTTCAGCTGATGGCCTTTCTCATCTCTCCCACTGACGTAGCCTGCTGGAATGACTGCTACCTGGTGGCAGTAGAGGGAGAGGAGGCCTGACGCAGCTGGCCTTTCAACGGGAGCTTACCCCATGGCGGGGATTCAAACCCCCAACCTTCTGATCGGCAAGCCCTAGGCTCTGAAATGACAGCTCCCTGAAGGCTATCTGAAGCCTGGTTTGCTGGCAAACCAGGAAAGTCCTTCAGGTTTCTGCTCTGGGTCAATTTTATCTTCATTCTCATGAGGGCTAGAGCCCTGATATGCTTTTAAATGAAAGCTGGGTTTCCAAGGCTTCTAAATTCTCTGTATGGGCCATACGTGTACTGGGAGAATGGGGAGGGAGTCTCAAACACAGTACACAGAGGATATACTCGTCCTCAGCTCCAGCTCAGCTTCCAATTATATTTAAGTGTGCAATCTCTCATGGACCCATGTTTACATGGGATTTTTAAGATTTATTTTTTGAAGTACGCCAGTTCTCAAGGGTAATACCCAAATCCTTTGCCAGGAAAAAGCAAGAAGGCTGGGAACTTTGTGCCAAAAGGAATATTTGCTTATTGTTCACTTCTCATTGCCCACAAGAGTGTCTTTAAAGCCTCAGAGAGTTTTATTCTATTAAGTGGGTTATATGGAAATTTGTAAAATGCAAATCATAAAGGCTGGCTCAGGAATGGGGAGCCTTCTTTCTCCCTAAGGGCCACATTCTGGGGGCCACACACACCAGTGATGAGCAGGGCAAAAATTGGGCAGAGTGCTAAATCTAAGTTTTACCTTTGCACTATAAGGTAAAGGTAAAGGGACCCCTGACCATTAGGTCCAGTCGTGCCTGACTCTGGGGTTGTGGCGCTCATCTCGCTTTATTGGCCGAGGGAGCTGGCGTACAGCTTCCAGGTCATGTGGCCAGCATGACTAAGCCGCTTCTGGCGAAACCAGAGCAGCGCACAGAAATGCCATTTACCTTGCCGCCAGAGTGGTACCTATTTATCTACTTGCACTTTGACGTGCTTTTGAACTGCTAGGTGGACAGGAGCTGGGACTGAGCAGTGGTGGCAAGCCCTAGGCTCTGTGATTTAGACCATAGCGCCACCTGCATCCCTCTCACCTCCAGTAAAGGTAAAGGCAAAGGGACCCCTGGCCATTAGGTCCAGTCATGGCTGACTCTGGGGTTGCGGTGCTCATCTTGCTTTACTGGCTGAGGGAGCCGGTGCACAGCTTCTGGGTCATGTGGCCAGCATGACTAAGCCGCTTCTGGCGAACCAGAGCAGCGCACGGAAACGCCATTTACCTTCCCGCCAGAGTGGTACCTATTTATCTACTTGCACTTTGACTCGCTTTCGAACTGCTAGGTTGGCAGGAGCAGGGACCGAGCAACGGGAGCTCACCCCATTGCAGGGATTCGAACCGCCGACCTTCTGATCGGCAAGCCCTCGGCTCTGTGGTTTAACCCACAGCACCACCCGCGTCCCTCCAGTAGTTTCCAGCAACTGGTATTCAGAAGCATTCCTGCCTTCGACTGAGGGTGACGAAGGGAGAGTCTCGCCGGTCTCCTCCCCCCCCCCCATCAGTGCTCAGCTGGCTTGGCCCCAAACCTGCAGCCTCAGAGCGCAGCCTGGGGCAGTGACATCACTCTGCTGCTGTTCCAGGTTCCCCTTCCTCTCGGTTCCTATGGCAACTGCTTCATACCTGACACCTCCCTGGTCCAGTGGGCATAGAGCATCTCCTTCTGCAAATAGTTTCTGGCAAGGCTACCAGATCAGATGGATGATTTGCTTTGGTGAGGAAGTCGTCGTTGGCGGGGGCTACCTTTGACCCATTGCTCTCTGGCCACAGATGGATGGGGGAAGGACTTGGACAAATGCCCAAAACACCCCCAGCACCCCTTGTAATGTTTTATTATGTTTTTATGTATGTTGGAGGCTGCCCAGAGTAGCTGGGGCAACCCAGTCAGATGGGCAGTGTACAAATTATTATTATTATTATTATTATTATTATTATTATTATTACAGTGGTACCTAAGGTTAAGTATTTAATTCGTTCCGGAGGTCCATTCTTAACCTGAAACTGTTCTTAACCTGAAGCACCACTTTAGCTAATGGGGCCTCCTGCTGCTGCCGCACCGCCGGAGCACGATTTCTGTTCTCATCCTGAAGCAAAGTTCTTAACCCGAGGTACTATTTCTGGGTTAGCGGAGTCTGTAACCTGAAGCGTATGTAACCTGAAGCATATGTAACCTGAGGTACCACATTATTATTATTATTATTATTATTATTATTCCACCAGCAAAGCAGCAGACCTCCAAGAAATATAAGTCTGTTTTCCCAGACTTCTCTCTCTCGGTCTCTCCCTCCCTTACATCCATATCTCACTGCACATGAATTTTTCATGCGCCTTCAGCACAGGGATCCAGCCGAGCAGAAGGGAAATATTGATTCTGGAGCTCGCCGGTGTCTCAGTTGGAGAACACAGCTGCCCTGCACTCGGAGGTGGGGAATAGGTCAGGAAAGGACAGGGTATTCTGACTCATGGCTTGGCAAAGGAGAGGCGGCAGGGAGATGGGGAAGAAGCAAGGAAGAGTTGTGTCACCCCCAGGAAATGTCTAAGGGATGGGAAATTGCCACAGCCTTTTTCTTAAAAAAAAACAAAAACAAACAGTGCATCATGTTTCAGGAGATGATGATTCGAGATATGGTGGGGAAAGCTTTGTAAGAAGTGCCCTGACTGATCAGAACGAAGCGTCGAGTTATACAGCGGTTCCTTGGTTTACAGACGCTTCAGGTTACAGACTCCGCTAACCCAGAAATAGTACCTCGGGTTAAGAACTTTGCTTCAGGATGAGAACAGAAATTGTCTGGCAGCAGCGGGAGGCCCCATTAGCTAAAGTGGTACCTCAGGTTAAGAACAGTTTCAGGTTAAGAATGGACCTCCAGAATGAATTAAGTTATTAACCCAAGGTACCACTGTAATGTGTTCAGGCAGAAGTGTCCAAATCGAACCCTTAAAGGCAACCACTGAGTTTGTTCCCCAGCTACTGGAATTTAGAGGTAGACTTTGCCTGAACAAGGAAGTTCTACATAGCTACATAGGTAAGGTTACCAGACGTCCCTGTTTCCTGGGGACAGTCCCCGGATTTACAAATCAGTCCCCTGACGAAATCCATCTATTCAACAGGAAGTTGAAAAAATGTCCCCAGATTCATTGAAAAAAATCTGGTAACCTTAGCCCAAGACCACACATTGAAAGCAATTGCAATACAGTGGCACCTCAGGTTAAGAACTTTATTCGTTCTGGAGGTCCGTTCTTAACCTGAAACTGTTCTTAACCTGAGGTACCACTTGAGCTAATGGGGCCTCCCGCTGTGGCGGCGCGATTTCTGTTCTCATCCTGAAGCAAAGTTCTTAACCCGAGGTACTATTTCTGGGTTAGCAGAGTCTGTAACCTGAAGCGTCTGTAACCTGAGGTACCACTGTACCACGTTAAACGCTCATGGCTCCACCCCTTGCAAAGAATCCTGGGAACTGTAGTTTAAGGGTGCTGAGATCTGTTAGGAAACTCCTGTGACCCTCAAACGGCTACAATTCTCAGAGCTCCCTGGGGAACAGGATGCAGGATTAGATAATAATAATAATCTTATTATTGATACCCCGCCCATCTGATGGGTGATCAGCTTGGTCCAGCAGGGGCTGTTCTTATGTCTTTATATCAAAGACTGGCAGATTGGTTTTCACCCAGAGATCATTGCCACTGTATGTATATGTGGTAAAAAATAAATTAGAAAGTGAGTCACATCAGGCATCTTGGGTCTAAAGGATGCTGTCATGGAAGTTTTGGCTGAGATTCCTGGATTGCAGGGGTTTGGATCAAATGACCGCTCTCTGAAGCACCCAGCCTCCTTTAAAAGGCGTTGGGGAAAACGTTGATGGAGGGGGGATTGCAGAAAACTGTGAGCAGAGGGGGCTGGAGGAGCTGCAAGGGAATAGGTGAGGGATAAAGGGGGGAGTAGGGTTGGGATTGGCAAGTAGGGGGGGTTGGAGGAGTGAGCAGGGATGGCAGCCCCTAATATCCTACACACAGAGAGAGAAAGCAACCTACTAATTTTTTGTGGGCTTATTTCAGGCGCTCCAACTGTCCCTATTTTCCAGGGACAGTCCTGGATTTGCAGAAGCTATCCCGGTTTCTGATTTAATCCCAGAATGTCCCGCTTTCCCTTAGAACATGGACAGGCAAACTAAGGCCCGGGGGCCGGATCCGGCCCAATCTCCTTCTGAATCCGGCCCACGGACGGTCCAGGAATCAGTGTGTTTTTACATGAGTAGAATGTGTCCTTTTATTTAAAATGCACCTCTGGGTTATTTGTGGGGCACAGGAATTCGTTCATTCCCCCCCCCCCAAAAAAATATAGTCCGGCCCCCCACAAGGTCTGAGGGACAGTGGACCGGCCCCCTGCTGTAAAAGTTTGCTGATACCTGCCTTAGGACGTCCCTATTTTTATTGGAGAAATGTTGGAGGGTTTGGAGTGACCACCGAGCCAAGGAGATCAGTAACTACAAAACCGTTAGAAGACATTTGAAGTCAGCCCTATATAAATGTTTTTTATGTTTTTGTATATGTTGAAAGCCGCCCAGAGTGGCTGTGGCAGCACAGTCAAATGGGTGGGGAATTATTAGTATTCTTTTGGAATAGGACGTCCTTATTTTCATCATCATCATCATCATCATCATAATTTATTTATACACCACCGATCTGACTGGGTTTCCCCAGCCACTCTGGGCAGCTCCCAACAGAATATTAAAAACACAATAAAACCAACCAACAATATCCTCAAAGATAAAAAGAATATATTCCTCTATGTGACAGCAGTGGCTAGATTACTAGAGGCAAAAAATTAGAAAACAGGAAAAATATTTCAGAATGGAGAATGGTGAATTTATGGAGATGGCAAAATTAACGGCATCAATTAGGGGCTGCCCCAAGCAAAAATCAAGAGAGAATGGGAGTGTGTAGCGATATATATGAAAAAATATGGATATGGAAATTAAGTTTAACATAAACGTAAAGGGAAAGACCCACAAGGCTACAAGATCATATTATAAAGGATATGACTATTAAGTATAAATAACTGCTAAGACAACAAGAAACAATAATACAAATGCCAATAAGATCTCACATGGGTGAGGGGAAGTCGGGTGGGGGGAGGGGTGGTATTTGGAAAATTATTGAGAATGTGATATAAAAGTAAAATTATTGTGTTTGTAATTTGAATTATTTTGAATGATTGTGGTTGTAAGTTTTTTTCTAGTTTTTACTCCTTTTTCTGTCGCAAAAACTTTAAATAATAAAAAAACACAATAAAACATCGAACATTAAAAACTTCCCTAAACAGGACTGCCTTCAGATGTCTTCTAAAAGTCAGACAGTTGTTTATTTCCTTGACATCTGATGAGCGGGTGCCACTACCGAGAAGGCCCTCCGCCTGGTTCCCTGTAACCTCACTTCTCGCAGTGAGAGAACCACCAGAAGGCCCTCAGAGCTGGATCTCAGTGTCCGGGCTGAACAATGCAGGTGGAGATGCTCCTTCAGAAAAATGTTGGCGGGTATGTTATTTACAAGACTGACTTAAGGCCACAAAAGCCCACCACCCTGCCCTCAAGCCCCTTCCCTTCCAGACACTCACACTCTGGTCGTCGTCTTCACTCTTCATATGATCCGCGATGAAGCGTACTCCGTCCACAGCCTCCTCCAGGCCGCAGCAACAGGGGCCTGGCGGTGGCACCGTTTGACCCGGCCTGTCCCGGTAACCGTTGACTCCCGGCTCCGACGTTTCCGTAAAGGGCCTTCCCCCGCCATCACCGCCGCTCCCCGCCCCGAACTTCTTGACCGTGGACGGGTTGACGTAGCAAGTGCAGGACCTGGCACCTTCGCGGAGGAAGAAGCTCCCGGTCGTCCGCTCCTGGTTCTGCCGCTTCTGGCGCAACCTCTGGCGGGCGCAGTTCTGCCGGGGCTGCTTCATGAAGAGGAGGGTGGGCAGCTTGTCCAGGAAGACCACCTTGACCCAGGGCGGCATGGTGTGGGTGGTGGGCGAGCGGTGGTGGACGTTCAACACACAGACGCTGGTGACAATGGAGAAGGTCACCAAGACCATGGTGAACATCAGGTACTTGCCCACCAGCGGCACGTCCAGCGAGGTGGGCGGCACGATCTTGGAGATCAGAAGCAGGAAGACGGTGAGGGCCAAAAGGACCGAGATGCAGAGGGTCATCTTCTCGCCGCAGTCGGAAGGCAGGTAGAAGACCAGGATGGCTAAGGAGGTGATGAGGATGCAAGGGATGATGAGGTTGATGGTGTAGAAGAGCGGTTTGCGGCGGATGATGAAGTCATAGGTGATGTCCACGTAGGTGGAGTCGTTGGGGTTCTCGTTGCGCCGTCCCGGCAGGGCAATGATGTCCCACTCTCCGCTGGGGGTGAAGTCATCCAAGCTGGCCACCTCGCTCTTCAACACCAGGTCGATCTCCGTCCGGTCATAAGTCCACGAGCGGAACTTCATGGTGCAGTTCTGCTGGTCAAAGGGGAAATGCTTCACCTCAATTTTGCAGGCACTCTTGTAGATGGCCGGAGGGAGCCAGAAGATGCTGCCATCGTAGGAGACGACGGCGTTGGAGTAGAAGGACACCTCGTACATCCCGTCGGCGCTGGGGAAGGGGAGGGAAAAGGGGAAGCAATGCTCATTGTTGGTCTACAACAGGGGTCAGCAACCTTTTTCAGCCGTGGGCCAGTCCACCGTCCCTCAAGCCATGGGCTGGACTATATTTTTTGGGGGGGTGGGAAAGGAATGAAGTCCTATGCCCCACATAACCCAGAGATGCATTTTAAATAAAAGGACACATTCTACTCATGTAAAAACATGCTGATCCCCGGACCGTCCATGAGCCGGGTTGAGAAGGCAATTGGGCCGGATCCGGGCCCCGGGCCTTAGGTTGCCTACCCCTGGTCTAGAAGGTGCATGTCTGGACTGGACTGGACTAGACTGGAGGCTGGACTGAGGAGGAATGGTGGGAGCCGCTACCCGCTTCTCCTGAAGCTTCCCAAGGGCAGGAGGACAGTATTGAGTTAGAACAGTGGTTTGCAGAAGGGCATAGTCCAGAGGTGAAAAGCTGGGAAATACTGGATAAGGAACAGCTAGAAGAGGAAACACCAGGAGGGAGACATCTGGCAGATTCAGTGTCCTTGGACAGCATTCCAGACCCCCTTCGCCTAGAACTAGACAGGCTCCAAGAGTGATAGAACAGAGAGCGCAGCAGCAACAAGCTCAGGTTACCCGACGTAGGAGTGGCGCAGATTAATGGGGACAGAGGAGGGGTAAACCTTTACTGGGAGCACCGCCATTTCTAGAGAGATATACATTGCTTTGTCTGTCTCTCACTGTGTTTATTAAAGAAACTAACTGGTAAGAACACTTCTTTTGTTTGATCTGCTTATTCACTGCCACCAGGGGAGCGTTCCGATTCTCCGAAGCCTGATGGTGCAGGTGCCCAGATCAGAGCTCACGCACCGTGTGCACACACGCACAAATGCCTACCCATGCCATCCACACATTCCTCATAATGCAGGCCACCCGGACCTGCCTTTTTATCTGTTTGATTCTATTTATGAATTGTGGCCCATAATATAGTTTGAAGCGCTTTCACAGTAGGAACCTCCACAGCCGAAACAATGAAATGAAGAAAATTGGTCTTTAAAAGCGCTTTCCTGTATAAAAACAATTAAAAACTATTTCCTGTTGGACTGGACGACTCTCATGGTCCTTTCTTACTCTACAGTTCCATGCGGAAACCAGGGCTTTCAGCTGGAACTCAGTTCCAGCACCTCTCAGGTGGGCGCCATTGCCATTCTAACAGAACAAGCGAGGCATTTGTGGTGAGTTCCGGCACCTCTTTTTCTAGAACCAACTGCACTGGCTCCCGGTGGAGTACAGGGTCAGGTTTAAGGTGCTGGTTTTGACCTTTAAAGCCCTCTGCGACCTATGACACACGTACCTACGGGATTGCCTCTCCTGGTATGCCCCACGGAGGACCTTAAGGTCCACAAATGACAACACCTTGGAGGTCCCAAGCCTCAAGGAGGTTAGATTGGTCTCAACTAGGGCCAGGGCCTTTTCAGCACTGGCCCCGACGTGGTGGAACGCTCTGTCACAAGAGACTAGAGCCCTGCGGGACTTGACATCTTTCCGCAGGGCCTGCAAGATGGAGCTGCTCTGCCTGGCCTTTGGTTTGGATTCAGTCTGACCCTTATGTTTCCCTCACCTTATGGTCTTGATTTATCAGCTATTTTTAAATGAGGCTGCATTTTAACCTGTATTTTAAATTGGGTTTTTTTTTTCTCCCTCTCTTTCCCCCCTATTATGTTTTTACTGTGATTTTATTTTATTGGTGTTAGCCGCCCTGAGCCCACCTCTGGCCGGGGAGGGCGGGGTATAAAATAAAAATTATTATTATTATTATTATTATTATTATTATCATTTCAGATCCAATAAACGTACAGTTACTCTGTCTCTCACACATACACACTCACTCTCAGTCAAACATACACGGTCTCTCTCTCTCTCTCACACACACACACACACACACACAAGCATGTTCCACTTTCTAACCTGCTTTTAAACCACCTCAATCCCTATCTAGCAGCAGGCAAGTGTAGTGTAGTGGTTAAGAGCAGTGGACTCGTAATCTGGGGAACCGGGTTCGCTTCCCCGCTCCTCCACATGCAGCTGCTGGGTGACCTTGGGCCAGTCACACTTCTCTGAAGTCTCTCAGCCCCACTCACCTCACAGAGTGTTTGTTGTGGGGGAAGAAGGGAAAGGACAATGTTAGCCGCTTTGAGACTCCTGAAGGGGAGTGAAAGGCAGGATATCAAATCCCCCCCCCAAGAAAGCAAGTGTAGGGGACCTTTGGCCCTCCAGATGTTGCTGAACGACACCTCCCATCATCGCTGCCCATTAGCCATGCTTGCTGGGGCTCATGGGAGTTGTAGTCCAGCAACGTTTGGAAGGCCAAAGGTCCCCTACGCCTGGCTTTGAAAGCTCTTCTGATACCGCGGCATTGTGACAAGGAGGAAGATGGGGCCGGGGTGGCCCCTCCAGATGGTTCTGCAGTCCTAATACGGCCCATGAACTGCAGGTTCACTATTGTCGTCCGAGATCCGCAAGCATTAGACCCAGGGCAAAGAATGCTGAGGTGCACCTACTTGTTGTAGAGCACAACATCCGGAAGCCAGATGTGTTTGGATGGCAGCCGCACCTTCTTCATGTCATCAAACTCCTCTGGGTTCCATGTAAGGCGATAATCCTCCCATTCCTGCAATGGAGAGAGAAAGAGAGATGGGGTGGGGGTGGGGCTTGACACAACCGGGATGGCCAAATCCCCAAGCCTGACCTGAAGTCTCCAGTTTTGCCTCACTCCTTCCAGGTGGCAGGTGGAGGTCCTGAATCTCCAGGTGGGTGAGAGTGGCTTATTTTGGGGGTTTTTAGTATTAAAAAGATGCAAGGTTCTATTAGGATATAGTTCTGTTCCACCTTAAAAGAAACAGGCATGACTGTTGTGTGTCACGTGCCTGTTTACTTCCAGCACAGGCTTGCTGGGAACGTCCGTTTGTATATTGCTATTGCTTTGCTCTTTTGTCGGACACGAAGGGAAGCAGACATGTTTTTCCTTTGTTCCTGAACTATGCTGAATAAACGTCTGTAAATAATGCTTACACATGTCTCTGTCCGCCACTTCCGTCGTGAGAAGTCCGAGTCACAGCACCAAAGACATGTGTAAGCATTATTTACAGGCGTTTATTCAACATAAACGCGGGTGGCGTTTATTCAGGGATGCGGGTGGCGCTGTGGGTTAAACCACAGAACCTAGGACTTGCTGATCAGAAGGTCACCAGTCTGGCAGCCGCATTCTGGATTAGTTGTACTTTCCAAGTCACCTTCAAAGGCAGCCCCACGTAGAGTGCATTGCAGAAGTCCAAGCGGCAGATAACCAGATCATGTACCCAGTGCTTTTTTCTGGGGGGACGCATACCCCTAAACATTTTGTGAATCTAAGTTTGGCCTCATTGAGGGGCAGTATTTCAGTATGAGTAGGAAAATGAGAGTACCCCTAAACATTTTTTAAGAAAAAAAAGCACAGCGTGTACCACTCTGGCGAGACAGTCTGCAGGCAGGTAGGGTCTCAACCAGTGTACCAGATGGAGCTGGTAAGAATTCTCGACACCTTTAACAAGCTACTATTCCCAGGATTCCTTGGGGCTGTGCGCCTGAGTTATGGGGGACCTCTAACAGTGACTCCCCCAAATACCGCAGTGACTGGGCAGTGATATGAGAAATCAGAGTGGTCCTTGAGATATCTTGAACCCTGGTTGTTATGGGGCTTGTAAATTGATGCAAGACCTTTGAATCAGGCCTGGTAGTGTATGGGCAGCCAGTGTAAGCTTTCGAGCACTGATGATTGATGGATGATGCACTGGTGGTTGTCTCCGTCAACAGTCTCCCTGCAGCATTTTGCAACAGCTGGAGCCTCTGGTCTAGATAGTGTCCAACATAGTGCTCATTTTCCCCTTCCTGCTTCCAACTGCAGCAGAAGGTAAGTGATTAAGCAAACCACTATTACTGAAAAGGGGCACATTGGTTCTATTTATGAGTAAATAAATAAAGAGAGGGGTGGTGGCAGGCAACTTACCTGGGTCAGCCACACGTTGGTGGTCATGATCTGCTCCCGCTCGTGCTGTCAACAGAAGCAAAAGAAAAGGCATCAGAATAATAATAATAATAATAATAATAATAATAATAATAATATATTTATACCCTGCCCATCTGGCTGGGCTTCCCCAGCCACTCTGGGTGGCTTCCAACAAAATACAGTGGTATCTCAGGTTAAGAACTTAATTCGTTCCGGAGGTCCGTTCTTAACCTGAAACTGTTCTTAACCTGAAGCACCACTTTAGCTAATAGGGCCTCCTGCTGCCGCCGCGCCACCACTGCGCGATCTCTGTTCTCATCCTGAAGCAAAGTTCTTAACCCAAGGTACTATTTCTGGGTTAGTGGAGTCTGTAACCTGAAGCGTATATAACCTGAAGAGTACCTGGGGTACCACTGTATTAAAATACTGTAATGCATCAAACATTAAAAGCTTCCCTAAACAGGGCTGCCTTCAGATGTCTTCTAAAAGTCTGGTAGTAGTTGTTGTTCTCTTTGACATCTGGTGGGAGGGCGTTCCACAGGGCGGGTGCCACTACAGAGAAGGCCCTCTGCCTGGTTCCCCGTAAGTTGGCTTTTTGCAGTGAGGGAACCGCCAGAAGGCCCTCGGTGCTGGACCTCAGTGTCCGGGCAGAATGATGGGGGTGGAGACGCTCCTTCAGATATTCTGGACCGAGGCCGTTTAGGGCTTTAAAGGTCAGCACCAACACTTTGAATTGAAGTGAAGAACACGAGAAGAGCCCACTGGGTCAAGCCAAAGGCTAGTCCAGCATCCTCTTCTCACAGTGGCCGACCAGATGCAAGCAGCTCCTGAGCACAAGGGCCAACCCCGCTCCTGCAGCTTCCAGTGACTGGTTCTCAGTAGCATTGCTGCCTTCAGTCGTGGAGGCATTGTGGGCAGTAGCTACGGATAGCTCCTGTCCAATCTTCTTTGAACACAAGCTCAAGCCACCAGCAGCCAGCTTGGCCAATGGTCAGAGGTGGTGGGAGTTGTAGTACCACAAGCTTTGGGCGGGATGACACCATGTTATAGAGAGTACTTACATTATGATGGTTAGTTGGTACGAGCAATGATCACCTTTCAAGATCAAAATTTGGCCAAATTTATCCATAGATCAAGACATCTCTTCTTAAAGGAAAGGATAGCAATACTAAGATTCTTTGAAAATATTGTACCATTGACCCTTTGATGCCAAGTGTGGTTAGCCAATGGTAGAAGAGGACCAGGAAAAATCCAAAAAGGAGAACCAACTCCAAAAGGTCATAAACAAGAGACCCCAAAATTAAAAAGGAAAAGCACACCCTTACACGATTTGCAATGCCCTGTGAGCGAGCAAAAGGACAATTTCTCTATAGAAGAAAACACTCTAAGTCAATTCTGGTCATTCCCATCCTCAGTCCAAGCTAAAATTTTAGAAAGACTAGAAACATTAAGAAACAGACTGGCTGGGAAAGACACATATAATGATACCAAGGTAAGGTAAAGCTAAAGGGACCCCTGACCATTAGGTCCAGTCATGACCGACTCTGGGGTTGCGGCGCTCATCTCGCTTTATTGGCTGAGGGAGCCGGCGTACAGTTTCCGGGTCATGTGGCCAGCATGACTAAGCCGCTTCTGGCAAACCAGAGCAGCACATGGAAACGCTGTTTACCTTCCCGCTGGAGCGGTACCTATTTATCTACTTGCACTTTGACTTGCTTTCGAACTGCTAGGTTGGCAGGAGCTGGGACCGAGCAATGGGAGCTCACCCCGTCGTGGGGATTCGAACCGCCGACCTTCTGATCAGCAAGCCCTAGGCTCTGTGGTTTAACCCACAGTGCCACCCGCGTCCAATGATACCAAGGAGGATGACCTAAAAAAGGGCCAGATTTTCTCCAAAATGATTCCTACACAGGAATATAACTCAGCAAGGCAAAGCAGAGATTGGGTGGCCATCTGTCAGGGATTCCTTCGCTGTGATGCCCACCTTGCAGAGGGTTGGACTAGATGACTGTTGGGGTTCCCTTTGAACTCAGCAGTTCTATGATTCTAAAAGGGCAGCTCCAAGAAGGAAGCTTTCTCCAGACTTACAGAAGACCTCTGCTTTGAACAGCATTTTGACCCGTTTGGCAGTTCCCAGTTCCCCATCTTTGGTACGTACCACGCTGATGAGCTGGGCCAATGATACCATCAGCTGCACAGTAACCAACTCGGATCCATTGGTGGCCGGGCGGATCAGCTTGTTGTACCGTGACGGATCCAGGAGATGTTCTACCAACCGCTCTTCCGTGTCTGTGCCCAGGGTCCCTGCGTGGAGGTGGAGAAGGAAGCAGGCAGAGTAAAGCAAACAGCGTTCAGAACGAACACAGAACATATGCACAACAAGGCAGACATCCCTACTGTTAGGTACTGAGTTGAATAGGATCCAGAATGCAGCAGTCTGATTGGTCCACAGGAGCCACCCAATCCAGCTCCAAGTGGAAGTGAATCTGCAACCTGATTGGCCTACAGGAGAATTCCAGAATTAGCCAATCACGTGGGGCCCATTGTGTAAATAATGTATATAAAGCAGACATTCTGGGGGAACTTCCATTCCTCCTCACCACTATGAGCTGAATAAAGAGCATGAAATCCACTATTGACTCCGAGTATATTTCACCTACTTATCCCTTTTCACCAGTGAGCCATACAGCTTCCTAAATCAGGATGTTCAGTGATTGGTATTCAGGCACTGACTGCCTATTAATACGCAGGTTTTGTTGAGCTACCGTGACTGTATTAAATATCAGTGAGCCTCCCTCTCGTTCAGTGTCTCCTCTTTTTTAAAAAAAATTGTTTTTAAGATTAAAGCTTTACATTCACATATCGAACGTACAACATGGAAATAAGATTCCAAGGAATCTCCCGGACTTCCCTCCTCCCCTTTGTGGGTCCTGTTGTTAATCGTTTCCTCCTGCATCTTTTATGACAATCCACATCTTTTACATCTCCACTGTGTCCAAAATTCACCCTTAAACTACAAGTGATATTCCAATCCTAGTAACAATTTTAACTGTTTATAATGGTTTTTTAAGATAGGTTAGATAGATAGTTTATTAATTACGGTTGGAGACCAGCTTATAAAACACACTTGGGGGTACAATCCAAGAAGGAAAACAAAGATTTAAAACAATGTAAAAGATAGGTTATAAATTTCCCCCATTCCTTATTAAAATTTTGGTCTTCCTGATTTCTTATTCTTCAGGTTATTTTAGCCATTTCCACACAATCCATCAACTTGATCTGCCATCCTTCTCTGGTAGGGACTTACTCTTCTAGTTCCATCTCTTTTAGTTCAGTGTTTCCAAAACTTGGGCCTCCAGCTGTTGTTGGACTACAACTCCCATCATCCCTAGCTAGCAGGACCAGTGGCTAGGGATGATGGGAGTTGTAGTCCAAAAGCAGCTAGAGACTCAAGTCCGGGGAACACTAGCTTCCTTTTCCTCAAGACACCTTTCGGTCCCATCTTGTGACAGAAACGGCCCTAAGCCAATGAACATTTGTACGAAAAAGGACTATTTTGGGGAGGGATTCAGGGCTCCGTCCTGAATCTCTCTTTCTCTCTCTCTCTCCTCTCCACAAGGAGCTCCCCTGACCACAAGCAACAGCCTCTCAAGCAGGCTCGTTTCCAAGCCAGCTTCCTGATGGATAGCTAATCCCCAGGCATTCATGAGCCCATTTTGGCAGGCTGTTAAAATGTCACCAGCTCTTAGCTTGCTCAGAATTACGGCCTGCTCTGATCCAGCAGCCCTTGAGCAGAGCCAAGGCTGCAGCTGAGTAGACATGGAGGCTGTGTGTGTCTTGCTCTTCCTGTCTCCGAATCCACGCATGGCACCAGAGCCACAGAGCCTAGGACTTGCTGATCGGAAGGTCGGCGGTTCGAATCCCCGTTACGGGGTGAGCTCCCGTTTCTCTGGCCCTGCTCCTGCCAACCTAGCAGTTCGAAAGCACGTCAAAGTGCAAGTAGATAAATAGGTACCGCTCCGGCGGGAAGGTAAACGGCGTTTCCGTGCGCTGCTCTGGTTCGCCAGAAGCGGCTTAGTCATGCTGGCCACATGACCCAGAAGCTGTACGCCGGCTCCCTCAGCCAATAAAGCGAGATGAGCGCCGCAACCCCAGAATCGGCCACAACTGGACCTAATGGTCAGGGGTCCCTTTACCTTACCAGGGCCAATGGTCAGTGGAGCCAGCTGGCTTGAATTTTGTCCCCTTCACCCTCCTCCTAAGACTAGGGAGGAGGAAGGTGACAGACAGTGTCACCCCATGAACTGGGAGTAAGCCAGGTGGGGAGTTGACTGAAGGCAGGCAGAAGTTCTTGAGGTAAAGCCTGAATCGACCAGCCTTCATCGTGGCTGCAGCATTATCACGTCCCACCTATGATTATCAACTCTTTTTGTTTGTTTCTTCCTGGCCTCCTTTTGCCTTTAGCTGCTGGACAACAGGCTGAAAGCCAACAGGTCAAGCTGGACCTGGTGTGGTGGTACATAGCAAGGGCCACCAGCCAAATTTTCTTCCCAGCTGTCACAAAAGAGGCCTATTTCAAAAATCTAATTCTCCTCTGCACCTCCTTCTTCAACACGGCAATATTCTTGTTGTTCCTGTATGTGCGCCTATATCCCCACACTTGGTGTTGGTTGTGGTTTTGGTGAGTGGTGTGTGTGTGCCTTTTAACTCTGAAAGCCCTTTTAGCCTCGCGCACAAAGACCACTTAAAAACAACCACACGCCGTAAGGATGAGCGCAGCTAAAAGGAAGCCATCAGAAATACATTAAAACGGCAGTATAAATAGAATTTGAAAGGCCAGCTGCGTCAGGCCTCCTCTCCCTCTACTGCCACCAGGTAGCAGTCATTCCAGCAGGCTACGTCAGTGGGAGAGATGAGAAAGGCCATCAGCTGAAAGGCCAGCTCTGAGCTGCTTCCATTCCAGCTCCTCCTGATAAGAGTTCCTGTTTCACTTCAAGAAATGGTGCCTGAGTTTACTTCTTTCCTCTTCCCTGCTTGTTGCCTTTTCCTTTTGTGCCGTCACTTTTAGGCCTGCGGGCAGGGAAGGCCTTGTTTTAATTTGTAGTCCACTAACTGCTCTGCAAGCCCTTTGGCTTAAAAAAGGGAGTCCAACCGCTCTAAGGGAGTCCAACTGGGACGCGGGTGGCACTGTGGTTTAAACCACCGAGCCTAGGGCTTGCCGATCAGAAGGTCGGCAGTTCGAATCCCCGCGACGGGGTGAGCTCCCGTTGCTTGGTCCCTGCTCCTGCCAACCTAGCAGTTCAAAAGCACGTCAAAGTGCAAGTAGATAAATAGGTACCACTCCAGCAGGAAGGTAAACGGCATTTCCGTGGGCTGCTCTGGTTCGCCAGAAGCAGCTTAGTCATGCTGGCCACATGACCCGGAAGCTGTATGCCGGCTCCCTCGGCCAGTAAAGCGAGATGAGCACCGCAACCCCAGAGTTGGCCACAACTGGACCTAACAGTCAGGGGTCCCTTTACCTTTAACTGCTCTAAATAAGTAACACTGAGCGGGGGTTGGGGGGGACCCTGATGGTTCTTAACTACTGTTAACATCTTTGCCAAACGAGACAGGCCTTGTCTGGTGTCTGAAAGAAAGCTATTAAAGGTATGCTCTTTGGCTGAGCAGGGATTTGAACCCAAGTCTGCATCCCGATCACTGAATCCCAACCATCTAACTGCTACACCACAATGGTTCTTTGTTTGTCTCCATTTTCATGCACTGGAACATAGGAAACTGCTTTGTACCATGTCAGGCCATCTGACTTAGATTGTCTACACTGACTGGCAGTGGCTGTACAGGATTTCAGACAGGGGATCTGGATTTGAACCTGGGTCCTTCTGCATGCGAAACAGCTGCTCAACCATTGAGCTATGATCCTTCCCTTAAATATAATAGTAAGATTTTATTATTCCTCATGGTGCTGATTTAAATAGCAAGTTGCCTCCTACCAAATCAGACCATTGGTCTGTCTACATCAGGGTTTCCCAAACTTGGGTCTCTAGCTGTTTTTGGACTACAACTCCTATCATCCCTAGCTAGCAGGACCAGTGATCAGGGATGATGGGAACTGTAGTCCAAAAAAAACAGGGTTTGGGAAACTGGTCTACATTCACTGGCAACAGTTCTCCAAGGATTCAGACAGAGGAGTGGGGCTCTCTCCCAGTTCTACGTGTGAATGCTCGGTGCCTTCTGCATGCAAAGCATATGCTCTACCCTTCCCCTGGGCCAACGATCCCCTGCTGGATTGCTGAGACATGCTTTCATTTCCTTTTCCCCCTGCCTGGCATCTGTTAGCTTGAGGGGAAGTTCAGATTAAAAGAACAACAGAACCATTTTTTAAAATGCATAAAGCAGGTGTGTTGAAAGGGGCATCAAGGGAAGGGGAAAGTTTAAGAACCAGACATTCAACAGGCACAATTTTGCCCACTCCCTTTAGCATCTTCTTCTTCTTCTTCTTCTTCTTCTTCTTCTTCTTCTTCTTCTTCTTCTTCTTCTTCTTCTTCTTCTTGGCTCAGTATACTTGAAGGAGCGTCTCCACCCCCATCATTCTGCCCGGACCTGAGGTCCAACGCTGAGGGCCTTCTGGCGGTTCCCTCGCTGTGAGAAGCAAAGCTACAGGGAACCAGGCAGAGGGCCTTCTCGGTGGTGGCGCCCGCCCTGTGGAACGCCCTCCCATCAGATGTCAAAGAAAAGAACAACTACCAGACTTTTAGAAGACATCTGAAGGCAGCCCGGTTTAGGGAAGCTTTTAAAGTTTAATAGGTTATTGTATTTTAGTGTTCTGTTGGAAGCCGCCCAGAGTGGCTGGGGAAACCCAGCCAGATGGGCGGGGTAGAAATAATAAATTATTATTATATATTATTATAATATATTATTATTATTATTATTATTATTATTATTATTAATGACTGCTGCTGTTTTATATTTTGGCTTCTGTTTTATATTTTGGGGGCTGTGAGGAGGGCTTCCTGTTCCCAAGCCCTGGCCTGTGGTCCAGCTCCAAGGGCCTTCTGGCAGTTCCCTCATTGCGAGAAGCAAAACTGCAGGGAACCAGGCAGAGGGCCTTCTTGGTAGTGGCAACTGCCCTGTGGAACACCCTCCCACCAGATGTCAAACAACTACCTAACATTTAGAAGACATCTGAAGGCAGCCCTGTTCAGGGAAGTTCTTAATGTGTGACATTTTAATGTATTTTTAATCTTTGTTGGAAGCCGCCCAGAGTGGCTGGGGAAACCCAGCCAGATGGTCAGGGTACAAATAATAAATTATTATTATTATTATTATTATTATTTTCTTCTTCTTCTTCTTCTTCTTCTTCTTCTTCTTCTTCTTCTTCTTCTTCTTCTTCTTCTTCTTCTTCTTCTTCTTCTTCTTCTTCTTCTTCTTCTTCTTCTTCTTCTTCTTCTTCTTCTTCTTCTTCTTCTTCGCCAAAGCTGGATTTTTGTCTGTCAGGTTGCTGTGAAATGCATGGGGTGGGGAGGCTGGGGAGGTCCGGGGAAAAAAAGGGTAGCTCTACCCTCGGCCTTAGCTTTCTGTCCCAGCGCACTGCGATCCGGACCTGCCCACCTCCCTTCCTTTCCTGCCGAGGCTGTGAATTGCAAACGCTTCTGCTCGCTCCCTTGACAGCTTAATTGCAATTTTGGGAAGTGGCTGACAGGCGCTGGAAAACAAGAAGCCTGACTTGAGTAAAGAGGTCGTTGGGAGGATCGATCGAAGGAGGGAGAGAGCGAGGGGATAATGTACTACTGTACAGAAAATATATTTTACGGTGGGGGGGGGGGCGGGCGGGAGAGAGAGCGAGCGCGCATGTTTAGTTGGCCGCAGATCTCTGTGCCAACTTTGTCCTTGCGCCAGCATGGCTCAGGCAGGCAGCATCACTTGGGGGCAGGATGAGGATGAGGATGGCGATATTCTTGGAGGAAGGGTGCCCTTGAGCCCAGAGTATCGTGTTTCCCTTTCTGATGGTGAGAGCCATTTGACAGAGGAAACAAACTACATCACTGGAAGTTTTTTAACAGAGGTTGGATGGCCATCTGTCAGAGATTATTTAGCTGTGAATCCTGCCTTGAAGGGGGGTTGGACTAGATGACCCATGAGGTCCCAGTTCTATGATTTTACTTTGATAAATTCGATTTAATTGTCCTTTAACACCAATTCTGTTGGGATGGGGAACCTGCAGCCCTCCAAATGTAGTATTATTATTATTATTATTATTATTATTATTATTATTATTATTGATAGATCAGTTGGTTAGAGCATGGTGCTGATAATATCAAGTTTGTAGGTTTGATCCCCAAGTCGGACAGCTGCATATTCCAGCATTGCAGGGGTTTGGACTAATTATGATTCTCAGGGTCCCTTCCAACTCTAGAAGAAGAAGAGTTTGGATTTGATATCCTGCCTTTCACTACCCTAAGGAGTCTCAAAGCGGCTAACATTCTCCTTTCCCTTCCTCCCCCACAACAAACACTCTGTGAGGTGAGTGGGGCTGAGAGACTTCAGAGAAGTGTGACTGGCCCAAGGTCACCCAGCAGCTGCGTGTGGAGGAGCGGAGACGCGAACCCGGTTCCCCAGATTACGAGACTACCGCTCTTAACCACTACACCACACTGGCTCTCTACAATTCTATGATGATGATTTAAACTTATTGCCTACTTTTCACCATCAGGTTCCAGGACAGCTCCCAACAGTTTAAAATTAAATTTTAAAAACTCTTAAACCAGGATCAAACCATACTTTATTATTCCAGCTTTTGAGCTAACCATCATTTACAACTACGTTTATCATCCCTGACCACTAGGCAAGCTGGCTGGGGCTGATGGGTCCCAAGATATCAGGCGGGCCAGAGGTTCCCCATCACAGCTGTACAGCGGTACCTTGGTTCTCAAATGCCTTGGTTCTCAAACGCTGAAAACCTGGAAGTAAATGTTCCAGTTTTTGAATGTTTTCCGGAAGCCGAACATCCAATGTGGTTGTCAGCTATTGTTTCTGGGGCGCCTGCACCAATCAGAAGCTGCGTCTTGGTTTTCAAACATTTCGGAAGTCAAACGGACTTCTGGAATGGTATAAGTCTGGCACTTTGGTTTTTGCTATTTATTTTGTGTTTTTGTTTTTGTGGCTTTTTCAGTTAATTTGTTTTTGTGGCTGTGTGGAACCCAGTTCAGCTACTGATTGACTGATCTGTGTGACTGCGGAAATGGATAAAAGCCCCCCATCCAAACAATGACTATCATTGGTGCAGGTAAGAAAAAATAATGATTTTAATTTTTACCATCTACAATACTGTCTTATTTATTTTATAGTACAGTACATTGATTATTGCTTCCATTTTATGGATCCATGGTCTCGTTAGATAGTAAAATTCATGTTAAATTGCTGTTTTAGGGGTTGTTTTTAAAAGTCTCGAACGGATTAATCCATTTTGCATTACTTTCTATGGGAAAGCGCACCTTGGTTTTGGAACGCTTTGGTTTTGGAACGGACTTCCGGAACGGATTAAGTTTGAGAACCAAGGTACCACTGTAACACAAAGACCAAACAATTGTGACACCCTGCCAAGCTGATCGTAGCCTATCAGTTGTATCTTATAATCTCTCTCTCTCCCCCTCCCATTTTTGTTCCTTGTGTCAGATGGCAGCAAGTGGGCATGACCAGTCACTCTGGCAAACCATGCTAGCTTGCCTTGGCAAGGTGGAATCTGCCTCTGCTTCTTCTATTCTTGGCAGACTGCTCGACAGTTTGGGCTGGATTCAAGCATCACACCCAAAACAAGGCTTGTTTTTGTTTTTTACACCTGAACCTTTTGGGCACTTTCCAATGCAATGCTAAATGCTTCTGGCGTGAGCTGGCATGAACTAGAGGCTCCTGTCTTCCTCCCTCTTGCGGTGCCTCTGGGGTGGAGAAGGTTCCACCTCTGCTTTTAAACTAGCCAGAGTTCCTTGTTATGCCAGAACTTAGGGAAACACTGGTTAGTTTAAACCAACTGGGTGGTCTACTCTCATCATCCCTAGCATGGCCAATAGTCAGGGATAATGAGAGCTGGTGTCCAATAATATATGGAGGGTTGAATGTTGCCCAACCCTGGTTTAAACGGAGAGAGAAGGAAATGTTCGTCAATTCGGCCTCGGTCCAGTATATCTGAAGGAGCGTCTCCACCCCCACTGTTCTACCCGGACACTGAGGTCCAGCGCCGAGGGCCTTCTGGCGGTTCCCTCACTGCGAGAAGCCAAGTTACAGGGAACCAGGCAGAGGGCCTTCTCGGTAGTGGCACCTGCCCTGTGGAACGCCCTCCCACCAGATGTCAAAGAGAACAACAACTACCAGACTTTTAGAAGACATCTGAAGGCAGCCCTGTTTAGGGAAGCTTTTAATCTTTGATGTATTACAGTATTTTAATATTTTTTTGGAAGCTGCCCAGAGTGGCTGGGGAAGCCCAACCAGATGGGCGGGGTATAAATAATTTTATTATTATTATTATTATTATTATTATTATTATTATTATCATTCAAGGACTGCAATTCCCTACGGGCTGCCTTTGGGGCTAGAGCCGAAGAGAAAATTGGGAAGAGCAATGGATGTGACTCTTTACTCAGCTACGGCCCTTGCCTAAAACATAGAGACAGAGGAAGCTGCCTTATACCAACTCAGACCATTGGATTCACCTTAGCTCAGTACTGTTTACACTGACTGGCAGCAGCTCTCCCGGATTTCAGGCAGGGGGCCTTCTTCCACCCTACCTGGAGATGCCAGGGTTTGAACCCGGGACCTTCTGCAACAGGTAGATGCTGTACCACTGAGCGATGGCACTCATAGAACATTGGCAGCAAGAATAGAGAAATGAGATCGCTGTGTTTTGTACCTGGAAGATGGGAGCTGTGGGGGAAACCACTGGGTGAGTGGTCCATGATTCATATGTTGCTTCCTTTCATAACACATCACACCCGATGCATAATGAATGGTGCAAGCTTGCCCATGAAGTCATGCGTTGTTGCTGCATAGGGACTGGGGTTTGGTGGGTGGGGGAAAGAACGGAGGCAGAAAGAGATCCGAAGAATCATATGGAAAGGGACGATAATGTAAATATAGAATGATGTTTATGGGATTTCAGCAGTGGGGCTTGGAAGGTCATGCAATGACAGCCCAGACCCCTCGAGGCTCACAGAAGACCTGCCTGTCACTCAGCGCCCTTCTCTACTCTGTCTTCCTTTCGTTGCTCTACATTTGAATACAATATTTCTCTCTCTTTAACATAGGAAATGAGGAAACTGTAGGCCTCCAGATGTTGCTGATTACAGCGTCCATCATCCCAGACTAACTGGGCCTGATGGGAGGTGGAGTCCAGATGGCCCCAACTTCCCCATCTCTGCAAAAGAGAGAAAGAAGAGTTGTAAAGACCTCTTCTCTTCAGGAGCGAGTCTCCTCTAAAGCAGAGGTTGGGAACTATGGGCCCAGGGGCCATACGCATCCCTCGGGGCTTCTCTGAGACCCTCCTCAACCTGCACACCCTCCCATGCCACACCCCTCACTCACCCTGCTTGGCTTGGGGTTTTCCCCCTGGCTATAATGGGCTATGGTTTTCCCAGTAGTGATGTATGGAAAGCTGGACCATAAAGAAGGCTGATCGCCGAAGAATTGATGCTTTTGAATTATGGTGCTGGAAGAGACTCTTGAGAGTCCCATGGACTGCAAGAAGATCAAACCTATCCATTCTGAAGGAAATCAGCCCTGAGTGCTCACTGGAAGGACAGATCGTGAAGCTGAGGCTCCAATGCTTTGCCCACCTCATGAGAAGAGAAGACTCCCTGGAAAAGACCCTGATGTTGGGAAAGATGGAGGGCACAAGGAGAAGGGGACAACAGAGGACGAGATGGTTGGATAGTGTTCTCAAAGCTACCAGCATGAGTTTGACCAAACTGCAGGAGGCAGTGGAAGACAGGAGTGCCTGGCGTGCTCTGGTCCATGGGGTCACGAAGAGTCAGACACGACTAAACGACTAAACAACAACAACAACAAATAATGTGTCCTTGACCTCTGATAATGCTTCTTCCTTGCTGAATGGAGGGCAGAGAAGTGTGTCTATGGAGACTCACCTACTGGTCATTGGTAAAATCAGCCACGTTTTAAAAAGTAGTTACATAGAAACAAATAACCTTGATCTATTCAGGAATGGGGAAACTGTGGTCTTCTAGATGCCACTGGACTCTGGTTTCCATCATCCCTGACCACTGGCCAGGCAGGATGGCACTGATGGGGAGTTCAGCAACATCTGGAAGGACAAAGGCTACCCAACACTGGACTGATTGGGTAAACATTGCAATGATGACACTTGCTGTTGCTTCGTACATGTATAGCATATTTCACATGGGCAAAGTCTGTTGCATACCTAAAGCAATCCTTATCACAGTCTTGCAGGGCAGACTAGGGAAAATGTTATTTCCCCTAATTGACAGGTGGGAGGGGCAGTGCTGAAGCAGAGAGGTGGGGAATGGTACCTGTGGATGAGCTGACAATGGACTCAGCTGCTTAGCCACCAAGGACCCTGGAGTCCTTTGGAGTCTGGATGCTGGAGGCTAGCAATAACTCACAAGTAACTGTGGTTCATCCGTCTTCCTCGCTGCTGCTGCTCTGCGCAGCTCTCCTGCGCGACAGGGCTGGAATTCCCTCTGAGAGTTAACTATACATACAGCACACACACATACACCCAACTACATGATTAACTGTGATTCCTCTTGGCATGCATGAGAGAGGAAAGGATGTTAAGTTGCCCTTCTACAATGCACAGACAGAATGGATTTGCCTGCCAGAATAGGCATTGCAAATTCGAAATTACCTACACAATGTTTATAAAGTTCTGCTTGCGTGAGCATCATCTGATCCTCCTCAGGAATGTGACAGAAGTTTATAAGATCAGGAGTGATGTGATGTTGAAGAGAATGTAGTGTGAAATGTTTCTCTCTCTCTCCTTTTCTCTCTCTACTTCCACCACTCCTCCCTCAAAGCATTATCCCTTAAAATGGGCTAGGTAGGCATTTCCTGTTAGAGAAATGACTGGATTTCCTTTTAGAGCAGGTAGGGGGAACTTGTGGCCCTCCAGGTATTTCTGGTCATCAACTCCCATCATTCCTGACCGTTAGCCAAGCTGCCTGGCGCTGATGGGAGTTGGAGTCCGACAACATCTGGATGGCCGCATGTGCATTTAATATGTGATCCCTGACAGGTTGGGACATGTGTCTAGGAAATAGGTTGGTAGCTTCTGGCCCTCCTGATGTTGCTGGACTCCAGCTCATCATCATTCCTGACCATTGGCCATGCTAGCTAGTTGGAATCCAAAAATGTATGGAGAACCAGACATTCCCCATTCCTGATCTAATAAATAACCTATAGAATTCTGCTCTGTGGCTTTGTTTAAGACAGTTTGATGGACACACAAGGTTCTTCTCTGTTGAATCCAGTGTTAAAGTTGCTCTACTCCACAATAGAAGATGTATCATGTTCATGGAGAACAGGACTTTGGGCATGTCATTAGCTGGAAAATGTTGTGTGTGAGGCATCCATAAGGGGAGGGAATCTACAGGTCAACACAAAACAGCAAGAATCTAAATACAAGGCATCTAATTAATCTACTGGAAGCTGCAGAATACAGATGTTAAACCTGCTGCCTTGAGGGAGTCTATCCTCTCTGGATGATTCCTCATTTTAAATATTGTGGGGTGGCTTTTGTTTTTGTTTTTAATGGATATCTCACTCCCCCTGCAATTCACCCCAAAACACCTTGCAATTAAAAAACACACAAGTAAACATTATGTATTAAAAGAAACCCATCACAGTAACAGCCAAATTATTCTAGGCCTGTAAAGCCCAGCTGTGCAACTGCACCATTCAGATACTTAGTAAATGACCCCTTCTGCAACAGGAGTGGGGAGCCTGTGCCCATCAAGGCATGGTTGGACAATGATTCCCATCACCCCGACTATCAGCCAGGCTGGCCAGGGATGATGGGAGCTGGAGTCCAGTGATGTCAGGAGAACAGCAAGCTCCCATCCCCTACTCAACACTGTCTGCAACTGCTGTACAACTGTCATCTCATAGAAGTCTTGCAAGAACCCAATACCCAGTGGAGGCTAGTCAGTTGGGGCACTGCCCCACCAAGCTTAGTGTGCCCCCACCTGCCTGCCTTTTTACTCATAACCAGGCCAGGGTTGGCCCTGCCTGTCAGCATCCTTAGTCTCAGTGATGCCCCTTGTAGAACTCAGCAGGGAAGAGGAGGATGGGGACAAAACTACATTCAGTTAGCTCTGCCTGTCATTGGCTCTGGCTCCGCCTACTGCCGGGCTCCCTGCCTTCCGCCCCACCAGCCCCAATGAGCACCAGCCACCAAAGTCATTAACCCCCAGATAACCATCTAGTGCTCCTATCAACCTCGCCTCCATCCTCATATCACTCAGAAGATCCTCCGGTGTTTGCGGGTTCTCCCCTTCTCCCTCTCCCTCTCTCCTTGTTTCCTTCTCTCTCTCTCTCTCTCATCGTCATCGTGCCTGGGGTTATGAACTTTCCAGCTTCTGCAGCTGCCCCTTGCTGGAAGACAGATGGAGCTAGCTGGACTGTCAGACAGACCCAGTCCCATGGAGTTTCCCTGGGGCTATCCTCCAGCTGTAAACAGTCGTGCCTAAGGGGAACCTAATTTCAGCCCCCATCCTGCTGCCCCACTCCCCAGCCTCTTCCGCTTTGCCTAGCGCGGTTCCTCGGGTGGAGGATGGGCAGATAAATGACCTTCCCAGATTCCCCCCTCCAATTTCCTCCCCACTTTCCTTTTTTCTTTTTGAGGAGAGGGAAACTTCAGCATGAGTTGGCCTGTTGAGATGGAAGTCGCCTTGCCCACCCTAAGTACTGGTTAGGCAGGAGCTGGACGGGGCGATCTGGCTTCCCCGCTAAGCCATCGGCGGCCTGTCAAATCTCTGCCCAGCTGAGTAACTGACGTATTTTTCAAGAGCATCATTTGGAGACACAATAAAAATAGAAGCTCGTACTCGCGACCGGCAGCGGCTCCCCTCCCTAGGAAGCCGTGAGGAGGAAAGGGCGCACTGTCCGATTCTAAACAAAGCCTCTGCTTTCATTTAGAGTAGGATGCTAGTCTTGGGGGAAAGGGAGCCCTAAACGCTATAGGGAAAGGAGGGGGTTACACTTACTTCTCAAGATCCCAAGGAGGCAGAGGCAGATCAGAAGAGCCATTGAAGCGGGTGGGCGAGGAATCTTCTCCCTCAAAATAAAGGCATTGCCTCTGTCCTTACGCGTTCCACACACCCCCTCCAATATGGGGGGGGCTACAATCCAAGTGGTGCAGGCGGTTCCGGCAGCTCCTAGGACTGAATGAGGTGTGTGTGTGGAGTGGAGGTGGGGAGACTGCAGAGAACGGAGGCTTCTCTGAGTTGTTTGGGGGGGGGGGGGCACCGCAATCTCTAACCCAGCCCAAGTTCCTTCTAAGCCGCCCCCCACCTTTCGGCCGCTGTCCGTGGTGCTGAAGTCCAAGCCGGCGCTTCCTCTCTTGGGGCAACGGCGCGCTCTCCGTGGTGCTGGAGCGCTTTGCCGCTGTCCCTGGTGCTGAACGGACCGTCAGCCCCGCCGGAGAGCCATGCGCAAAAACCCGGGAGCCCCCATCCACTCACCCACCGACCAACCTACCCACGCCTCGACCTCGCCTGGCTCGCCAAGGCGATGCGCAGGAGAACCTGTGAAGGGGCCGAGATGAGATGATGCTCGGGAGGGCGAGGGGGGGTGGAGAGAGAGAGGCAAGTGCCAGGATGCTCCAGGCTCTCTCTACATTTGGCGTCCTCTCTCTCTCTCTCTCCAGCGCCTTGGCTCCGGCTGCTCCCCTTGACGCAGAGGCCACCCCTGAGGAGCTGGCGAGCGCTGGCTCTTACGTCCCCTGAACACACGGGCCGATCCAGGTCCGCGGGGACCCATCCGCCGTCTGCCGCTAGAGGCGGGGGGCGGGGGGGGCGGTAGCTGCCCTTTTCCCAGCGCAGGGGAGCGGAAGCGAGTGTCTCAGAAGCTCGGAGATGAAGATGGACAGGACCACGCCGGCATCCTTAGGACTGGCCTATACCGAGCCCTCCTGATGGAGCGCATTGCTTAGTGTATATTCAGGATATGGAGGAGAGTAGAAATCTGAAGGATGGGAGGAAGGGCTAAGATACAGCTAAGATATTTGCTTGCATTTAGATGGCTCTCTCTTTGTGTGGGTTATTTCCTTTGTCGCACAGACATAAAGGTACGGATATGGGGAGTGGGAGAGACAAAGTCTTAATGCTCTGTAAAGACCCTCTGCCCCGCCTTGTGCATGTCTGGATGAGTATGGAAGAGAGGGGGGAGAGTCCTTCCAGCGGGGAGAGAGAGAGATAAAGAAAAATGCGTACACGAGGGAAAGAGACGTAGGAAGCTGACTTATACTGAGTAAGACCACTGGTCCATCCGGTTCAGTGTTGTCTACATCAGGGGCTCCCAAACTGATTTGTGCACCACCAAAGGTTGCTAACCTTTGTTCAGGTGATCCGAGGCATTGCTGCATTAAATATGCATATTGAGTTTCAAATTGCCTTTTTACTGCTTCTTTCTTTCTATATATCTTTCTTTCTTTCTTTTCTTCTTAAAATTATATTATCTTATTAAATGTATAACAAACAAGATGGACAGGGTATTCGAATGATTCAACAAAAGATGGAAGGAACTGAGCACGCTCAGGTATAAGGTAAGGAGCTGAAAGGTATAAAGAAAAATACCTGAAGAAACTTGTACAGAAGAGGCAAAACGGCAGCATCACAAGATAAGACATAAACAGCAGATCAAAAGCTCATATAATCCAAAAGAGCGCCGGATGAAATCGTATTTGGATGGCATTTGCCATCCGTGTGACTGTGTCATTAAGTAAGCTACAAAAACCCACTACTGTAGACAGTTCAAAGAGTGTGCTTACCCTCTGAGAACCTGGAGCGGGTGGGTCAGTTATCTGATGTGGCTAGAAATAAGGCTTTTTAAAAAAAAACAACCAAACCAGCTTGCTTTTAAAATTTATTGTATTGTATTCTATTGCCTTACCATTTTAATTCCAAGATACCATTCGAAATCAGACAGCAAATAGCACAGCCCACTTCAATTGCTACAATGGGCAGAAATTTCATGACATGATACACCAAGGCAGTTGAGCAATATTCAAGTAGTCCAATAGTCTACAATGACCAGCAGACGCTCTCCAAGGGCTCCCCCAGGGGATGTTTCCAGCCCTACCTGGAGATGCCGGGGATTGAACCTGGAACCTTCTGCATGCCAAACAGGTGCTCTAACACTAAACCAAGGCCCTTCACTGATGGGACACTCAGTTATACTGTGCCAGACCACTGGTCTCTCTAGTTGAGTAGTGTCCCCTTGGCTCCAACTGATAGCAGCTCATTCCCAGCCCTACTTGCAGATACTGGAGATTAAACCTGCATGTACCACCCAGCTACGGGCAGAATCTGTTACAGTATGTGCATATCTTCTTCTTCTTCTTTGGCGATCACTCGTAACTGAGTAAGATTGTCTTCCATAAACACAGTTTTAACAGTGAGTCCGTAAGTGACTGTGGAGGCCAGTTCTGGATCCACACGTCCTTCCACAGTGGGGACATTGATTTCCAGGCAGGAGCTGATCACGGTGTGGATTTGCCAAGCGTGCTTCCTCCTACCACGTTTCTCCCTTGTGCCCTGAGTTCGAGTGTCGTCAAAGCCCATGACACCTTTGGTAAAGGCTGTTCTCCAACTGGAGCACTCGCAGGCCAGTGTTTCCCAGTTGTCAGATGACCCAGTGAGTGGATATATATATATATATATATACACAGTATATGCATGTAAGCAGAGGCAGGCACTGGAGAGAACTATATACTTCCCACCTTGTAGTGTGTGAGAGCCAGAAAGTGGGGTGGAAGGGGAGAGATTCCCTCCCTGTTTATTGCAGGAAAAGGTATTCGCTGCGGTCAAGTATGTACAGTAGCCATGCACGAGTGTATTGATTTGATCATGTGCAAGAGGTCCCATGAGTGTGATTCTGGGTACCTGCACAATAATTCCTGAAGCCTACATGCATCGTTTTCTGTGTGTGTGTGAGAGAGAGAGAGAGAGAGTGTGTGTAACAGGATGATAGTTCTGTGTGCGTCATCCTTCCATCCACTGATACTGAATGTTGGAAAATTCAGGACTGAAGAAAAGAAAGAACTTCTTTTTGTAGTTAAACTATGGGATTCCCTCCGGCAGGATGCAGTGATGGGCACCAACTTGGATGGCTTTAAAAGATTTGACAAATTCATGGAGGAGAGGACTATTAGCAGCTACTGGCCAGTGGTCACTCCTCTGTTGGAGGCTTCATGCCTCTGAATGCCAGGTGCTGGAGATCACAGGCAGAGTGATTCAGGTCCTGCTTGTGGGATTTTCAATGGAGCATCTTGCTGGCCATTGTAAGAACAGGATGCTGGAGTAGACTGGTCATTGGACTGATTCAGCGGGGTTCTTCTTATGAATGAATAAGCCACGGTTGTACAATCTGTATCAACACTCCTTCCCTGTATTGTACGGCGGTGCTTCTGGTGGGGGAACTCAAGAGTGGTACCTCGGGTTACAGACGCTTCAGGTTACAGACTCCACTAACCCAGAAATATTACCTCGGGTTAAGAACTTTGCTTCAGGATGAGAACAGAAATCGTGCTCCAGTAATGTGGCAGCAGTGGGAGACCCCATTAGCTAAAGTGGTGCTTCAGGTTAAGAACAGTTTCAGGTTAAGAACAGACCTCTGGAATGAATTAAGTACTTAGCCCGAGGTACCACTGTATGACTTTATGTGTGAGAGAGTGTATGTGTTTGAGTTGTGTGAGCCTTTGTGTGGAGTTAGCTGCACACAGGTATGTCTGTGTGTTTAAGGTAAAGGTAAAGGGACCCCTGACCATTAGGTCCAGTCGTGACCGACTCTGGGGTTGCGGCGCTCGTCTCGCTTTATTGGCCGAGGGAGCCGGCATACAGCTTCTGGGTCACGTGGCCAGCATGACTAAGCCGCTTCTGGCGAACCAGAGCAGTGTATGGAAATGCCGTTTACCTTTCCGCTGGAGCAGTACCTATTTATCTACTTGCACTTTGATGTGCTTTCGAACTCCTAGGTTGGCAGGAGCAGGGACCGTGTGTTTAGTTGGCAGGAGGAGGGACTGTGTGTTTAGTTGACTCCAGATGCTTTTATGTGGAAATGTGGAAAACTGATTGGAGAAAGGAGAAACTGAAACAAAAATTGACATGGTCATGCATCCCTAACACACACACACACACACACACACACACACACCCCATGACAGCAGAACAATGCATTTAATCTCTCAGTGTGCTTCCCTGCCACTCATATACCATTTTGCGTGCTGTCTTGTTTACAAACACGAAGCCTTCCTGACTGAGCAGGCGACTGGAACACATTGCACTCCACTCTGCCCCCCAAACCACCTAGGGTTTGGCCAGGAAGAGGAATGTGTGGAGAGGGGGAGCTAGACTGAAACCAGCCAAATTCAAAGCAGGCTCCATTTAGGTCAGTCAGGGCTTAACCCACAAACAAGGCCTGATGGATGCCTGGGGAGGGGGCTGGCTGCTGGAGTGGGGGGTTAGGCAGGACACAAGAACACATCAGCCAAGAAGCCGCCCAGATGAACAGCCTGGTCTTTGTTTTCATTTAGTTTATCGAAAGCATCTACACACCTTCATACAAATACACCTCAGGGCAGTTCACAAGAAGAAATGTCCATTTCTTCATGAAAGCATTACCAAAATTTAATAATAATGCATCTGATGAAGTGGACTCTAGTTCTTCAAAAGCTGTGATGCATATGAATGTGATTCCTGCATTTAGCTAGCTGTGATTTCTTCAATTTTGCAATCTTCTTTGCCCAAGCTTTCCCAGGCCCAAAATATTTTTTTTAATATAAATTCATATGAACGCCCATTTTGCAAGCTTTTATATATTTTTACACTACTGTTTTCAATGTTTCATGCTGTATTTCTGTTTTAGTTTTAACAATATTCTTGACCCCGTTTTTATGCTGTGTACACATCTTTGAGATTTTTCAAAAATAAAAAATGATTGTTATGTGTTTTGCGGGTGAGGTTGGGGCTCAGTCTGGATATCATCTGGGGTCCTCTTCCAATATACGAAAGCAAGCTTGCCAAACCTGGTCCATTATCAAGTTAACGGCTGGCTAGTTGAGTGCCACGATTTAACATCCCCAAAGAAGTCGCTCTGTTGCCATAAACCAACTCAGTGGGCTTCCACCCCCCGCCCTGCTTCATGAACTTGCCAGCGTTGTGTGTGAGAGCTGAAAAGTGGAATGCTAGAAGCTGCAGACAGAAAGACTGTGCTTCACTCTGTCCTGGATCTAAAACTGTGACCAATGGAACAGCAAGATCTGCTGAGGGGTTATTGCTGTGAGCCCCTCCACCCTACGCTCAGGTTGTATGTACCGTATTTTTTGCTCTATAAGACTCACTTTTTCCCTCCTTAAAAGTAAGGGAAACGTGCGTGCGTCTTATGGAGCGAATGCAGGATGCACAGCTATCTCAGGAGCCAGAACAGCAAGAGGGATTGCTGCTTTCGCTGCGCAGTGATCCCTCTTGCTGTTCTGGCTTCTGAGATTCAGAATATTTTTTTTCTTGTTTTCCTCCTCCAAAAACTAGGTGCGTCTTGTGGTCTGGTGCGTCTTATAGAGCAAAAAATACGTTATATCTATCTACCTATCCCAAATGTGTCACAGTCTCCTCTTGTTCCAAGGAAACTGAACCCTGGGCAAGTGCTGGAACTGCTGGAGTTTCTCACTGCTTGGAGATTGGGGTGGTATGTCACAATAAGAAGCAGTTTGTAAATGCTGTAAATTTGAATAAATCAATAAACCCACAGCATGGTCCCACCAAGTCCAAGAGAAGCTGTCTCCACATTTTACATTCCTTGTTTCTTTGGTTTCATTTTTTAAAAATAATCTTTTTAAATTAAATTTTCAAATTTACGAATTCTTTTAAAAACACAGTCACAACAAATCTCTCCTATCCATTGATTTCCAATCCAACCTTCTATGGTATTGTTTTATGCCCTGATAAAGCTGCTATGTTGCTTACATTTTATCCATCAGATGTCAAGGAGATAAAAGAACTACAGTGTACACAACTTTTAGAAGACATCTGAAGGCAGCCCTGTAATGGGAAGGGGTTTTTTTTTTTTTTAATGTTTGACATTCTACGATGTTTTTATTTGTGCTGGAAGCCGCCCAGAGTGGCTGGGTAAACCCAGCCAGATGGGCAGGGTATAATCAGCATCATCACCCATTATATACGTTAATTCCAAATGGTTAAACTACAGATTCTCATCTTTTGCTATACTTCAAATCCTGCATACCATGGTATTTTTTTTCCAAATGGAAATATTACACAATGGCAATGTTTTGCGGAATATTTGAAGGTTCCCTTTGGTTTCAATAGCAAGGTCAACAGCTGTGTTTCTCAAGTTCCTTCCCTGCTCGCCCCCCTCCCCACCCCATTCAAACAGCTCCCCTCCCTCATCGGAAAGTCAGGAGGTCAGGAAAGGCAGGCGCAAGGGCAGCCATGCAGATGGCGTCTGGCATTTGCTCTTCTGTTCTAGCCAGGCGTGATGCTCTGGGCCAGAATGCCTGTCCATGCGTGAAGAGCCTATGGAACAGAAAGGCAGGCTGCACAGGGGGGTGAGGGGAGCTGGAAGAGAAGACAGCGCTCTCCTAGTTAGCTGGACTAATGGCTTTGTCTGTAGTCAGCTGCAGGAACCGAGAGGCGGCCTCTAACTCACCTGCTTTGCATGCAGAAAATTCCAGGTTCAACCCTTGTCGTCGCCAGGTAGACCTGGGAATGCCCCCTGCCTGAAACCCTGGAGAACTGCTGCCAGTCAGTGTTGAGTTTGATGGGCCAATGGTTTGATGCTTTTTAAGGCAGTATCCCGCAGGACGCAGGTGGCGCTGTGGGTTAAACCACAGAGCCTAGGACTTGCTGATCAGAAGGTCGGCGGTTCGAATCCCTGTGACGGGGTGAGCTCCCATTGCTCAGAGTCCCAGCTCCTGCCAACCTAGCAGTTCGAAAGCACATCAAAGTGCAAGTAGATAAATAGGTACCGCTCTGGCGGGAAGGTAAACGGCGTTTCCGTGCGCTGCTCTGGTTCGCCAGAAGCGGCTTAGTCATGCTGGGCACATGACCCGGAAGCTGTACGCCGGCTCCCTCGGCCAATAAAGCAAGATGAGCACCACAACCCCAGAGTCGGTCACGAGTGGACCTAATGGTCAGGGACCCTTTACCTTTACCTTTACCTTTAAGGCAGTATCCCGCGTCCCCTTTTTTGGAGAAGGGCCATAGTTCAGCCGCAGAACATCTGCCTTGCCTGTAGAAGGTCCCCGGTTCATTCCCTGGAGTTCTGGTACGACATCTGCTGACATCTGTGCAAGCGCAACAGCTGTCTCAAATATCCGCACCTGGGAAGCAGCTGCGGTGTGTGTTTTCAAACCAGGTGGAAGCTGGTTTGAGGGGGAAATGCTTCAAGCGGGTCAAGAGGATCACAGTGCCTCAAGGACCGACTCTCTCCACGTGAACCTACCCAGACCCTGAGATCACCTTCTTTGTGTACCTCCTCCACGTTGAGGTCTGGAGGGCAACACAAGAACGGGGCCTTTTCTGCAGTGGCTCCCCATTTGTGGAATGCTCTCCCCAGGGAGGTTCAGCTGGCACCTTCATTATATACCTTTAGGTACCAGGAGAGAACGCTCCTCTTCAACCAGCCCTTTGGCTGGTACCCTTTTAAATATGTTGTGGGAGGGGGGAAATTCTTGGTTTGTTTTTATTATGTATTTTGTGTTCTGCATATTATAATTTTATGTTGTGAACCACCCTGAGATCTAGGGATGAAGGGTGGTATTTTATTTTAACAACAACAATTCTCAAGAAACTATGGCATAGATACGCATTGTGGCTCATGTCATGTGTATATGGCGTCGCATATTGGCAACAGGAACGCACTGGAGCCAGAGTAATGTGTACACAGACTCAAGTGTTGCCACTGTAGAACTCAACAGGGAGCTCTAGCACCACCTACTGTTGGCCTCCCTGCCTTCTGCCCTACCAGTCGCAACAGCCGCCACTCTCTCTGTGTGTGCGATATACACTCATTTGTATCCTTTTCCCGCCAAACACGGTGCTCTGATGATTCAGCATCCCTGGCTTTTAATAATTCACAATCGCCCGAGAGTGAGACGAGCATTTAGCAGGGGAAGCGGGAGCTGGATGATGAGTCAAGTCTAATAAAAGAAGTGGTGGGGACATTGCAAGGAATACAAATGTTGTCCTCCTCCTCCTCTCTCCACCGCATCCTCCCTCCAACCCCACCCTTATTGTGTTTTCTTCTGAAGAGCAGTTCCTTCCATGAAGTCTCGCCTCCAGACAGCAGATCCAAGAGCAGGGCAGGAGACCATGTTGAGGCTGAGAGGCCAGGACAGCTCCTTCCACGCAGTCCTCTCAGACTGCGCAGGCAGATCTCTCCCCCGAACACAGTTTGGCCTTGGGATGTGATTCCCCCCACCCCAATATTTTTGTCTGGTGCCTCTCCTGCAAATTTCCCTCCGGGTGTGTTTGAGACACACACAGAGAGACAGAGAGAGAGAGAGAGAGAGAGAGAGACGGGGGCCCTCTCAACACAATCAGGGTGGCCAGATCCCCAATCTAAATTATTAGATAATTTATTACAGTTGGAGACCAGCTTATAAAACACACTTGGAGTACAATCCCAGAAGGAAAACAAACATTTAAAACAATATACAACAATAAATTTAACATTTATAAATGCGATAAGCGTATAGACACTTAAAACTTTAAGATAAGCTGCCGCAGAGAGATGACCCAGAGTCACCCATGGAACCGAGTTTGGGGATTTTCTTAACGAACTAGTTTGAGTCGGGAGATGGTTTGCGCCTACAGATCTGTACACAGAATCTGGCGACCATCCGGGTCGTCTTATGAACTTTGCCTAACAGAAAAAGGAACCCTTTTTTTTAGTATTACGAAGACTGTGCATGTAGCTTGCAAGCTTCAGCCTGGCAGAAGCTGGCTGCAAATGACTGTGTAGTGTCTCTGGGGCGAGGGTCTGTTCTCCTCTGCTCCCTCTCCCCCTCTTCCAATTAACCTCCCTCCAGCATAATGTGAATCAGCCACAGTACCACAACCTTGTTGGCATCTATAAAGGTCACACCACTCTGTGCCAGCTGCATACTTTGGTAATGGAGTTTCCATGTTTGAGGGCAAATGCGCAGGGCCCTTGGAGTGGGGGGGCGGGGAGAGAACGGGGCCCAGGGAAGCACTTTTGGAGTGTGCCTTTCCGCTAAGGCGTTTCAAAGGACAATGACAACAGCAAATTTCGCGTCTCCATGATTGATTCACCAGGGAAGCCTCCTCAGTGGCCTAGAAACATGTTCTAGAGGCTGGCAGATGTGGGAGATGTCATTAGTTCGATTATGGCAAGGAAGGAAGAATTGATGCGTTGACAGGTTCTCCATCTTTCGCCATCTGTAGAAGAGTAGCAGTGTGAGGAACGGGATGGGGGGGTGCTGTTCTTATTCGCTTCGGACAGGAGTGCGGGGAGCCTCAAGCCTCTCTCCTTGCCCCTCGAGATTCTTCCTTAGTGACAAACCCCCAGGTCACACCCCTCACTAGCCCAAACACTCCAACATTTCTCTGATGAAAATAGAGACGTCCTATTCAATAATGAATGGGATGCGGGTGCTGCTGTGGGTTAAACCACAGAGCCTAGGACTTGCTGATCAGAAGGTCGGCGGTTCGAATCCCTTTGCTTGGTCCCTGCTCCTGCCAACCTAGCAGTTCAAAAGCGCGTCAAAGTGCAAGTAGATAAATAGGTACCGCTCCGGCGGGAAGGTAAACGGCGTTTCTGTGCGCTGCTCTGGTTTGCCAGAAGCGGCTTAGTCATGCTGGCCACATGACCCAGAAGCTGTGCGCCGGCTCCCTCGGCCAATAAAGCGAGATAAGCGCCGCAACCCCAGAGTCGGCCACGACTGGACCTAATGGTCAGGGGTCCCTTTACCTTTACTCAATAATGATGAATAACAATATTTAATAATATATATTTCTCTCTCTCTCTCTAGCCTAGCCTTTCCTGCAGTAAGGAATCTGGGCCTCGGCTTTGCCATCTCAGACTTCAGGCTCCTCCATTCCAACCAGTTCCCTGCCCCAGAAAGCCAGCACATCAGGGAAAGGGCCAACTCTCCTCCTGGGCACACTAGATTTCTACGCACGGGGTTGTTGCTGTTTCGTAAAAAGGAGCACTTGGTGTGCACTACAGGTTATATTATGCGTTGACCCTGGAAGAGGAAGCCGCCCCCACCTTGCAGCAATGTACTACCCATTTTCACAACCTACCTGAGTGGGCAAGCTAGCAGCTTGAGTGTGAAGAACAGAAATATGAGGTTTGTTCAGCTTCTATTGAGACTGATGCACCGTAGGTGGCAACCCAGCACATATGCATTAATGCTTTAGTCCCATACACACCTTCCCTTTAATGCATATTGCTTCCCCCTAAAAAAATCATGGGAACTATAGTTTGCCCCTTTGCAGGGCTACTGTTTTCAGCACCCTGAGCAAACTACAGGTCCCAGGATTCTTTGGGGGAAGCCACGTACTTTAAATGGATAGTGCAAATGTGACCTTCAGGTGTCAAACCATGTTCCAATGTCCTGTTTTCACTTGTTTGTATATTACTTTAAAATGGCAAGGTTCAAAAACTATAGTAAAAAGCTCCCCTTCAGCGCAGACAAAGGAGCATTTGGACAGTTGAAGTGCTCACTAGAAAATGCTGTGGTTACAGTGTTTGTCGCCTCAGTGAGGAAGTGGCCTTTCTCTCCGGTGATGAGGGAGGAATCTCCGTCCTTGGTATCCATGGCAACTGGTCCAGAGAGTCCCCCACTGAACCACCACATGCATTTTTCAACAGACTCCATGCACACAAGCAGACAGCTGGCTTGTGAGCAGCAAAAACAGCTGGAGCAGACACCCTCCTTCACCTCTCGCCAAGGGCACTTCAGGGTGGCGAGAGAGGCTGCATCTCTTTCAGCAAGGCCTGAGGCTAAAGGACCAAGAGTCTGGCTGGATTGCCACATCCTGATCACCGTCTTTGGTGACCAAGTCTTCACTGGGAATGAGCTAGCCGCTTGCATCTTCCTCCATGCCCTCGGATGTATTTGCCAAGAGCTGAGGGGAAAAGATGCTGTTTCTGGTTGGAGCTCCCTCACAGATCAGGTTCAGCATTGCTGCTCTCCATTTCCAAAGCTACTTAGGTCTTACAAAGGTCTGCTTAGTTGCCAGGCGTTACATGTGAGCCATTCAGCTGCTCTGGCTTAACAACCCCCTTCCTCTGAGCTTAGACTCCACCCACTTCCTCATTACATAGTCTGTATTATTATTACTGTTATTGTTATTACAGTGGCACATCTGGATGCGAATGGGATCTGTTCCGGAGCCTGGTTGGCATCCTGAAGCGAACGCAACCCGCGTTGGGGTCGCGATTTGCCGCTTCCGCACATGCGCGTGACGTCATTTTGAGCGTCTGCACATGCGCAAGTGGTGAAACCCGGAAGTAATGCGCTCCGTTACTTCCGGGTCGCCGTAGAGCGCAACCCGAAAATGCTTAACCTGAGGCATGACTGTATTATTTTTATTTTACAGTCATCAAGGGAGTGTTAAAAATATGTTCTGTTCCCTGGAAGGAATCCAAATGTCCTCTTAGAGCAGGAATAGTCAACTTTTTAATACCTACCCACTAATGCATCTTTCCTGATGGTAAAATTTCCTTTCCGCCCACCAGTGCTCGATGGAAGGAAGATTCAGCTTGTGTTGTAGAACCCCCTACCACCCACCTAGAACCCAGAAACACCCCCTATTGGGCGGTAGGGACCAGATTGACAACCCCTGTCCTAGAGAAAGGGAAACAGACTCACAAGAGGAAGGCACAAGACAGGTTTGGTTTAGCTAAATAGAACCCCAAACCTTGGGTCGTGCCGAAAAGTAAGGTGGCTTGCTTGCATTATTGTCCAAAGCACTCTTATACAGTTCAGCAAAGCAAATCCCATGTACAAATCCAAACGTAACATCTGTAGCTGCTTCAGCACAACCAAACTGCAAAACTGGTCTGAGCTGGATTTCTTCTGCAGGCTACTTGTTTTTCTGCTGATTCATTAAAAAGGCGGGGGGGGGTGGGCTCCTCCTTCAGTGGGAACGCAGCTGTTGAGATAAGAAGACCTCCAAAGGCCTTGAGCATTTCTAAGCAACTAGCATGGAATACTAGGGCAGGGAAGGGACCCCAGGGTCATCCAGTCAACCCCCCCTGAAATAAAACCTGCTGTAGCTTTAATCTAACAGAAGACAAAGTTGATATACGATTTTTTCCACATTCACATTCTCTTTGTAAACTCTTGCTAAGGTACATAAGAGGGGAAACAGCTTACAGTGCAATCTTATGCCTGCTGTCTCAAGAGAAGGTCCTGTTGAGCTCAAGGCACTTACTTCTAGGTAAACATGCGTAGGCTGCAATGCTAACTGTACATCCTAGGTAGTAATGCAAATCCTACGGATTTCAGAGGGGCTTCGTTTGGAGTAGCCAAGCAGAGAGATAGGTGTGCACAATAACATTAGAAAAAAATGAAAGTATGCTATTTTAAACAGCTGAAAATAAATTTTCATTTATTACACAGCAGACAGATAAACGCCATTAGGAGCAAGATTATAAAATCAAGAAGACCTGGAGAAAAGGAAAAGGAATTTGGGAGAGGGCAGTCTGAGTGGACCACCAAGCCCTGCACCTTCCTCCCTCACAATTCTTCCTTCTCACAAGGTTGATAGCACATTCTAAGTGTCTTTATTTTGTTTTGAACAGTGCACACAGTATTATTGATTTGCAAGGAAACCCTGCTCTAGAAACTGTATATAGGAAGAGCCTTCCTGACTAGAGGCAGTCTACCAGCTTCTTTGGAAGGTGGCAATAAACAAGGAGGTAACCAGGCCTGATAACAGGAGGGCCTCATATGCTCCAAAAATAAATAGCACATCCTGTAGTAATTCCTCGCTATGACGTCACCGTGAGGATTGAGGGTATTAACACCTAGGGATTCTCGCCATGCCATTGGCCACTCGTGCCCTGACGTCACCAAAAAGCTGTTCGTCACCCTCCCCCATATTTCCTGGGAGGTACATCTTCTTGCGTCACATTGGAGGCAGCCAATTGCAATCTCCAGGATTCCAAACTGCGCCCTCCACCCGCTTTTTCCATCCCACTTCAGGGCAAGAGCTATTTCTCATTCATTTCCGCCCGTTTCCTTGACACAACTTCCGCTTCCTGTCAGTACATATAACACCCGCCCTGTGGGTGTTATTCCTGTGCGGGTAACATTCGAGTCCAACAACACCGGAACTTCCGGTGGACTTTGGAAGTCATTTTAATTCTCGAGCTGCGTATGGAGTAGCGTAGAGCCGCTCTAGGCAAAACCGGAGGCTTCTCTCTACGGCCGCTATTGGCGCCGCTCTACACCTTACAATCTCTATGGTAGAAGGATCGTTTTCTAAATAAAGCTCCCCAAGTCACCAAAAGGAGGAGCAGCTGATACTTCTGTGAAACATATTTGAAACACGACATTCTGGCCCCTTTATGAACGCGCACTACGGCGTCGCTCTCGGACTCACCACCACCTCTGTGGCCAAATGTAGCGAAAGAACCGGGCATTGGGAGTCCACTTCCGCTCGGGCCCGGAAGCGCCCGTCTCCATGACGACGGCGCCGTGCGTGCGCCCGCGCGGGCCTCCGCCGTCACCTCCTGCCGGCGTGGCTCCTCCTCTTCCTCCTCCTCCTCCCCCGCCCGCGCGCCGATGGGGGGAGGAGCAGGATGCGGGTCGTCACTTCCGACTGCGGGCCCTTCCCGGCCGCCATCTTGCGGTGTGGGGGGACGCGGGGGGCCCGGGGGCCGCGGCGGGCCGCTCGATGGGAAGATGCAGCGCACGGGGCCGGGCGGGGCGGGGCCTGGCGCCGTGCTGGGGGCGGGGCCTGGCGCCGCGCTGGGGGCGGGGCCGGGGCGCGCGCTGCTGAGGCGGGAGCTGCGGCTCCTCGAGTCCATCTTCCACCGCGGCCACGAGCGCTTCCGCATCGCCCGCGCCTGCCCGGACGAGCTGGGCTGCGAGTTCCTGCCCGGCCCGGGCGGCGGGGGGCCCGTCCGTATCCATGGCAACATCACGGTGAGTCCCCGGGCGGGGGGGGAGGAGGGGGCGCCTTCAATTGGGCGGGAGACCCTCGCCCTCCCTCGGGGGCGGGGCATGGAGGAGAGTGGGGTGATGGGGCGGGGCGTGTGGAACCGGGGCGGGGCATGCAGAGGTTGGGCGGGGCGTTTTCTGAGAGGGGCGGGGCGTGTGTGGGCGGGGCTTGGAGGGCGGGGCCTAAGGCGGGCCGTGGGTGGGGGTAGTTGGCAAGGTACAAGAGGGATCATGGAAAGCCCCTGTGCAAACCTACGAAAGTTGCAAACTTGGCATATCATGGTATCCTGTGTTAACACACTGGCGGCAGTGGAGGCGGAAGCCCCATTTTACATCAGTGGCATGTAGCTTCCAGGTCAACATTGCATGATCTAAGCCACTCACCCTCTGCCAGCCCACTTCCAAGCGAAAGCAAAGACTTGCCCTGCCTTTGCAACTGGGGCAGAAACCCAGTGGGTTGGCAGAGGAGGGTTGGAGGGATCCTCCCTCTGCCAGCCTACTCACTCGCCTGCGTGGAATTTCTGCTCGCCTCTGATGACCATCCTGAGGCTTAAGCACAATGCAGGCAGCTGGGAGGCAGGGGGTTTCCCTTCTTGAACACTTCCGCAACATGAGAACCCAGTGGGGCCACCCGGTAAGCCAAATGTTGGACAATTCGGGACAGACAAAAGAAAGTAGTTCTTCACACAGTGCACAAATGATGGGATGTAATACAGACTTGAAAAGAGGATTGGACAGATTTGTGAAGAATAAGGCTATCAAGGCTATATTCTCCTTCCCCTGTGAAAAACAGTATGCCTCTGAATTGCCAGCTGCTGTTGTGCCTGAGTCCTGCTTTCAGGTTTCCCAGGGGCACCTGGTTCTCCACCCTGTGGACAGGATGCCAGGACAGACTGGCCTTTGGGCCTAATCCAGCAGGTTTGGGAGACCAGCCTTAATTTAGCAGGGGAGATGTGATTTATATGGGGCAGCTGCTAGGGTAACACAGTGTGCAGCATGTAGCTGAAAAGGGGTGCAGGCTGCAGCATGGAAGCAGAGGTGCAGGACAGCCCAGGTGCTCCAGTGGCCTAGGTGGAAAAAGATGAGAAAGGATCAGGCGAAGAGGTGTCACTATTTTGCTTTCACGACTCAGATCTTCAGCCCTGTTTACCTTCTTAGTGGTTTAGACTGGAAGTACCACTTCAGAGATCTGGGGAATGTGTAGCCCCTCAACCCTGACCATTGGACATCTTGGCTGCAGCTGATGTGTGTTGGGAGGCCAACAGTATCTGTAGGGACCCGCAGGATCTCCAGCTCTGGAATAACAGATGCCTGGGTCAAAAAGCAGGGAGGGTTGTGATCTCAACTAAGACCTTAGACTTGAGACCCCTTGAGATTGGACTGGCAGACTTCATTATGGCATCAAGTTAGTCCCTAGCTGCATGGCTTTAATGTTCAGAGGGCCACAAGAACCCTGGCAGGTAGAATAACATTGCTAGCCCTTGGGAGCTGAAGTCAAGGTATTTAGATCAAGACTGGAGAACCTCAAGGTATCATTGGACTCCAATTCCCATCAGCCACAGCCAGCATGGGTGATGGGAGTTGTGGTCCAGTGACATCTGGAGGACAATAGCGTCCCCATCCCTAGCATAATGGGCTTGTGACAGGAAGTTGCAGAGGACTGAAGCAGAACAACGTTGTCATATCTGGTTATCTCTGTGAGATGCTAACCCCCTCGGTTTCCCCGCCTTCTCTAGGAGTCTTATCCAGCTGTCCCCCCAATATGGTCCGTGGAATCGGACGATCCCAACCTGGCGGCGATCCTGGAGCGGCTAGCAGACGTGAAGAAAGGAAACACGTTGGTGAGGCGGGAGAAGCGCCACCTCTTTGGGGAAGGAGGGGGAGCGATTGAGCTGGAGGAGGCAGGGTGGGGGGTGATCAGCATTCCTCCTTTTTCCATAACTTTGTTGTCGTTGGCTTCCTTCTTGGGTAGCTTCTGCAGCACCTCAAGCGGATCATTTCCGATCTCTGCAAACTCTACAACCTTCCCCAGCATCCGGACGTTGAAATGCTGGACCAGCCTCTGCCTGCTGAGCAGGTAAGCCAGCCTTGTGGCTCCCGGCAAGGCTCCTGGGCCAGGTGGCATTCCTCTGCCATGGAGGCTGCTTGAATGGGCACAATTGGTTCTGTATTTATTTCTTCCTGTCCGGCACATTTCCTCTGTGCAAAACTTCTTCAGGCAGCAGCAGAGTTCGCAGCAGTTGCTTCCGTGTAAGGAGAAGGAAAAGTCCACACACTGTTCTTTCTATCTAACAGCGTTTATTTACATCAGCAAGCAAAGGAACAAAGAAATCCACCCGAACACCAGTCACAGGTGTACTAAAATAGGTTCCATATAGGAAGGTGTTAGGAATCAATGCCCCAGGACACTCCTGACTGTTGCCTACGCAGCAAAGTAGCAGAGTAGTGGAACTCTGGTAGATGTGGGATTACAAGGAAACACAACACACAGGAAAAATCATTCATAGAAGTTTACTAAGGCATAAGTTCTTTGTCAAGAGTCCCAATAAAGTACAGCATAGCTCCTCTTAGAGCAAAAAAAAATCCAGTTTCAGCCTAAAAAGACACTACACAAATATAAATGCAAAAATATAAATGTAAAAGAAGTCAGTCGAAGAATGAAGAAAAAGAAGGAGGAGAAAGACTGCTCACTGGGCGGCAGATAATACGCTTCCCCGTGGCCTTGGTACTAAGATAAGAGACACAGTTCAAAACAACAGCTGCTTGCTTTGAGCCGAATGGAAAGTTACAGACCTGCTAGAACGCACAAGCATGTTCCAGCTTTTATTGGCAGCTTCTGCAAATAAATAAAACTTCACTCCATGACAGAAGGGGCAGCGGACTGTGCTTTATGATGAGTTCCATATTGTCTGTACTGACCTGCAGCAGCAGTCCAGGGGTTCAGATGGGAATCTTTCCCAGCCTTAGTTGGGGATGCTGAGAATTGAAGCAGTGACCTTCTGTGTGCAATCCGGCAGACAAACATTAGAATCTTCTTCTTTTAAAATACATTTTACTAATTTGATGAATAAAAAAATTCAAATAAACACACATTGATAACGTAACACTATATGTGGAGATTCTCCAAATCTCGCGACTTCCCCCCATCCCGTCCATGAAGTCTTCTTTTAAAACATCTACAACTGCATATTCGTTTGCGCTCCAGTTATTATATCAAACCATATTATCCATGATATTTTTTACACTACAAGTGTGTCAAAATCCTGCTCTGGTTTCCATCTGCTTATGGTGGTCTCCTAAATAACCACAAGTTATTTCCCCCCCATTCTTTTACAAAGTTTTTATCCTCTTGATTTTCAGAAATCAAGGAAACTCAGAAACAAACATGAGAATCTTCTGTTTAACCTTTTGTCCAAGCCAAGAAACTATGACTAACAGCTCTGGAATGAGCCACAATATTAAAATATAGTTCAAAGTTGTTTTAATTCCTTGCAGAGCAGTTCATAGGAATGTAGGAAGCTGCCTTATATTGAGTCAGACAATTGGCCCACCCAGCTCAGTTTTGTCTACACTGATCGGCAGGGACTCTCTGTGGAGTTGCCGGGGTTTCAACCTGGGACCCTCCTCACCCAAAGCAGATGTTCTGTTGCTGAGCCACAGCCCTTTCCTAACCACCTCTACTCATAAGTCTAAATCCTATTGAATTCCACTGGGCTTATTCCTGGGTAGTTGGGATTGCAGCCTGTGTAGTGTTAATGGAAACGTCCTGGTTTGGTCACACAAATTTTCCCTGTGAAAGGCTCATTCATATTTTGACATACTGAGATGATTGTCTGAATGCAGTCGTTTTTTATAAAACCTCTAAACAGCTTGCTTTAAGGCAGGCATTAACGTGTAGCGTTTGGAGCATAGTTAGCCTAACTTAAGGAAGCTGAGAGTTGTTGGGAGGTCTCTATTTCTCTCACTGAGCTACAACTCCCAGAGCAGTTCAGCAGCCTGTCCCTCTTCCAAGGGAACTCTAACACCCAACAGCTCCCAGCGCTCTTAACAAACTTCCAGGAACTGGGAACACCATGACATCATTGCAATTTAAACATCGGCTGCAAGCATGGCCTTACGGCAGTGTTTTCTAGAATAACTCCACGCACCTGTCCTCCTGCTGTTTTGTTCCATAGAGCACACAGGAAGAAGTGTCCTCTGAAGAGGAAGACGAGGAGATGCCAGAGGTAAGGGGTGCATTCCTTTAAAACTTCCCAACTCCTCTTTGCTCAGCCACCTCAATTCCACAGCCATTCCTGTTCCTTCAGAAATGTTCAGGACAGGGGCAATAGTAATAATTTTATAACTTATACCCTGCCCATCATGTGGACTGGAGATTTTAGTGCGATAGCGAGCAAGGATTCGGATACATCCATCAGTGGTAAATAACAGACACATCCAAATCCATAACAGCTTTAAAAATTGGCTGCAGAAGCCTATGTTAAAAGGTCTGTGGAGATACATTTTGGAGACATAGAGCACCCTTCCTATTTAGCATGGAACAGTTCTTGAATAGTTCCACGTTGCTAAATTTCTATGTAAGAAATCAACCTTATAGTGTGGCAGCACCTACACCTCAGAACTCCCTGCCTTTTGATATTAGACAGGCTCCTTCACTACCATTTTCAGCGCCTGCTATAAATGTTTTTGTTAGGCATGCCATGAGGGAATGTGGCCCTTGGGTGAAAGGAAGTCCCCCCCACCCGCTGCTTGCAGTTGTGGAAGCTGAAGCAGCACGAATCAGACCTGCATAGCTTTGCAGCTTTTGATTTCTAAGGAGAGAAAAAAAGAGAATTCAAAGCTGTCGTGAGTCAGGAATATGTCACGAGCTCAGTCTTCTTGCGTCGCAGGGGGGTTGGACTAGATGGCCCTTGGGTCCCTTCCAACTTCACAATTCTGTGGTTCTCTTCTCGCCCCCCCAAGGACACAGAAGAACTCGATCACTATGAGATGAAAGAAGAGGAGCCGGCGGAAGGAAAGAAGGCGGAAGATGACGGCATTGGCAAAGAAAACCTGGCCATCCTCGAGAAAATAAAAAAGAACCAGAGGCAAGATTACTTAAATGTACGTGTCGCCAGGCGGGAGGGCAAGGCGGGGAAATGGGGGGCGGGTTGGGGGTGGAGATGGAGAGGAGGGTCGCCCAGCTGACGTTTCAAAGCCTGCCTCTCCCTCTTTGATGCTGGGAGTGGCACATGGTCGGAGTGCGGCTTCCGTGAGCCCTGGCTGTTGGCTGCACTGCCTGGGGGCTGGTGGGGGTTGGAGTCCACCTTGCCAGGAGAGCACCAGGCCAGCCCTGAGCCTGGGCAATAGCTTGTCTCCATTCTGGGGGCAGGGGGGGGGGATGGAGTAACCTGGGGCTGGGCAGCCCGTTTTGCTAGCAACATGGGTGTAACAGTGAAATTCCTCCTCCCTCTCGCCCTCTCTCAGGGGGCAGTGTCTGGGTCTGTGCAGGCCACTGACCGGCTAATGAAGGAGCTCAGGGATATTTACCGATCGGCAAGTTTCAAGGGTGGTGAGTATCTAGCCTGGAAAAGCCCCGAGGCAGGGGATGGGGAGGGGCTGAGGACTGGGAGCCTGGCCTTGTCTCTGCTTTTTGGGGAAGTGGTTGTCATCGGTCAGGAAGAGGGGGGCAGGACTGTTGAGAAACCTGGATTGTAATAAGTAAACTGAGTTGGTAGATAATGTGATGCATTATTTTCTTGTGGTTGCGTGCCTGATGTATACTGATGCCTATAATGTAGAATTTGAAATTTATTTTGTCACCCCTGTTCGTATTTTTGTGTTGCGTTGGTCTTTTCAGTGGGGTGTAGATGATGGAGCAATTGTTTTGTTCATGGTTTGTTTAGGTTGATATATATACTGTGGGCTGTGTCCTTGCTCACTCTGCTCGCCAACCCTAACCAATAATAATAATAATAATAATAATAATAATAATAATAATACTTTTATTATTTCTACCCCACCCATGTGGCTGGAGTAACTCTGTCATTCTGGGCGGCTTCCAATGTATATAAAAACATAATTACCCCATTAACCTGCAGCCTCCCTTTCCCAGGATTCTCATGTTCCACTGCAAATGGGGGCTGCACAGTGACAGCCCTACATATACAGTGGTACCCTGGGTTAAGAACTTAATTGGTTCTGGAGGCCCGTTCTTAACGTGAAACTGTTCTTAAGCTGAAGCACCACTTTAGCTAATGGGGTCTCCTGCTGCCACTGCCGCGCGATTTCTGTTCTCATCCTGAAGCAAAGTTCTTAACCCGAGGTGCTATTTCTGGGTTAGCGGAGTCTGTAACCTGAAGTGTCTGTAACCCGAGGCACCACTGTATTTGTATGTATACAGGCAACTCCCCACTTGTACGCAATCTACTTGCATGCGACGGCCCAAAGGGACATCCTCTTTAGGTTCTGGGGTCTCCCTGAGAGCCACAAGGACTCTCTAGGGCGCTCCCCACTTAGGTGCACTTCATTTATGCACATGGGGCCTGGAATGTAACCCCTTTGTGAATGGGGAGTCGCCTATATATATTGTGGAAGCCGAGATGGTTTGCTGTAGGAATTTAATTCTGTTTTGTTGGTTACTTTAAGGGGTGTGTGTGTGTGTGTGTGTGTGTGTGTGTGTATTGTATAGCCATTCTTCCTTTCCTTTCCTTTCTCCTGCAATACTGACTGCTTCTTTGTATTTCCCACAGGAAACTATGCAGTTGAACTAGTGAACGACAGCCTGTACGACTGGAATGTCAAACTCCTGAGGTAAGGGTCTGACTGGTCCCGTGTGGGTGGGCGCTGCACCCTACCCTAAGCAAGATGCCTGGGTGTAGGGGGAGGCCCCGACCACCCCTCCATTCCAGTATGAATCGGGACTTCACACACACTTGAAGACGCCTGCTCTGCTTTTTCTTCCGGGCCGGTAGATTGGCAAAGGGATTTCCCCCCCCCTCCTCTCTTTCTCCACCAGCGAGAGAGGCTGGGGCAGAGCACCTTGCAGTGGGCTGCTTCCAGCCAAGCTGAAAAAAATCAACAAAGGCTTATCTGAGCCTGCTTTCTTGATTCATAGGCAGCATTTTTATTGCAGCTCTTCCAGCAACGACAGCAAAGGCTCCCAGAGCAGTTCACACATGCTGGGGAATCAAATAGTCCTTGCCCTCGGGTTCTTCTCATGAAGTTAGCTAGTGCTTTGGTAGATGGAGAGGTTAAAACTTCTCTGCCCATCCCAGTGCCTCTGAATATACCCCAGATACCCTCCTCCCCAGCCAGCGGATCTATTTAACCAGTGGAGTGAGGATTTATGTGTGCGAAACATAGATAGATAGATAGATAGATAGATAGATAGATAGATAGGCTGATGGGCTGCCCTCTGTCCCTTCCCCCACCTCCCAGAAAAGCCAGCAAGAGCCACACGCTCTTTAAAGAGCCGTGCCTAGCATGTGTGCGGCTCTTGGGGGCTTTTCTGCGAGGTGGAAGAAGGGACTGACCAGCTGCCCTTCTCCATCCTTGGGGAAAAGCCCCCGCTCCACGCAGCTCTTTAAAGGGAGTGCTGAGCAGAGCCTCCCGCCTGCATTCGCTCCATAAGACGCACACACCTTTCCCCTTACTTTTTAGAAGGGGAAAAAGTGCATCTTATGGAGCGAAAAATACGGTATATGTGCTGGTGCATGGACAACCTGCCCCCAGTGTGTGTTTATTGCACCATATCCCACCTTTTTCTCCAAAGAACTAAAGGTGTGGGTTTTCTCCATACCTCGCTTAATCCTCACAACAGCCCTGCGAGGTAGGGTAGGCCGAGAGGCAGTGACTGGCCCCAGGTTGCCCCCAATGAGCTTCATGGCCGTGTTGGTCTCTGCCAGGTCCTACACCACACTGACTCTTGTTTCGGCCAGGAGTGAATCCTGCCCACGGAACAAAAAGGGTTCCACAGATCACAGAATTGTAGAGTTGGAATGGACCATCTAGTTCAATCCCCTGCAATGCAGGAATACGCAGCTGGATGGAACCTGCGGCCTTGGCGTTGTCCGCACCATGCTCTAACCAACTGAGCTATCCAGGAGAGTTAGAAAGTTAGCCCCACCCCCTGGATAGAAGGCCCCCCCCCATCTAGGCCAAGGTTGGGGAATCTCTGACCCAAATGTGGACCTCCAGTGTGCTCCATCTGGCCCTTGGGACTCTTCCCCAGGCAACACCTCAGGCAAACCTCTATGCACCTTCCACGAGTGTTTTCGCCTGGCTGGGGCGTTTCCTTGAACTCTGGTTGTGCATCTCGCTTGCCTGTTTAGAGGTGTGTGTCGTGACGGTGCGGAGAAACTACCCCATTGTACAAAAGTGGGAGGAAAAAATTGCATTTGTTCTTCCACCTGCTTTGGCTTCTCGTCCAGCCCAACATGTGACCCCCAAAGCGGGAACTCTGACCTGGGGAGGGGCGAGTGGCCTTCCTCTGGCCTCGGCTCAGCTTGCCTCCCTTCTCTCCCAGGGTGGACGAGGACAGCGCCTTGCACAGCGACCTGCAGATCCTCAAAGAGAAAGAGGGGGCAGACTTCATCCTCCTCAACTTCACCTTTAAGGTCAGGCTGGTGGGAGGGAGGAGGTGGCGGCGGCAGCAGCAACTGATGGCCGGGGTGGGAGGGAAAGGGAGGGCTGCCCGGCAGCCAGCTCAGCGTCTCTCTTCTCCTTTCAGGACAACTTTCCCTTTGACCCGCCCTTCGTAAGGGTCGTGTCTCCTGTGCTGTCGGGAGGGTAAGTGCCTGACGATCCCCACCGGTGGGATTTGGGTGGCTAGTATTAGTAACTCAGTTCCCTATCAAGGGCGAGGACAACAACCCATGTAAAACCATGCTGTTTTAAATCAGTATTATTATTGCTGTTCTATTTTGCCTTGCTTATTTTGCTGTATCCCTCTTGATGATTATTTACGTACCTGGCACAGTCCACTTGGAATTTCTGTTGTCAAAACCTCATTTGAAACAAAATGGGCTTGTATGAGAGCATTCCGCTGCTCCAGTTGTGCATGCTGTGCGCGTATGCAGTTCCTGGCAGACTGTATTTTTTTTTGCCTTATCCACATTGCATGAAAACATCAGAGGAGGATAATAATAATAATAATAAATAAGAGGCTTTAGTGAAATTGATTTATTTTTATAATATTTAATAGCTGTCAATACCCATCTATATTAACTATATAAAAATCATGTTTACCTTTTTAGAGAAGGCTGTACAGGTTTTTGGACATAAGTGTTAAAACTGTAAATCTGAATAAAGGTTGTTTTGGAGAAGACAAGTTATTTCCCCCCCCCAAAAAAAATCAGTATTATTTAAATCTATATTACCTCCCTTCTTCTGAAGATCTCAGGGCAGCCAGAACCTAGGAAACTGTCTCATACTGAGCCCAGATCCTTGGTCATCTATCTCAGTATTGTCTACACTGACCGGCAAGTCACTGGGTTTCAGGCAGGGGGACATTTCCCAGCCCCTACCTGGAGATGCCAGGAATTGAACCTGCGACCTTCTGTCTGCAAGGGGGATGTTCTGCCCCCAAATTCTTACAGGACACGGAATTAAAGCCCGGGTGAAGGCCTTACCCCTTAATCCTATGCTGCTAGATGCCCTGTTCCCCGGAGGCAACAGTATTTGGACCCTAGTTCTATTGCCGGACAAACTCATCGGGTGTTCCTTGGTTCTGAAGAAAATCAGAGGCAGCCACATTCCGTCTGCTCCATCTAGAGATGTAGAGCCAGCTTCCACCTGCCTCCACCCCCTCAAAGGACAGGCCATCTTAGCTGAGCAGCAAGATTGGTTGTGGGGCAGGAGGCACATTAATAATTTTATTATTTATACATTAGGAAAGGGCTTTGATTGTGAGGAACTGGGTTACTGCTCCCCTTTTAAATGAATTTATACACACAGAGAGCGTGAGAGAGAGAGGGAGAGAGGGGGGCTTTTTGGCTAACAGTAGATATTCCTCTGTCCTTCTCTCCCAAGGTATGTCCTGGGCGGAGGAGCTATCTGCATGGAGCTTCTAACAAAACAGGTGAGCGGCTGGGAGGACTCCCATTTGGGGCCAGGTCCCACTTCTGCAGCAGTTGGGCTGGGGTGTTTGGCTGGCCTGCTGCTCCCTGGGATAGCTCAGTCAGTAGAGCACGAGACTCTTAATCTCAGGGTTGCAGGTTCGGGCAAAAAGGTCCCTGCATTGCAGAGGGGCTGGACTAGATCATGCTGGTGGTCGCTCATTCCTTTTCCCTCACCTCCTTTTCCCCAGGGCTGGAGCAGTGCTTACTCGGTGGAGTCCGTGATCATGCAGATCAGTGCCACACTTGTGAAAGGCAAAGCCAGGGTCCAGTTTGGCGCCAACAAGGTAACCTGGGGCTAGGGTCGACATATCCCCTGCCCCAATTCTCCTGCGTTGGTGTTGTAGAGGAGTCGGCTGCCAGAGGTTCCAACCTCTGGCAGAAAAGAGCCAGCAAAGCTTTAAAGAGAGTTACAATCCCCCAAGTGCTTTGACAATCCTTCGCAGAGAACTCTGGAAAGGGAATTGTGGGCAATCTCAGCACCCTGAACAAACAGCAGCTCCCAGAATATTTTTTTTGGGAGGGGGGGAACCGTGACTGTTCAAAGTGATGTCATGGTACTTTAAATGTGTGGTGTACAATGTGGCCTAGGTCAGTTTTGGGTCTCCAGCTGTTGCAAGACTACAACTCCCATCATCCCTGGCCGTTGGGCTAAGCTAGCGGTGGATCATGGGAGTTGTAGTCCTGCAACATCTGGGGACCTGAGGTTGAAGAACACTGACCTCGGTGACCTTGAATGAGCCGCAGACCTTTTCTCTCAGCCCTCAAGGTTGTTGCAAGAATAAAACGGGGGAGAACTATGTCCACTGCCTTAAAATACGGGATGTAAAAAAAAATGCGGGGCCAGCTTCCTATGGTCACACCATGCTTGTCCTAAAATGCCTGATTGCATTAAAAAAAACCAAAAACCACCACTTACAAGATATTCAGCACAGTGAGTGTTTTGTGGTTGGAGCAGTGTGGGAGATATAATCTGGCAAAGTTGCCTCTAGGAGTGTAACATTTCCTTTCACGGGTATGTGGCTTTTCAGGGTAATCGTGTTTCTGTGATTTAGAGGCAGGAGCCTCTAGGGCGCCCTACGGCTGGGCGATAGCTGGCTTTCAGCTTCGCGATATATTGCCAGCTAAACATTGTGACATACGGATATATCACAATGTCTGAAATAAGGATGGAACTGTGTAGAGGCATTGGCTGGCTTTGCAGTTTTTCCCACGTTTTGATTTTTGTATAGCGCAACACACACACACGATATATTGCCATTGCACGCATTGTGGGTGATGACAGAAGGGTGCAGAGAGGGCAGCCTTCTTAACATTAAAAGCCATTCTCCTCCCGCAGAACCAGTACAGTTTGACAAGAGCGCAGCAGTCGTACAAGTCCCTGGTCCAGATTCACGAGAAGAATGGTAAGGACTGGCACCTTGGTTGAAGTGCTTCCGGTGGAAAGCTTAGGAGCCGACCTGCGTTGTTGGCCACTGTTTCTTATCCTCTCCTTAAGGGACTTCCAGGCTTAGGGAGGAACAGGTGGGACCCCACAAGTGGCTTTACAAGGATTTAAACCAGCAATTTGAGTTGAGCCCAGAAATTCTGCGAAACAGTAAAGCCATTAATGATAACAACAGTATTCAGCAAGTTCCATTCTGTACACCCATGGCAACTGGTGTCAGGTGCAAGATAAAATAGGAGGAGCCAAATGTAAAATGAGGTCACGGGGTGGAGTCAGTGACGTCGCAATAACCTGCATTTACAAGTACAAAACTACACCCCAGTTATTACAGGCAACAGCCTAATCAAGGGAGAGAGGGGTGGTGTTGCAATTGTTAAACAATTGTGGGAGGGGAGCTCAGAACCCCCTACCTTCTGCCCTCATCCCCTTGTCCTAGGGGCGTTCTGTCTATACTGAAGAGTCTCATTGCAGTGGAAGATGGGTAGCAGCAGAGCTTTCCCACTCCAGAAAGTTTGTCTGCCATTACTGACCACCTATTCCCGACTGAGGCTGCCACCAGTTTGAAAACCATCACCCCATGGCAATCCCTGTAGGGCACGGGTAGGTTGCCCGGTGCCTTCCAGCTGTTGTTGGGAGGGTGGCTGCAACATACCCCCAGCAAGGTCTCTGGATCAGGAGTGACGGGAGTTGGAATCCAGCAAGATCCGGAGAGACCCACAGGATTCCCATCCCCCTGGAGAGGATGGCCCCTAGCTCAGTGGCAGAGCGTACGATTTCTATGCAAAAAGCCCCCCTGCTCCTCCAGTTCTAGAGGAGAATCTGGGCCTGGAAAGAGCCTCTGAGCACCCAAGTAAGAAGAGTATTTTGCTGGCTAGACCAGCTCCATGTGAGGCAGGGGTGGGGAATTGCTGGCCTGTGCTGTAGTTTAAAAAACAAAAGAAAACTGGGTGGTGGGGTTAATTCTGCGCTGCCTGTATGCTGCAAACAGGCAGGCCCAGCTAAAGCTCAGCTGTTTGCAAAAGGACTTTCATACAGCCCCTCTGAAAAGCAGGGGTTTGAAGAGCAGCACAAGGCAATTTTACAAAAAGATTTCCAAATATCTGTGCTTTTTGCATTCCTGACAATCAGGACGCAGCGTTGCCTGATGTGAGGATGGCACCTGGTGATTGACGGGAGGGCAGGGGGGCCCCCCACAAGGGTGAAGAGGTAAAGAATATGTAGGTTGCCCACCAGCAAAAGTTTCCCAGCCTTGATCTACAGAAACGGCGTCTGTTCACCTAAACCCCCCGTCTTCCACCTTTCCTCACAACCTTTTACTTTGCTCTCAGGCTGGTACACGCCCCCTAAGGAAGATGGCTAAGCATGGAGACGGTCACCCTGGACAGCCTCAGACCGGCCTCGACTTCCCTGCTGAACGCTGCTGCATTTGGATTGCAAGGATGCCTGCTCTTCCTCCTCCTTCTCCTCCTCCTCCTAGGACAGGACACTCACACCCTCCTCCCTCCCTCTTTCTCCACCGCCCGTACTTGCAAGGCGATTTTAGTGAGCGGCTCCAGCGGGGGACTCTTACGGAATTATAAACACTTGCGAGCAGCCGGGCCCTCCCTCTGCTCTGCTCGGGCGACTCGCTTGGACCCGCGCTAGCAGGCAAGCTGGCAGTCACTCTTATTAAAAACCACACACACACGAAAAAACAAAACAAAACAGCAAAACTCTTTGATTCTCTTGTTATCGCTGGAAGCTTCCAGCTCCGCTGCAGTCTAGAGCACCTCTGCCTCTTCCCTCTGCTACGGATTTAATTTATTTTCTTATTTTCATGTACACTGCTTTTTTTTTCTTTTCCTTTTTGGTTACAGTGTATGATGGATGTGTATGGGGGGGAAATGTATCTTCTTTGGAGAACAATTACATTTGTTAATTTGAAGGGGAACTAGTCTTACCTCTCTGTCTGCAATGCAGGTGGCAACTCAGGGTAGGTTAAAGGGTTTGCCTTCCCAGGAAAAAAACAACCAACCACAAATCCATGAGGTCTAGAAACTTTAAAATCAGTTCCTAAAGATCCTCAGGCTCGTGGAATTGCCATAACTTGCTAGATTTATATTGTGTCTGTGTGACGTTCCCTATGATCCTGACACAATATCTGCACTGTGATTTTGTTTTTTAACCAGGACCAACTCGGCTTAGTAGTCGTGAGGATGATTGCTTTTGAATCCTCACAGTCCTGTTGTGTTAACTCCTTGTACACACTTGGTTTTTCAGAATTGGGAAGTAGGAACCCAACAGCTTGCTAGGATACAAATTTGGGGTTAGCAATTAGGTGAGGGCTTTGTGTCTTTCTGGTGCTCCTAGGACACCTAGGTCAGACCAGGGCAGCAAGCAGGTTTCCACACTTCCAGTTTTACTATTCTTTGACTTTACGCTCCTGTGGACCACTTGAAAATTGCCAAGGGTATTCGATTTGATTTTTCGGCCAGCTATAGCGTTCATAATGCTGTGTGATTTTTACTCGTGTTTCAATTGCTCCTTTAAATTTCTTGTTTTGTACTTCGCTCCGTTAGAACTGAAATTGCCTAGAACTGAAATGCAATAAAGTACAAGAAAGAAAGAGAGCAATAAAAATGCAATTAAAAATCTTAAGGCAGGCACATCATGGACTACCTGAAAGGAGCACATGGGCCACTGGTAGTCTGTGCACCAGTTTGGAAGCCCTTGCTGTAGGTCATATTTTAAAATCGGCAGACCTTGGCGGGGGGGGGGTAGAAAATCAAAGAAGTGGGGAAACTCAACAGCAAAAATGACTCCAGAGGAAAAAGCTCACCTGAGTGCAAGAGACAATCAGACAATTTCTTCCTCAGCATCACTTTTTAAAAAAGCAAACAAGTTTTAGGTGTACATGTATATATTTGGTTTTAATCAACTAAACTACAGAAACAAGGTGGGAAGAACAGGCTCCAATCAATAGGCAAAATTTCAACATTCCTTGTCTCTTCAAACCCTCCATCTTTGAACACCACTAATATGCAAAATGCTTTTAATTAAGAGACATTTTTTTCCTTCCTGCCGCAACAAGGCACAGTCCTTTTTCCCAAGAGCCCATCAGCTTGCTTGTCGGATGTTCTCTCCAGAATTTCTTTAAACAACTTCCTCCTCCTACTCATCTTTGATGGCAAACTTCAAAATGTGTTGCTGTAAAAAGTTACCAAGATAGACTTAGAAAAAAATATTAGTGTATTTTAAACACATCTCCCCGCCCCCAAACACCCATCATGACCCATAGCTCCTGTCACCCTCCAGCCCTTATAACAGGCTGCCCATGTGGGGATGTTTTTAGGAATTGGATGTAAACACGGGGTTCAGTTGTAATCCAGCTGGTTAACTGATTTTTCCCCCCATAGAAAAAGCTGTTAGAACTTAACATAATCCAAAGAGAAACTCTTGAGAGTGTTGGTAAATCCCCACTGAAACTCCCAAGCTGTGCTTTTAGTTTCTCAAGCCTAGTAGATGAAGAATTAAAACAAACACCAAATGCATTAGCTGCACATAGAATTGCTAGGTTTCCAGAGACCCTTTGGAACTCTTGGCGCGGAATTTAGATTCAGGGCACAGTGATCTCCAACTTGCATTGACCCTCAGAACATGCCGGAAGCGGCCAATGAGTAATTCCCTAAACTCTGTGTGCTACACAGGAGCTAAACCGCACCAGCGAGCGTAGAGGTGCCAGTTGCATCTCTGCATGATACCCAGACCTTGCCTCTGCTAGGATGTAGGGGATCAAAGCGTTGCTTCTTTGGGTCAGCCAATTCTGCAGAGCTTCAGCAGAATTATCCACCATGGGAAGAGATGCCTGTTGCACCTCTGGATGATTCACTTGTCGCATTAAACAGCAGTTTTTAAAACCTAGAGTTTATTTAACATGAATGAGGAGCCCAAAACCGAAAAGTTATCAGTGCACACCAACTCTGCTCCCAGGAAACCAGCTAATTAGTTTGGCATGAGTAGATCTCCCATGAGAAGAGGTTACAACATTTGGGGAGTATTAATTTGGGGTGGGTGGTAACATTGTAAGAGGTGTCTAGGATAATGCACGGTTTGGAGAAAAGCATACAGGGAGATGTTTTTCTCCCTTTCTCATAACTCAGAGATCAATGGAGTTTGAGTGTTGGAAGATTAAGGGCACACAAATGGAAGTACTTTCGGCAGTGCATTGTTAAACTTTGGGACTCGCTTCCACAGGCATTGCTCTTCCGCAAAGCTTGTGGGCAAATTTGCTGTCGCAAGACCCCCAGCAGGTGAAAATGTGAAGGATAAGACTCTCAGTGTCCAGTAGCAAAGATGGCTGTGTTCTAATCTTGGAGGTAGTTCACTGCTGGGAACTGCAAGCAAGGAGAGCCGCTGTTGTGCTCTGATCCTTGCAGGCTTCCCAGAGGCATCTGAAGGAGCGTCTCCACCCTCATCATCCAGCTCCGAGGGTCTTTGGGCATTTCCCTCGCTGAAGTCACAGGGAACGAGGCAGAGGGCCTTCCCATCAGATGTCAAGGAAATCGACAACTATTTTGACTTTTAGAAGACATCTGAAGGCAACCCTGTCTAGGGAAGTTTTTAATGTTTGGTGTTTTATTGTGTTTTTATATATGTTAGAAGCCGCCCAGAGTGGCTGGGGGAACCCAGTCCAATGGGCGGCATATGGAGAATAAAATTATCATTATTATCATCCGGTTGGCCACTGGGAGAAGGGGCTGTGCTGGACTAGATGGCCTGATCTAGCAACCAGGCTCTATTTTGTCAAGGGTGTTAGGAACTGTAAATGGCAGATCCCACAATTCTCTAGGGCAGACACCCCCAAAGTCGGCACTCCAGATTTTTTGGGACTACAACTCCCATCATCCCTAGCTAACAGGACCAGTGGTCAGGGATGATGGGAGTTGTAGTCCCAAAACATCTGGAGGGCCGATTTTGGGGGTGCCTGCTCTAGGCGAAGCCATATGTGCTAATGGTGGTGATGTGAATATGCAGTTGGGGGTAGGATAGCGAAATGCCTTAAAACAGTGTGGGCTTCCCCTACTGTGAGACAAGGATGCGGGTCGAGGTGGGCTTTTGGCCTCCTACAGCGGGACTCTTCTTATCCAAACCAGGGCTTATGGTTTGCTTCTCTCTTGACAAACCAGCAAACCAATAACAAACCCTGACTGCTGTTGGTTTGGAGAGCAACCAAAGAGTTAGGGGAAGACGCGTTTCAGTTCACCTTGAACCACAGGTTCATTTTCAACTACAGTGGTACCTCGGGTTACAGACGCTTCAGGTTACAGACTCCGCTAACCCAGAAATAGTACCTCTGGTTAAGAACTTTGCTTCAGGATAAGAACAGAAATCACGTGGCGGCAGGAGGAGGCCCCATTAGCTAATGTGGTACCTCAGGTTAAGAACGGACCTCTGGAATGAATTAAGTTCTTAACCAGAGGTACCACTGTATGGTTTAATGTAGGCATGTCCAAAGTCCGTTTGGGGGGGTTTAATCCAGCCCCTGTGGCAGTTTATCTCCTTGGGTAAAATCCTAAAAAAAGTTCCTAAAGTTCAATCCTAAAAAAAGCTGAACAATTTTGGTCGGCCCTCATGTATGCTCACTTCATCAAATCTGGCCCTCTTTGAAAAAAGTTTGGGCACCCCTGGTTAATGTGATATATGAATTGGGATTCTCCGTACAGTCGCTGTTCTGGAGCTTCCAATTTGGAGGCACATCTAGTGGATTGATTTGTGGCTCTCCTCTGCAATCAGATCACTCATCCTCTGGCCACTTTCAAAATAAACCTTTTGAGGATTCACCCATGTCGATTCAGGGGACAGAGAAGTGGTTCTGTGGCTATCAAAAGTCTGGAAGACGACAAAAAAAAATCATTTCCTCTGTACGTTAACAGTTGCAAGACACTCCTGTCCTTACCTCTGTCTTCAATGGGCCGACCACCTTCCCTTCCAGGATTTTTCTCATCATGAGTTGAGGTGGGAAAACCTCTGCAAAAGAAGAAAAAGTACAAGTCAAAAGGAATTCTTCAGTAAGCAGTACAAGAGGGACTTGCAACAAAAATGCTGCAATATGGAGTCATGGCCTTCCATTCCACTTCTCCAGGGTTTTGGTTTTTGTCTCTGCCTCCCCCAGATACTCAGTTACTGGATTTGGCCAGTGGACGTGGGTGGCGCTGTGGGTTAAACCACAGAGCCTAGGACTTGCTGATCCGAAGGTTGGCGGTTCGAATCCCCACGATGGGGTGAGCTCCCGTTGCTCAGTCCCTGCTCCTGCCAACCTAGCAGTTGAAAAGCACGTCAAAGTACAAGTAGATAAATAGGTACCGCTCCGGCGGGAAGGTAAACGGCGTTTCCGTGCGCTGCTCTGGTTCGCCAGAAGCGGCTTAGCCTTGCTGGCCACATGACCCGGAAGCTGTACGCCGGCTCCCTCGGCCAATAAAGCGAGATGAGTGCCGCAATCCCAGTCGGTCATGACCGGACCTAATGGTCAGGGGTCCCTTTACCTTTTTAACCTCTTCAGATTTTTAAATTTTTTATTGGGGGGGGTGAAGCGTTGTTAGCACCTTATCCTACAGCACAAGGATGAAATTTGCGTTCACCGCTCCACCGACTTTTGCCTTCACTTGCCTTCCTGGAGCGCAAACGGCTGCGCCAAAGGTTTGATGGCCCAGAAATCATCCCTGTCCAGCTTCCGCAGGGAATTAAGCGGGACAGTGGCAGAGCGGCCAAAATCCACAAAGAACACTACCGCCAAATCATCCACCTTCTCCACAACCCAGCACCTGAGAAAGGGATAGAGGCAAAAGAGAGAGAGAAAAAGATACCTCCACTTTTAATTTTCCACCCAGTATTCTGTTCCCAATCAGGGGCAGCCAGGGGTCGCTGGGAAGCTCGTGACCTCCCCTGCTGTAAGTCCCCAGCCTCCAGTACCCACAAGGTATACTGCTGTGGCACAGGGAGGCTCAACTGAGCTGTCATAACTAACAGCCACCTGCAGGTATCTCCATTTGTCTTAACTACATGATTTGTTCTCAACCCCAAACGCGCAACGTGTATTTGTTTCCATAATCCCCTCACCTGTTCCAGGCATGGCCTTCATCCCCCACAATGCACTCTGCCAAGCAACGTGTCCCTTGTTGAACCTCTTGCTTTGTCAGAAAGGGTGCACAAGACTCACTTTCTGCCAAGGCCCTGAACAGCATCCGCATAGCCTGATGGCATTCCTGCATTTTTAACAGCAAAAACAGTATCTGGTGTATTTTAGCTCCTGTTGAACGTTCACATACACAAGCAAAAGTCCTCTAGTATTTCATTTCATTTTTAAGTGGCATACCGTCTTTCTGAATTACTATACATAAGGCGGTATACAAGCTGAAGAAACAACAAAACAGACAGCAACGATCACAAACGTCTGATAATCTGATCCAATACAAAGAAGTCCCAATAACTTTGAAATAATCGACATATCAATTAAAGCAATATTCAATAATCCATTGGAATGCAATAGTGAACAGTAAAATTAAATATCAGCAAATAATAATTAAACAGTTTACACTAATCAGTTACAATAAATAATGGTGCAATCCAAATTTCAAAGGTCAGTCCTTCAAGTCCCAAAATGGGTCTCTAATGCTGCTCTGAGGCTAGAGGCAGGCTTCACAAAAGTGGAGGCTGGAGTGTGGGTGATCACACTCAATTATTGGCTTAAACTATTTCCCCGTGGCCTTGCCCCACAGGGCAATTCTATACCTCCCTGCTGCTCTCAGATACCAATCCTACTACAACATACAATGCTGCTAGATTCTGCACAGCAGAGCTCAAAATTTGTCAGAGGATGACCTGTGCCACAAACTAGATTCAATGAACATATCAGAGTGCTCTGTAAATTAATATAGTTAACTCTTTTATATAGCAAACTTTTATGCTCTTCCATATTCGCCCAATGCTCCTATCCCTTCTTTTAAATTCTTATAGACTTTTATATTCACCTTCTATGAATACCTTTTAGCTTTCCAAAACGCTTTTCAGATTTTAAATGACTGTGTCTCACCCTTTTATGCTGGTCTATGACCGTAATAAAGATTTGTATTGCATTGTGCTAAACTATAATCAAGAAAAATAACAGCAAATCACAATGCACTAAATATCACAAAACGTACAAAGCCATGCAAAAGGATCAAACGGAGAAACAAGGACACACAACCCTTGAAACTATCCCTGAACTACTCACTTTCCAGCTGCTTCTGCTGTTTTCAAAGTCATGGTCTGGGAAAGGCTCCCAGGGCTGGAGGGTAGGGCAAGGCAGGTGTCAAAAGCCATTGCCTGATGGGTAGCACAACATCCCTCACCCCTCACATTTCCACTTGCAGACGCTCCATTTAAAGAAGAAACATTTCAGTTCCTCTAGCCTCCTTCCTTTCACTACACAACGTGTGCAGAGGCCATCAAAAGCAACTTTCTACCATTTGCCCTCTTTCCCGAACGAGGCCAGTGCCATTCAAAGTGCGTTAGAGCTCAATGAACCGCCGTCTGTTGCATTGCAGCACATTGTGCACTTACGTTGCTTTCACCGCTAACGGGGGGCACTAAACTGTTTCGCTTCGCCAGGCTGTATGGAGCCACAATCATGGGAAGCGGTGGTCAAACAGGCAGGCAGTTTAACCAAAACGAATTTGCGGTTTGCACCAACCTCTGTGAGATGGATGGCCCAGAAGAAGGGGGTCTGCGGAACGGTATCCAACACCAGCAGCGCAGCTTTCCCGACGACTTTTGCTATGGAGAAGAGCCAGCCCACATCCTTAAAGCAATCTCCTAACATCCGCAGCAAGAACAAAGTTCTGGAAGGAAAGTCACAACACCCATCAAAATATTCTTCTGGTACTCGGTTAAAAATACCGTATTTTTCGCTCTATAGGACACACTTTTTCCCCTCCAAAAATTAAGGGGAAATGTGTGTGCGTCCTATGGAGTGAATGCGGGCTCCTTGGCTTCAGCGATAGCAACGCGAAGCCTCTGAAGCACAGAGGGAGCGCTCCCTCCACGCTCCGGAGGCTCTGCGTTGCTTTCGCTGAAGCCTGGAGAGCGAGAGGGGTCGGTGCACACTGACCCCTCTCGCTCTGGAGGCTTCAGGGATAGCCGCCTGAAGCCTTCGGAGCACAGTGCAAGTTCCTGCTGCGCTCCGGAGGCTTCGGGTTCCTTTTGCTGAAGCCGGGAGAGCAAGACTCTCCCGGCTTCAGCAGAGAGGGAGAACTGCGCAGCACCCCTTCAGCCAAGCGGGAGGAGAAATGGAAGGGGCTCCGTTTTTCTTGCCGCTTCGCTGAAGGGGCACTGAGCAGAGAGGGGGAGATTTTTTTTTCTTGTTCTCCCCCTCTAAAACAAGGTGCGTCCTATGGTCGGGTGCGTCCTATAGAGCGAAAAATACGGTACCTAGCAGGAGAACATAAATCACAGATGTCAAGAAATTATCAAGGAGTCAAAGAAAGTGCCCAATGGGGTTACAACAGTTCCCATCATCTTTGACCACTGGTCCTGCTAACTAGGGATGATGGGAGTTGTAGTCCACAAACAGCTGGAGACCCAAGTTTGGGAAACCCCTGGACTAGAGCCAACAGGGCTCTTCTTATGTTCGGCCTTCCAAATGTGCACTTCTCAATTTTTCCTCTAAATTTCGCAATATAGTTCTTCAGCCAAGTGATGTATGCAAAAATGAGTATGCCGAGGCAAAGCATGCGTAGAAGTGCATATAATCGTGAAAATAACATGACTGGGAAAATCACTTTGCAAAAAAAATACGCATATGAGTAGAAATATACACCCAAATGCGGATGACATTTCATGCCACTTCGTGTTGTTGTAAGATATTCCTCCTCACCTCATTTCCATGGGAATGGCATAAAGGACCTTCAGCTTCGGAGGGTCCAAGGTCTGTGTGTTGGCTTTTGGGGAAAGATCTGCCGAGAACAAGACAGGAAGTCAGGGGAAATTAAAGAAGAGGCAAGGTTTGAGAGTGGCAGTAGAAATGAACTGAAACGAAGTCAACAGAGAGAGAGAGAAAGAAAGCCTGGTCTCAATATGCTTAGGGGGATCCCAAGGTGAAGAACACCACACTGCCCCATTAAAAAATCCCAAAAAGGGGCTGGCGCACCCGGAACTCAGTCCAATGAGGACTGAGCATGCTCAATAGCCGTGGAATGTTGAGGGTCCGTGCAAAAATTCTCCCCGACTGTCTGTAAGGGCACTCCGGAACCTGTGCAAGGGAGTTTGACAGACAACCAATAAGGTGATGTACCGTATTTTTCGCTCTATGACACACTTTTCCCCTCCTCAAAAGTAAGGGGAAATGTGAGAAAATTGGATTCCAGGTGGAAAAATCAAAACTGGAAACAGAACTGTTAGATCCTAAAGTTAAGAATTTGTCAAGAATGTATAACTTGCTGTTGAAATGGAATACTCAAGATGAAACAGTGAAATCTGTTATGATTAAATGGGCACAAGATGTTGGACATAACATTATGATGGCTGACTGGGAACAGTTATGGACCACAGGTATGAAGTTCACGGCATGTAATGCCTTAAGAGAATATTATGAAAATGATATACAGGTGGTACATGACCCCAGTCAAGCTTGCAAAAATTTATCATTTGCCCGATAATAAATGCTGGAAATGCAAAGAAACTGAAGGTACATTCTTTCACCTTTGGTGGATGTGCCCAAGGATTAAGGCTTTCTGGGAGATGATCTATAACGAAATGAAAAGGGTATTTAAATATACCTTCCTGAAGAAACCAGAGGCCTTTCTCCTGGGCATTGTCGGCCAATTGGTGCCAAAGAAGGATAGAACTTTCTTTATGTATGCCACAACAGCACCAAGAATACTTATCGTAAAACACTGGAAGACACAAGATTTACCCACTCTGGAAGAATGGCAGATGAAGGTGATGGACTATATGGAACTGGCAGAAATGACTGGCAGAATCCGAGACCAGGGAGAAGAGTCGGTGGAAGAAGACTGGAAGAAATTTAAAGACTATCTACAGAAATACTGTAAAATTAATGAATGTTAGAATGATGTTGGATTGAAGCTAAGGGGTTTTTAGCAGCAATGTTATAAGGAGTATGTAAAAATGGACTGTTAACAGATGAGAATATACAGTTATTACATATTAAGACAAAGGTTTAAGATAAAAACAAAGAGGGAAAGGATTTGCTGAATTAACTTACTGAACTGGAATACAAAAAAGGGGAGGTGTGAGGAGGTCAGGGAAACAAGTGAGTGAAAGACAAGATATGGAAAGATTGATTTGTTTTTAATTGTTTCTACTTTTTTTGTATTTTGTATTCTCTTTTTTCTTTTTTTATTCTTTTTTTCTTTTTCCTACTATTACTATTGTAACTTCTACTTTTATTTCTGAAATTTTAATAAATATCTTATAAAAAAAAAAAAGTAAGGGGAAATGTGTGTGCGTCTTATAGAGCGAATGCAGGCGGGAGGGTCTGCTCAGCACTCCCTTTAAAGAGTGCGCGGAGCGTGTGTGCGGCTCTTGGGGGCTTTTCCCTGAGGAGGGAGAAGGGCTGCCCCCAAGAGCCGCACACACGCTCCACGCACTTTTTAAAGGGAGCGCGGCTCTTGGGGGAGCCTTCCTCCCGCTGCCCTCAAGAGGCTTCGCACAGCTATCCCATAAACCAGGACAGCAAGAGGCTATCCCAGAAGCCAGATCCCTCTTGCTGTTCTGGCTTCTGGGATTCAGAATATTTTTTTTCTTGTTTTCCTCCTCCAAAAACTAGTTGTGTCTTCTGGTCTGGTGCGTCTTATAGAGCAAAAAATACGGTAATCATGATGTCATGTGATTGAAAGGTGGGCAACCCCGCCCACCCGCCACATTTAGCCGAAGTCTGATCCTAATATAATAATACCGTATTTTTCCGTGTATAAGACTAGATTTTTTCCTAAATTTTTGAAGTTTAAAGTAAGGGGTCACCTTATACAAGGATAGGGCATAGTGCATTTTCTTAATTTTGAGTCCCAAAAAATAGGGGGCATCTTATACACGGGGGAGTCTTATACACGGAAAAATACGGTAATTATTATTAATTAAATTTATATACTGCGCTACATCTATAGATCTCAAGGCAGTTCACAACATAACATTACAAAAGATGCAGGTGCACACACTTTTGTGTGGGGTGTGGTGTCTGAGTAGAGCCCTTCATCTGATAAGGTGAGCTCCAATTTATCGTTGTTGCTATTAAACAACAACAATATGCCCTTCATCCTAAGGTCCCAGGGTGAGCTGCAACAATTCCAAACAGCTTACATTATCGCAAAACGGCTTCAATTAAAATTAAAAACAGTTTTAAAAACAACTCAAAGACACAGGAGTCTTAGTTACTTTTGTAAAGAAAAAAATCAGTGGGTTTAACAAATAATAAATATTTAAATTTGTTTGTTTGTTTGTTTTACAGCTGCCATAAGACACCATTATCTTTGATTATTATTACTCTCCCCCCTCCCTTCACCCTAAGGTGTCAGGCGTGAGTCACAACATTAAAGCACAGTGTTAAAAACAGTTTAAAACAACTTAAAGGTAAAGGGACCCCTGACTGTTAGGTCCAGTGGCGGACGACTCTGGGGTTGCGGCGCTCATCCGCTTTACAGGCCGAGGGAGCCGGTGTACAGCTTCCGGGTCATGTGGCCAGCATGACTAAGCCGCTTCTGGTGAACCAGAGCAGAGCACGGAAACGCCATTTACCTTCCCACCGGAGCGGTACCTATTTATCTACTTGCACTTTGACGTGCTTTCGAACTGCTAGGTTGGCAGGAGCAGGGACCAAGCAACGGGAGCTCACCCCGTCGCGGGGATTTGAACCGCCGACGTTCTGATCGGCAAGTCCTAGGCTCTGTGGTTTAACCCACAGCGCCACCCGCTACAATCATCCAAATGAGGTGGGTCCTAAAAACACACACGTCAAGTGTCAAAAGCCAGGGTAAAAAAAGTGCGTCCAGGTAAGCGTGTGTTAGTTAAATAGGTTTTACGTTTATAATATCATTCTCATTTCATTTGATCTGAAAATTTGATTTCTTCGCCCAGCGAGAAAATCACTGTCATTTTGCAGGGCAGGTGGGGGAGTGTGGAAAGCTGCCCTGAGCCCCCAAGATATAGCAGGGAGGAAATAAAGAGAAAAACCCCCACGGGTGCAACATACCACACTTGGGTCCGGTCTCTTCCCAGGGGATGGGTTCCAAATCCTGCAATGAAACGTGAGGTTTGGAGCCCCGTCATCCAGAAAAGGAAAAACACCTAACACCTATCGGGAAGCCTTATAGCTCAGTGGGTGGAGCAGCAGGTCACGAGTTCAAATCTTGACATTTTTAGGTAGAGAAGGACCCTGGCTGAAAACCAGGAGAGAGCTTCTGCCAGTCAGTGTAGACCAGGCTTCCTCAACCTCGGCCCTCCAGGTGTTTTTTTGGCCTACAACTCCCATGATCCCTAGCTAGCAGGACCAGTGGTCAGGGATGATGGGAATTGTAGTCTCAAAACATCTGGAGGGCTGAGGTAGACGATGCCAGACAGTCAGCTTTATTGCACATAGTCAAAGGCTGCCGCAATGTACACAGAATCATTCAACAATTAAAACAAAATATACAGTGGTACCTCAGGTTACATACACTTCAGGTTACAGACTCTGCTAACCCAGAAATATTACCTCAGGTTAAGAACTTTGCTTCAGGATGAGAACAGAAATCGTGCGGCAGCAGCAGGAGGCCCCATTAGCTAAAGTGGTGCTTCAGGTTAAGAACAGTTTCAGGTTAAGAACGGACCTCCGGAACGAATTAAGTACTTAACCCAAGGTACCACTGTACTGGATTGATACAGAAAACTTAAAACATTTATGTTATCAAGACATTACCTACTCTAAACAGAGCTATAAAAGTACCTTAATAGACAAATTAAGACACTAAACAATAAAATTTATAAGCTAAAATTATCACATGGCCACTAATATATTAAAAAATGATGTTAATTAATACAGTGCGCAATTATATTCGGAGTTTGGTGATAAGGATAAAATATAGCTTGATGTAAAGGTAAAGGGACCCCTGACCATTAGGTCCAGTGGCGGATGACTCTGGGGTTACGCGCTCATCTTGCTTTATTGGCCAAGGGAGCCGGCGTACAGCTTCCAGGTCATGTGGCCAGCATGACTAAGCTGCTTCTGGTGAACCAGAGCAGCGCACGGAGACGCTGTTGACCTTCCCGCCGCAGTGGTACCTATTTATCTACTTGCACTTTGAGGTGCTTTCGAACTGCTAGGTTGGCAGGAGCTGGGACAGAGTAATGGAAGCTCACCCCAACGCGGGGATTCGGACCGCCGATCTTCTGATCGGCAAGTCCTAGGCTCTGTGGTTTAACCAACAGCGCCACCCGCGTCCCATAGCTTGATGTAGATAGGGTCAAATAAATTCATCTCCTTTACAGTTGGTGGCTACCTTGGCTATATAATTCGCTCTAATTTTCCTAGCGGCAGTTGCAAAGAGTGCGACACGCTAGGTTACATACTTAACTGTGTCTGCGAGGAGATATAAAATCATGTCGGAGGGGTTATGGCCAGGGGACCTTGTCATTATAAAGTAAAGGGACCCCTGACCATTAGGTCCAGTCATGGACGACTCTGGGGTTGCGGCGCTCATCTCGCTTTACTGGCCGAGGGAGCCGGCGTACTGCTTCCGGGTCATGTGGCCAGCATGACTAAGCCACTTCTGGTGAACCAGAGCAGCGCACGGAAACGCCGTTTACCTTCCCGCCAGAGTGGTACCTATTTATCTACTTGCACTTTGATGGGCTTTCAAACTGTCATTATAGATGATGCTAAAAGAGAGGGAGGAATGTTTACCGGCATCTCTGTGTCCATGTTTGTGGGCTCGCGGGCCCTCCTGTCCTCCGCAACAGCCACTGTTATGCGTCGCCCGTGAACCAGGCTGCCGTTCATCCGCTTGATGGCGAGTTTGACCATGTCGGCAGACGCCAGCTCCAGAAACCCAAAGCTGCGGAGAAGGAGAAGCGACGTCAGCTGTGGCGCCATGTTGGCATTTCAATCTCTCCAGAAAAAAAGAGAGCCAGGGAAGGAGAATGTGCTAAGGACATGGGCTACATGCCCTTCCGGAACTACACACCAGTGGTGGGCGGGGCCAGAGGCAAAAGTGGGAGGGGCCACCGTGTATATACAGTGGTACCTCTGGATGCAAACGGGATCCGTTCCAGAGCCCCGTTCGCATCCTGAAGCGAACGCAACGCGCGCCTGGCGATTCACCGCTTTCGCGCATGCGCGCGACGTCATTTTGAGCATCTGCGCATGTGCAAAACCCGGAAGTAACGCACTCTGTTACTTCCGGGTCGCCGCAGAGCACAACCCGAAAAGGCTTAACCTGAAGCGACTTCAACCCGAGGTATGACTGTATGGTTTACAAGTCCCGGCCAGACAAAAGCAAGCATAGATTGTATGAAGCAGGTGGTATGAGAGGCGTGGTCTAGGGAGAGCTGCGAGGGCCAGATCGGTCGGCCTCAGGGGCCACAGTCCTCCCACTCTTGGGGGAAAGTGGCAACAGCAACCTACTGCGGGCAGCAGGATGTGTCCAAGTCAAAGGAGGTGGAGCCAGATAAAAGGAGACAAAGACCCCCCAAAGCAGGCAAGGCATAGTCTCTCCCTGTCCTCATCCTTCATCTGAACATCACCACAGGTGGAAGGGAATGCATTCAGCCCCCCAGGCTATCCGCCCATAATGGGAAGACCTCGCAAGGCCAAAGAGGATCACCCTCGCGGGAGGGCGGACACCCCCCAATCCCTGAATGGAGGGTTATCAAAGGTTTCGTCCAATACCTCCCGTTTTCCGCAGGGTGTACCTGGTAAAAGTTGCCTTGTGCTTCTTGACCGTCTTCACGCCAAACTCCCTAAACGCAACCGCTAACTCTGTCTAAGATAGAAACAAGAGGGGAAGATTCACAACGGGATTGACACCCCACCCCGAAAATCACTCCCAGGCTAAACCAAAAGAGATCCCTGCAGTTTAATTACAGCACACAAAGGGATATGTTTAGAGGCAACTCCCTGAGTTTTAAATCTAAGGCCTTGCCTGCGCGGTGAATTTAAAGCAGTACCAAGCACTTTAAACAGTCATGGCTTCCTCCAAAGGAATCCTAATGAAGGAAGGTGAGGACAGGTGACCTCACCTAGGCCCGAAGTCACCCCCCACCAAAGCAGGCTCAAAGCTTCTCAAAACTTTTCAAAATCATTTTCTCAGCAGCTAAGCATCAGAAACATTCCACTCTGCTGTAACAAAGGTAGAGAACAGTCCATTGTTTCTCAGGCCTTTCTCATGTCTTCTGGCCTTGCTAACGAACCACATTGCAACTTACTTTCTGTCCGGGAACCATGCCAGAACAAGAGATTGAAACATATCTGAACACTCTGAAACCCCTTTCCTGGGAAGAGTCCAATAGTCCCAAGACAGCTTTCTGTTCATGCTCAGAGAAACTCATGGGCAGGACTCCTGAGGGAGGAGAAAAGGGGAGGGATCTGGAAGGGTATATATGCTTGTGCACAGGACTGTGAACTTCGTGCATGCTTTTTGTGAACTATCACACTTGCTCCTTCTACCAGTTCATGGATGGTAGAAATAAAAGCCTTTTCTCCGAAACTATTCCTTGAGTGTCTGTTGACTCCCACTTCCCTTTCCCGGGCGCAATATTTTTCCCACCCGAGGGCAAAGCCTCATAAGGCTACACTGGGAGGTGGAGTTTTTGTTTAAGGGGCTGAGCGCTAGATGACCCCCCTCACCGAGCTGCAATTCCCAGAGTCCCTTGGGAAGAAGGACTGATCACTCGGCTACTCGCAGAATTGGAGAGTTGGAAGGGACCCTGAGGATCATCTAGTCTAACCCCCCGAAATGCAGGAATATGCAGCTGCCCCTTACAGGGTTCAAACCTGCAACCTTGGCATTACCAGCACCACACTCTAACCAACTGAGCTATCCAGTAATGCAACGTTAAGGATAATGGTAAAAATTTCCTTAAATGGGAATATTTACTTATGTTAAATTACTGTGTATTTTTAACATGGGTTTTTTCTCCCCTTTGGCAGTAGCCCTCGTGTGATTGGCTGAGTCACATGAGAGAGGCATTCCATTCCGTTGTGACTGTTATTCCAGTAACTGTCGTTTTTTTAACTGCTTTCTGCTCCTCTCTGTGTGTATGTGAGGAGAATGGCTGCTCTGCTGAGGACAGTGTGTGTCCGTGTGATCTGTCTGGAGTGAAACAGAAATGTAAATCAGGAGAAACCTGCACAGGAGCTCTCGATAAGGAACAAAGTGAATAAGCATGAGATTGTAAATGTATTCTTCTCGGTTATATGTTTATGAAAGTAGAGTTCTTTTGAATATAAAGAGTCTGGACATTGTATAGTCTTTAGAAAGAAGTTACCAATCACCTAGAAGTGTTATTTAGCTTCCTAGCTGTAAGCTACTGTGTTACTTTACAAATCATCATCAATTTATATATAGACACAACATGCAATGCAGGAATATTTCTGGCCAACGTGGGTCTTGAACCCACAACCCTGACATTAAGCGTCTCCTGCTCTACCAGCTGAGCTATCCCAGGTGATAGCTCAGTTGTGTATAGTTCAGTGAAGGGAACAGGGGTCCATAGCTGTCAACTTACAGATTTGAAAATAAGGGACCAGCAGCCTTGAAAATAAGGGACTAGCAGCCAAAATAAGGGATTTTAGTCAACCAGTTAAAAGGGACCAGATAATTTTGGAGAGCAGTGCCAGTTTTTAGCCCTTCGTTTCCAGAGGTTGCTGCTCAAGACACCAGCCGATGAAACACTGCAATTAAATAACTACAAGCAGCAACCGCTTTTCGCGCAAAACGAAGTCCAAGCTACGAAGATGCTGCTGCCGTTCTGTATCTTTTCTCTCGTGCTCCATCTGCAGCTCTCAGTTCCATCAGGTGGGGTGGGAGGAAGGGGGGGAGGAAAATAGCGCCCAAAGTAAACCCGCAGATCAGACCATCTATGCTAGTCTACCACTACAAATCTATGGGAGAAGCGCTTGCGGTCCTTCCCTTGTAGCCCTTGGAACACCTGCCCGCGCCTCCGCCTCCTCCTCTTCCTCCTCTCTCTCTGAACTGCTTTCTCTATGGTTGCCCTCGCTCTCCTCTCAAGGCTCCTCATCAATTCATAGACCATGCCAGGCTGCCCATCTCATCCGGGTCCTTCGGCGGCACAGTCGCAGTACGGCCTAGCGGGAGCGGCGGTGACGGGCAGAGGGGAGGCCTCAGGCAGAGACGCTCAGTTTGGCGGCTGCGAGGAGGATGGCGGCGGAAGGGCCCGAGGCTCCCGCCAGTCCCAGTGGGGAGGGGCTCCCGGGGACCAAGGCTGGTGAGAGGAGGCTGGAGGGGGGCGGGGCGGGCAGCCAAGCAACACATTTGGAGCCTCCCTCCGCCCTGGCCAGCAGGGAGGGAGGGAGAGGAGCTGCTTCCTTTGAAACCCGGGAAATTTAACGGACATCCATCAATAAGGGACAGCAGCGGGACACGGCGCTGGGATAAGGGACTGTCCCTCCAAATAAGGGACACTTGACAGCTATGCAGGGGTCTCCTAACCACTCTCAGCACCCTTAACCAACAACATTTCCCAGGATTCTTTGGGGGAATCCGTGACCCTTTAATGTGGCATGGTAGTGCTTTAAGTGCAGATGGACTGGGGTGAAGACGGGCTAGAAACCTGAGTAGGCGGAGCCTTCTGAGCCAGATTACGCCCACAAAGCTGTACCACATGACCGTGTCACATGACCCCACCTGTCCTGGGTTGTAGGCAGAGGCAACCCATGCCCGGGTCCCACCTTCTCGCTGGACAGAGAACTGACATTTCCCTTGCCCAATATACATCCTTGTAAGAGAGACACATTTATGATGGGTGTTTTGGTTTAAAGAGGGGGGTTGTAGATGACAACTTAGGTGAAAACAAAAACGGGGAATATCTAGACCATATCACAGGCCCATTTTTCACAGCTTAATATACATCACGAGAAAAAGGCAGTCCGCGAAAGTGTCCGCAAGAAATATATTCCTGAAACAGAAAGCACCAAGCCTCACCTCCTTGATATCCAACGGGAGATTGCCGACAAAAAGTTCAGATTCTTTTTTCTTGAAGGACCCTGGAAGGAGAAGACCAAAGGAGTTTTTGAGAGATGCCTCCTACTCCCCACAAATAAGGGGTTTGGTTTGACACCCTAAGGCCCCATCTGCAGTACAGTGGTACCTCGGGTTACATACGCTTCAGGTTACAGACTCTGCTAACCCAGAAATATTACCTCGGGTTAAGAACTTTGCTTCAGGATGAGAAGAGAAATCGCGCGGTAGCGGCAAGAGGCCCCATTAGCTAAAGTGGTGCTTCAGGTTAAGAACAGTTTCAGGTTGAGAACAGACCTCCAGAACGAATTAAGTTCTTAACCCAAGGTACCACTGTAAACATATTTAAAGCAGTATCATACCGCTTTAAACAGACGCAGCTTCCCCCAAAGAATCCTGGGAAACTGCAATTTGTTCATGGTGCTGAGAGTTGTTAGGGGAGCCCCTTATTCCCTCCCCCGAGCTACAATTCCCATAGTCCCCCGTTAAAAGGGATTGACTGATTAATCCACTCTGGGAATTGTAGCTGTGCCGGGGAAATTGGGGGTCTCCTAACAACTCTCAGCACCCGTAACAAACTACAGGCTCCCAGAATTCTTTGGGGGAAGCCATGGCCATTTAAGTGGTATTAAAGGTAAAGGGACCCCTGACCATTAGGTCCAGTCGTGTCCGATTCTGGGGTTGCGGCGCTCATCTCACTTTACTGGCCGAGGGAGCCGGTGTACAGCTTCCGGGTCATGTGGCCAGCATGACTAAGCCGCTTCTGGCGAACCAGAGCAATGCATGGAAATACCTTCCCACCAGAGTGGTACCTATTTATCTACTTGCATTTTGTGCTTTCGAACTGCTAAGTTGGCAGGAGCAGGGATCGAGCAACAGAAGCTCACCCCGTCGCGGGGATTTGAACCGCCAACCTTCTGATCGGCAAGCCCTAGGTTTAACCCACACCGCCACCCGTGGCCCTGGTCAGTCACTGTCAGAAGGATGTAGGACTAGATTTGGCCTAATCCCCTGTGAGGGGTAAATGTCAGTTCCCAGGATTCTCTGGGGCAAAGCCATGCGCTCCAAATGTGCATTATGCTGTGAATGTGGCCTAAACTGGCACTTCCTCTGATGGGCTCTGGCTCCACCCATCGCCAGCTTTCGCTCCACCCACACTTGGGCTCCTTGCCTTGTGGTGCCCCACCATCCTCCCCTAGAATGTGGGGGGAAGAACTTGGATGTTGTGCAGCTGAGCACACTAACCCGCTCGCCCAGTAAAAATGGCTCCGGCACAAGCACAAAACCTCCAGCCGGCTTGCCTGCCACTTGTCGGCTGCTTTCCAACCTGCCTGCCCCAAACGAACAAAGATAATTCAGAGACAGGACACAGCTATAAATAACCGGACAATGGCTTTCTGACTTCTGACCCCAACGAGGGGAGAAATGTTTGGCCGTAAAGGATTATGCCCTGTTCAGAAGCCTGCAGGCACATTGTGTGGAAAGAAAACCCAGCCGAGAGGGCTGGGAGGAGAAAGGAGCACCGCGGTTGCCGTTTTCCTGAAATGGGTGCCAAAGAAACACACACACACACACACAATCCTTAAAAACAGCCCAAGATTTTGCAGCCAGATTGGTCTGAGGCAGGGAACGGGGCATAAATCTCTGCAGGGAAACCAAAATGTTTTTTTCTTTTTTAAACTTTATTCCAAAACCGAAAAAGAATTACAAACATCTAATTCAAAATCCATATTTGTTTTGTAACATAAGCCTATTACATAGTTTAGTAAATTAAAATACAGTGGTACCTTGGGTTACATACGCTTCAGGTTACAGACTCTGCTAACCCAGAAATAGTGCTTCAGGTTAAGAACTTTGCTTCAGGATGAGAACAGAAATCGTGCTCTGTTGGCACGGCACCAGTGGGAAGCCCCATTAGCTAAAGTGGTGCTTCAAGTTAAGAACAGTTTCAGGTTAAGAACAGACCTCCACAACGAATCAAGTACTTAACCTGAGGTACCACTGTATATCTAATTGCTATAGACTTCCCTTTACTGTATATAAATGCAATGTGATTAGAAATATTATATTAGAAATTTTTATAAATTCCCCTATACCCCCCACTCCCCTTCCCCCATGTGTGATCTCAATATTTTACTTCTTCCATCTTGTTGTGTTGTTGTAGTTTAATAATTATTCAATTTATTATTTTATTATTTCCTGCACGTTTTACACATTACCTAATAATATTCCAGTTCCGGAACTGTATTTTTTCAAAATGTTTTTTTCTTATGTGCCTTTATTTCAGGGGTGCAGAACTCTCTCCAGCCTGAGGGCCACATTCTGTTCCGGGTAATCTCTCATGGGCCACATGTCAGTCCGTATGGTAGGCTACTTTCCACACAAACAAAGCCCCCTCTATCCTCCATCCAGGCAAATCAGGAAGCAGCATCAAAATTTGGTAAGGCAGGCAGAAAGTCTTAAGGAGGGTGCAAACAGGGAAGTGTGGGGCACGGCCTGGATGGAGTCCCAAGGGCCAGACAGAGAAGTTACATATATTGGGCAATGCATACAAATCTCTCTTCATTATGCTAATAGCTTCACATTCTCTCTCTTTTGAATCAGTTTTATTAAAGGTTTTCAACCGAACATGCTATAAAATTCAAACTAAACGAAAGGGAATAATGATAATAAAAAAATAGATCTAACAGAAAAATCCTAAAGTAAAATACATCAATGATCCTCATAAAACACAAAATTACAAATGTATCTATGTGGCCCTCGGTCAGCATTTTATCTTAATCTTCACACATACAGAGAAGTTGAATCTTCCCACTTCCCATCTGGGAGAGCTTTCCCTTCCTCCAGAAAAGCCACTCTGACCTGCCCCTCATACAGACCCTTTCCTGTTCCCATTCTCCATTATTTCCCGATTAATCTCAAACTTACGCTGGCCCATTTGCACAGGCCCCTTCTTTTTAAATACAGTGATTAGTTGCTTTTTGAACAGCCTAGTTCTTGAATGTTTTGGCTCCCAAACGATCCATACCCGGAAGTGCGTGTTCCAGTTTTCGAACGTTCTTTTGGAAGCTGAACGTCCGATGTGGCTTCCGATTGGCTGCAGGAGCTTCCTGCAGCCAATCAGAAGCCGAGCTTTGGTTTTCGAATGCTTTGGAAGTCGAACGGACTTCCGGAATGGATCCCGTTCGACTTGCAAGGTACGACTGTACATTAATTAATTAATTAATTAATTAATTAATTATTACTTTGTCAAAAAAATTATAAATATATAAAAATGTTAAGGAAAGTTTCTGTAAAGCAGAAAAGGTAAAAGGTGTTTTCTTCCCCTTCCTTCCCTGTATTTATATATATATACACGCACGGGGGAGGTTTGTTCTTTCAATTTATTTGTTTAAAGTGGAGGGGAGGGAGAAATCTCTTTATTGCTTACGTTGTCCTCCCACCTAAGGGGACTGAACCCAGGAGCTAAGGAAGCAAAGCAGAAAAGCCCAGAGAGGACTTATCTATGTTCAGAAGCCACAGGAAGTCAGGGAGAAGGGACGGAATGGAGCATCCCGGCAGAGGGCATGGCTGGCAGGAATCAACCTTAAAAGGAACGCTAAACATTGCACCATTCTCTGGTCAGTGCAGCATAGTGGTTAGAACGTTGGATTAGGACTTGGGAGAGACCAGGACTCAAATCCACACTCAGACATGGAGTTCATTGAGGGTGGGGGGCTCAGGCCAGTCACTCACTTTTGGCCTAACCTACCTCACAGGGCTGTTGTGAGGGTCACATGCGGAGGAGAACTCTGTATGCCGCCTTGAGCTCCTTGGAGGAGAGCTGGGCTATAAAGGTAAAGGGACCCCTGACCATTAGGTCCAGTCGTGGCCGACTCTGGGGTTGCGGCGCTCATCTCGCTTTATTGGCCGAGGGAGCCGGCGTACAGCTTCCGGGTCATGTGGCCGGAATGACTAAGCCGCTTCTGGCAAATCAGAGCAGCGCATGGAAACGCCGTTTACCTTCCCGCCGGAGCGGTACCTATTTATCTACTTGCACTGCATGCTTTCAAACTGCTAGGTTGGCAGGAGCTGGGACCGAGCAATGGGAGCTCACCCCGTCGCGGGGATTCAAACCGCCGACCTTCTGATCGGCAAGTCCTAGGCTCTGTGGTTTAACCCACAGCGCCACCCAAAGGCAGTAATTAAGGAAATCCTCCACGCTGCAACACTGTGTTGCAGATGCCATTTGTTTATTACTCCCCAACCCAAACATTTTCAAAAACTGAGCAGCACAAACTTACCAGGATGCCTTGGTGGGGCTGCTTTGACATGCTTCTTCAGAGTTTTGCCATTATTCCTCTCGTTGCCAGAGTTTGACCTGAGAAGTAAGTTCAGAGAAACCTTAGATGCCATGTCTGTTGATAGATGAATTATTTCCGAAGGGGAAAGAAATAGGGTAACACACATTCATCGCAACAAAATTTGGCCTGTCTCGCACATCAACCTGAGTCATGGTTTATTAAATCACGACTCAGTATTATATGTTTCAACTCTGCCCCAGCAGCTTCACTGTGGTTTGTTTAATCAACTGAAACCATAGTTTGTTGCTGGCCTACAAACTTTGGTCCAACTAAGGCAGCTTCCTATGGAGCCCAGCTGCCGCTGGAGGGTCAAAGGTTCCTCAGCCCTGATACAATCACACAGAGAGATGGAAAACTCCGCAGAAATAAAATTGCACCCTCAACCACCATAAAAGGCAAAAATTTAACATCTCAGTAATAGGGCTGGGCAATATCTGGTTTTCCACATCGCAATATATCACCGGCTAAACGTTGTGATGTATTGATATATCACCGTCTGAAAATAAGGATGGAACTATGCCTAGGATGATGTTAAAAGGGCTGGGATTCTTTTTAAAAACTTCACTTGACACCAAAAGGCGGGGGGACTTCATAGGCAAAAGGCGAGCTTCTCTGGGGAAGATCGTTCTACCATCTGGGAACCACCACTAAAAAGGCCATGACAGCCAACCTCCTTATTTCAGGCTGAGGAACAAAATCCACATTTATTTGTAATCATACTAGCTCACATTCAGCCATTGCTTGGATATCTAAGACCTTCTCTGAGCCACATCTTATCCTCTACTCCAAATACTCACATCTTCAAAGGGTCCATGGAGACATCAACCTGAAAAGGAGACCAGACGTAATTATTATCAATTTAAACAACAACGACAACAGCAACCACCAGGAAGAAATAAAGTTCCTGGAATGGCATTTCATCATTTTCCCCTCCAAGAGCAAATGTGAGTACCAATCATTTTGGGAGCAAAATGGAGCCACCCAAAAAGCAAGCAGCATTTTCTAAATACTATGGGGGAAGGGCTAATTAGGTAAGAATATTTAACCTTGTGGTGGTTACTAACAGTCATTATGTCACAATAAAGTTTCAAAAATTTAAAAGGAAAAAAAAATATTTAGCTTCGCAAGTATTAAGAAAACCCACAAAACAGCCTGACAACAATCTTTCAGGTTGCGAAAGAGATGTGAGGAATGTGTGGTCCTCCAGATGTTGATTAACTACAATTCCCATCTGCCCCAGGAAGCATAGCCTGTGTGTGTGTGTGTTTATATAGCAAATTGTAATAATAATAATAATAATATCCCTTAAAAAAGCTGTGGTTTGGGATCATGGTACACATGTTTTACAAGCCCAGCATCTGGGCACAGCCTTAGCTCAGATGCTTGTTTTTGATCAGCTAATTAGAATAGCAGAATAACACAATTGTGGTTGGAATGGACCCGAAGAGTCATTTAGTCTAACCCCACGCAAAACAGGAATCTGTTGCTCAAAACTGCATTTTTACTTTGTAGTGTTGCAACTCCCTCTGGGGCCAAAGTAACACCTCTAATGGGTCACAGGTTCCCCACCCTAAGCAGTAGAGAGAGGAGGAAAGGGAGGGAGAAATAGGGTGGGGGGAGGGACTGGAGAAAGAGCAGGAAGCAAGAAGGAAGACTCCCCATGACCGCCCCCCTTCCAAGGCGAATTAAAAATAGAGATATCTAGCCATTTCAGGAGAAGAGGAACCCGCAGCGTCAAGGGCCAAGGCAACCTCCCCACACTTTCTCTGGGGCCATACCTGAGCGCGCTGCAACGCTGGCAGGGCGGCGTGCGGACGCAGCAGCCGTGCGCGCTTCGAATCCGGAATCAATCCGCATTCCTCCGTCCCGCAGGACTTTTATTGGAAAGGGAGAGTTGCAAAACACGGATACCAGGGTGCCGTTTCTGTTAGCGCTCTTACCAGCAGGTCCCCCAGTCCTTGCTGGCTAAAACGCACCCGCAGCACCCGCGCCATGCAATGCACCACCACGCCGCTCCTTTTATTGAATTTAAATAGTGGCGCCACAGATCTTGCAGCTGTAATGGATTGCGGTGCGCCGGTTTTTATTTTGCAGAGGCGGGAATGTTTATCCGCGCCGGAGTTTCTCGTGCAGGAAGAGCTACTAGGCGGTGGGTTTGTTTTTTTTTTTTTTTTTGCAAACGAGAGACGTGCTTGCAAAAAGGAAAAGGAAGAAGTCCCTCCCCGCTCGCCAGGGCAATTTTCGATTTTTTTTTTTGCGCAAGGGACGCGTGGCTTTTAAAAACTCTTAAATGGAGGTTTTTGCAAACGCGCCGTGGATCCAGTGAAATAATTTCTGCGGGGCAGATCTGGGATCGCTCAGCCGGGAAAGCATGAGACGCTTAAATCTCAGGGTCATGGGTTGGAGCCCCATGTTGGGTAAAAGATTCCTGTTTCGCAGGGGGTTGGACTGGATGACCCTCGGGGGTCCCTTTCAACTCTAAAATTCTGCGATTCTAATTAGCCGAGCAAATCAAAGCAAACGAGCGAAGCCTGTGCCCAGATAACTTGGCTTGTAAAACATGCAGAGCGCAATTCCAGTTTACAGTGGTGTCCAAACTTTTTTCAAAGAGGGCCAGTCTTGATGAAGTGAAGGGCTGTGGGGCCAGCCAACCAAAGGGCCAACCAAAGTTTTTGACCTTTTTTTAGGATTGAAGTTGAGGGGTTTTTTTGGATTTTACCCCAGTAAATAAACTGCCAAAGGGGCCAGATCCAGATTAGACTCCCAAAACGAACTTTGGACATGCCTGGCTTAGGGCCCCACTCCATAGCTGTCAACTTTTTCCTTTTCTTGCAAGGAATCCTATTCGGAATAAGGGAATTTCCCTTAAAAAAAGGAAAACGTTGACAGCTGTGCCCCACTCTCTTGGGAGCCCCCAAAAAAATTAAAGGGGGAAAAACTGGATGTACATTTCCAAAATATAAGATAAATAAAGTAAAACCTTCTTACAGCAACAGTGTTTTGTGTTGTGTAGATACTTATTAGGTCCATAAATTACCATATAGCATACATTCAACACAAAAACCAGTGACAATTTCTTGTTGACCAAGAACAGCTGGACATATAAAGGGCCTCATTACCTTCAGTAGCCTAGGGCCTCATCAGACCTAAACCCAGCCCTGCTCAAAGGATTATTATTTTATTATTATTATTATTTCTATACCTCAATCAAGGGTCACAGGGCACTTTGCAATATAAAAACACAAAAATACATCCCATGGTAACAAATGAAAACAATAATCCTCACAAACATAGTTTAAAAGGCCATAGATTGTTTATGCAGCCCAAGGTCTGGGAGAAGAGGAAAGTTTTTGCCTGGTGCCTAAAGACATGTAATGAAGGTGCCAAGTGAACCCCATTGGAGACAACATTTCACATACAGGGAGCCACTGCAGAAAAGGTCCTGTTCTCATGTTACCACCCTCTGGACCTCTCACAGAGAAGGGCCTCAGATGATGGTTGCATGTCCCAGGTCGGTGCATGCTTTTCCTCGGAGTAAGCCTCATGCATGGCAGTGGGATTTGCTCCTGAGATCGTCGCTGTGCCGAAACCCAATTGAGTTTCCCAAATAAACCCATGCATAGGATCGTGGCTTTCCAAGACAGGATCCAGAATTCAGCAGCACGGTGGAATTTATAACAAGAAAACATGTTGTGTCATATTTCACCCATGCAGACCCACCCTGTCTCTCTTGTTTACTCATGAGCAAGTTCTGTATAAAGTGCATTCAACGTGCATTGCATGAGTTTCCACAAAAAATCCTAACTGCTACCATTCCCAGCACCCTTAACAAACTACAGTTCCCAGGATTCTGTGGGTGCGTGTAATGTCCTTTAAATGTGCATCAGGTGTGCTTTAAATGTATGGAGTGGATGGCAACATTTTGTTTTTAAATTGCATTTTTTGAGTGCCCAGTCTGGGGTCATTTGCAAAAGCTCCCTCCTTCTTATCTTTCTGCATTACAGTCTGTGGCGACGGCCAGGAAGAATGAATATGTACAATGCTTTGAATAAATATGCATATTTTAAAACACAAACCGCTTAGGAAAGAAATTAATATGCTGGTCCCTTTACTATGGTGATTATCAATGGCTAGAGATGGATGCGTTTTTACAGAGATTAACAGGCTGGTATAGACAGGGATTTAAAAAGAAAACAATATTTATAGCTTGCTCTTCATTGAATCCTTTCAATCCCAGAGCAGGGAACAAAGTATTAAAAAATTAGGGGTGGGGGTAGGAATGGCAATATGCAAAACTTTTGAGAGCATGTAAGACGGATCCAATAAAAGACAAAAATAACCATGCTGTCGTAAGGTAAACAAGCAAAACTACAGTGTCAAAAATGAAAATTTCCAATTTAAGCAAATACGTAAGTAACAACAAACAAACACAATATATTGGGAGCCATTTGTGGTTTACTGGTTCAAGTGTGTTGGACTAAGAACCGGGAAATGGATGGACAGACAGATCTGTACGTGGATGTGTGGACACATACAAATCAGTCCATTCATCCCCCCCATACATTGGAGCAGCTGGGGCAACCCAGTCAGATGAGTGGGGTACAAATAATAAAATGACTATTATTATATGGATAAACAGACACATGCATCTGAATGGATGGAAATGGAAGACTGGAGAGGTAGATTTGTATGTGGGTGGATGGGCAGGTACGAATCTGTCTGTCGCTGGATGGATGGATGAATTGGTATTGTACCTCGATCAATGGGCATAGACGGATGGTTAGACCAATTTCGACATGGACGGCTAGAGGCAGACCTGGACATGGAGGGATGTGCGGACACAGACATGGATGGATAGAGAGACAAACAGATACATATATGGATGACCGACAGACATGGACATGGGGGGACATGAATGTATAGACAGACTTGTATAAACATGAGTGGACCAGGTGAATAGACAGAAAGTCAAACGGGGATGATGAAGAGGCAGACATGTTGCATTTAGACAGGCGAAAGGAAGAAAGTGTAGATATATATGAGCGTGATGAAATATATATGTGGATGGATGGAATATATCTGTATGGAAGAACACATGAATATTTGTACATTAAGTGATGGATGAGAATATTCATGGGTGGATGGACAGAAAGAACCTGCCTCCAGTGTTACAACTACTTAGAGTAAACCCCTTGGAACTGATGGGCATTCTCTTGAGAATTATAGGATTAGAACTACCCAAACAGTATAGTTGTTTGTTTTTTATGCATGCTACTACAGCCGCAAGAATGTGATTTGCCCAAAAGTGGAAAGATGAAGAGGTCTCGACGAAAGATTGGATACAGAAATTAATGGAGTATGCAGAAACGGCAAAACTTACTGGAAGAATAACAAATAAAGATAACAAACAAACTCTTTATAAAGGAATGGAAGTGGGTTATTGTGTATTTACAAGCAAATTGTAAACGGATTAAGACATTGGCAGGATTATTGCGAAAACCTGCAGAGTGTGTGTGTGTGTGTGTGTGTGTGTGTGTGTGTATATATATATATATATATATATATATATATGAATGAGATCTATATCAGAATAGACGAATAAAAGAATAAGTTAAGATAATTTGGAGCATGCAGGAAAAGATGGGAGGGGATGTAAGGAACTGCAGGAGGAGGGGGAAGGGAGTCGAAATCGAAAATGTTAAAATCTGGCAAAATAATATAAATGTATATAAATGAAAATAATAAGAAAAGAAACTGATGGGCATGACTAACTCGATCCATTAATTTCAAGGGGTTTACTTTGAGTTGGAGACAATCTATAGAAAAGGAGGAAGAAAGGGGAGGATGGAGAAGTAAATTTTTTTTTTTTGTAAAGTGCATGTTTACTAAATCTTAAACCTTTAAGAAAAGCTGGCGCACAAGCCCCGTGAAAACGCGCAAGTTGCGCGCCCGGGCTCCGCTGCTCGCCTCTCTCATCCGCGCCCAGAGGCCGGACCCCTCGCGGCTCTCCAGGCCGCCCCCTCCGGATCTGGGCGGGGAGGCTTCTTGCCAGAGCCAGCCGCCCTCTCGCCTTCCCTGTCCGGCAGCAGCAGCGGGAGAGGCGCCTTGGGACGGCGTGGAAAAGCAGCGGCCGGGGGTCCCGTCGAGCAAAAGCAGGTAAAAGCAAAACCAAACAGCGGAGCCCGAGGGCGCCATGGGGCGACCTCACCCCAGGGCTGGGTAAAGGAGAGGGAGGGATGATCCTTTGCCGCCTCCTTCCCGCTGTGTAAAAGGACCCCCCTCTTGGAAAGACCCCTTTCCATGCCCCTAATAGTGGCAGCCTGGAGAGGCACCCGCCTCTTGTTTTCTGCCCCCCTCCCACCCCCAGGACCAAGAAGCCCCAGTTCTGCCTGCTAGCTGGATCTCCCACAAAAAATTTTTCTCCCCTGCCTCTTATTAGGAAAAGTCTATGTCTTTCTTCCTTTCCAAAAATGAAAATTTAAGACCCCTTCTGTCTGCTGCAAAGCATTTAGGAGATATAACTTGTTTGATCTCACCCCCCCCCCAAAAAAAGTGGGGAAGCACTAGTTGCCCTTCCTTCCAAAGCCCCTCATAGTTACAATTTAAAATTCTTACTACTCTGACTCCCAGCTCACCTCCTTGTTGGCAGATAGAGAGAAAAGTTGTCTACCCACTTTGGGGGGGGGGGGGCTACAGAGCTGGGCAAATGAGGCATTAAAAGGGGGGTCCGGGGGTCCTCCGCCTCAATGCGCTCTCCCAGTTGCTCATATTGTTGGATGAGTTTTATATTTCCGTAGGTGTAACTGTTTTACCGATCCACCCAAATTGATGCTTCCCTCTCCGCTGGCCAGTTCTGCTTCCTTTTAAACTCCTTTACTATTCAGTTGGAAGTGGTGGCTTTTAATTCCTTGGGAGAAAGAGGAATTGGGCGGGACAAGGTGACCAGGTATTGGCCCTACTCCTGGCCAGCTCCTCACCTTCTTTGCCCAGGGAATGCCTTTCCTATCCTTTGGGCGCTGGGCCTCTGCTCGCCTCTGGCTGCCCTTCTCTGAGTTACGTGGCTGGGTTGTCAGGGGGCGCGTGGCCAGTTTGAGGCCTCCATCTCAGGCTCCCGAGACAGCCTGTGCCAGCCTCGGCACAGGCCTCCGTCCTTTCCCCAGTGGTACCCCAAACTCAGCTTCTCCTTGACCCCTGCTGCCGTCTGGTGCCCTCTGCCCCCCATGGCCGCCAAGTGGTTCAAAGAGTTTCCGTCCAGCCTGAAAACGGTTTCGGAGAGAGCCAAGCCGGGCAGTGCCGCCAACCTTGGGAAGCTGTGCAGTGCCTCGCGCAAGAGCCTAGGTCCTCCCGAAGCGGGCACAGCGGCTTCTCTGCCCGGGAAGAACCGGAAAAACTCTGCCACTGAGCTGGGCGGCCCGCGGACCCTGCTTCTGCCAGGGAAAGATGGCGGAAGCGGGCGGCTTTCGCGGGACAACCTCCAGGGCCTGCTGCAAGCCGCCGCAGGGAAGATGCGCAAGAATTCGCGGGTGGATGGGGCCCCAGCGGACGAACCGGCACGGGGGGCACCCAAAGGCAACGCCGGCTGCGGGACCTACATCAACCGGCTCATCAAAGTGGATGCTCACGAGAAAAATGGAAAGAACTACCCTGGGAGCGCCCCGAGTCCCACCCTGGTTGCAGCTCCCGAGTCAGAGAAGGCTAAACAGGAGACGGTAAGGATCCTGCTCATTCCGATACCCTTTCCATGGTGGTGCCAGCGTATTCCCATTGGGCAGGTTTATAATGGGTAGGCCACATTTATTCTCCATGCCCTTTCTCAGTTGCCAAAAGAAGATGACCTTCTAAGGACTCTCTGCCTATACCAACTTGACATCGCTTAATGCCACTTTTGGTTTTGCTACCCAATTAACCTCGCGGGCACCCCTTGCTCTTGCATCTTTCATCTACCGTGAATGTGCTTCCTTCTGTAATTCCTTTGCCTCTCTTCCACTCCCTGCACCAGCTAATTAATCACATTTTTTTTAAAAAAAAAAAGAGATATAAGCCATTGCTTGATTTGTGAGAGCCTTGATGCTACGCTTAATTTAGCTGGCCTCAAAACCACCATGTTTCTTGTTATGCAGAGTGAGAATAAGAGGCGAGGAAGAGAGTGAGTGGCTCTTTGAGCTGCCCGATGTCTGAAAAGAAGGGCGTCCTTAGTTCAGGGATGGGCTCAGGCTGTCGGCTGCAGATAGAACGTGGTGGGAAATTATAAAAGGGCTCCTTAAAAGCAAAACGAAAAGCCTAAAATAATTAATCTGCTTCCTGGGGTTCTGTTTTGAAGGACGTCCGAACAGCACTTTATATGAAAGGAGAAACTCCTGCGGTTTTTAATCCCGTATACAGAAATATAAATAGTTCCTTTCTTTGTTTGCACAGCACCATCAGTATACAGAATTTGATAAGCAACCTCCCCAGAACTTCTGCTTTATGTAAAAATCATTGTTGTTACTGAGGTGCTCCTGTCATTTATGGGGGGATACAATTGTCATTGGTCCTTCTATTTACAATGTTTGGGGGAGCGTGCCTATCATTACGTAGCCAAAACAGCACCAGCCACACACAGCAGGACAGTGGCAGCAGGTTTACCTGGAGGGGGGTCTCGTGCTTTGCAGAAGGACACAATAATCTTTAGAAAAAGAGGGTGGGGAAGAGGCAGAAACTGCTGAATGAGGACTGAGCATGCTCAGTGGCCACAGAAGACCTGAAAACATGAGGGGGAATGGAATGGAGCACCTGAAAGGGGACATGGCTGGCTGACTGGCAGGAACCCAGAACAAGCACACTCCATACCCCAACATTTTGTTGCAGGCCCCGCTATCTATTGATTTATTTGTACTTTAGGTGATTTATACATTGCCATTTGCGCAAGCGACAGGGTGCTTTACAATAAGACACGTAAATGAAAAACAAGGAAACCACCAAACCCATAAAATAGTGCCGTCCTTTAAAAGAGGGCAACCTTTTCCCAGACCAGCGGGTGTGGCTTGGGGAGGGGGTGTGGCTGAGAAGGTGTGGCCTCAGGAGAGTTTCCTGGGAAGAGGGATGGATGGCTAAACCACCCCGGGAATTGTAGTTCTGGGGAGGAAATACGAGGGCAGGATTCTCCAAACAATTTTCAGCACCCTGAACAAACTACAGTTCCCAGGATTCTTGGTGGGGGGAGCCAGGGTTGTTTAAAGTACTATTGTAGTGCTTAAAACGAAATGTGCAGACAGGGCCTGGGGTAGGATGTTAGCCACATGAGAGGAGCCACACACAAATACGCATTTCAGGGGTTGGACTAGATGAGCCTTTGGGTCCCTTCCAGCTCGACAGTTCTGTGAAATAAACCTCACCTGATTGCTTAATGCTGCCTTTGCACCCCTTCCCTTTGCTGTCAAGGTTATTATCCTGGAAGATTACGCCGACCCGTACGATGCCAAGCGCACCAAGGGGCAGCGAGACGCCGAGAGGCTAGGAGAAAATGACGGCTATATGGAGCCATACGATGCCCAGCAGATGATCACCGGTAAGTGTCCGGGCGTGTCTGCCGGGAGGGGAGGCATTAGGCGGCCACGCCAGCCTCAAAATCCCGAGACAAGGGGAGAGTTGGCATCACCTGCCCATGTCCCTTTCTGGAGTCCGTCTGTCCGTCCATGCCCTCTTGGCGACATCGAATGGAGCGTGAGACAGCTTAGCAGTTTGGAAAACTGGAGCCGCCGTTAATTGTTCCAAAGAAAGGTCATCTTTTTAACGTTTCCTTTCTCGACACCCCGAGGGGCGGAGGCAAAGAAACCTGGCAGGCCTTGGTTTGCCAGCCCAGTTGTTTAAATGCCAATGCCAACGCCGCCACATCCCTCATGACTGACTGATCAGTCAAATGCAAGGTTTTTTGAGGTGTCTTGCTGGAGGAAAATTCTTGCCACAACATTTGCTGAGGAATGCTTGCTAGTTTGTCATGAGAACCTTGGTTGTTGTCAAGAATTCTGAGACAATTTCTTTAGGGTTCATAAAGGTTCTTGGTCAGGACCAAGTTGGCCTTCATTGTTTCCTTGTGAGGACAGAGGCTGCACCCTAGAACAAAGGTGGGGCACCTATGGCCCTCTGGAGGCGGCTGGGACCCTGGCACCCATCATCCCTGGCCATCAGTTTTCCTACCAATGATCTAAAGATCTCCCCCACATCCCATAAGACCACTGAGTCAGAATTAACCACTGTACCACTTCCTGCTTCCCGACTTCCCATCATTTGAGTTCCTGGTCAGTTACCAGATCTTGTGGCAGGGAGTCCCACAAGCTAAACTCCAGCTGTGCGGAAGAAGTGATTCCATCTACAATGGCTGGGCTAGTGGTTTAGCCATGATTTAAATACAGGGGTGTACAGTGCCAGTTGTATGTATAAGCTAAACAAGCTATAGCTTAGGGCCCCACTCTCTTGGGGGCCCCCAAAAAAATTTAAAGGAAAAAAAACTGGATGTACATTTCCAAAATATAAGATAAAAAACAAATAAGATAAAACCTACATACAGCAACAGTGTTTTGTGTTGTGTAGGCTCCTATGATGTAAGGAATGGGCCCCGCCTGCTAGCCTGCTCCCTAAAATATCACTGGTTTGCCCATTTCTATATCAATTACTTTGATAAAATACATATTTTGTTATGTGCAAATGGCTTTAGATACCTATTAGGTCCATAAATTACCATATAGCATATATTCGACACAAAAAAACAGCGACAATTTGTTGTTGACGAAGGACAGCTGGACTTATAAAGGGCCCCATTACCTTCAGTAGCTTAGGGCCTCTTCAAACCTAAATCCGGTCCTGGGGGTGTGTATAGAAGCTAGTCTACTGTACAAAATTTAAGCCTCTTGCTCCGCCCACTTTTGCCCCAGGCCCCACCCACCACTGCCGTGCGGCCCCTCCAGGAGGTCACCCAGAAGGGAATGTGGCCCTAGGTCTGAAAAATCTCCCCCACTCCCAGATTATAGCACCTAGAAGCAGCCAATGTGGGCATGGTTTCGTGTTATTAAATTCAGATTTCAAGCGGCCTGAATCCCCACCGATCCCCTACTTCCCACATTGTCAGTGTGAGGTTGGGACCCCTTGACCCACCCTGCTGGGGGTCACTCGCACCCCAGCTGCTCCTTTTCTCTTCCCACCAAAATTAAAACAAAACAAAACAACTCCCCCACAACCTTATCTCTTCCAGCAGAGAGGCAGGAAAGGAGAGAGCTGGTTTCCTGACCCAGATTTCTTTTTCCCGTTAGACCCCCCTCCCCTGCCCCTCAGCCGCCACCAGATTTGTGCCCTGTCTCCCAGCTGTGCCAAAAATTTGCTTTCTCAAATTAAAAGCAGCATGCTTGTTTTACAGTAGCTAACTTTTATCTCAGGTCATCTTTTTTTGCAAGGTTGCTTTGCAAGGGCAGAGAGAGTGATGGAATATTATGGTGCTTTTTGAGCACATCTGCAGCGTGCGTTTAAAGATCATGGCTTCCTCCCCAGTGAATACTGGGACCTTTGTCCCTACGAACTCTGGGAATTGTAGCTCAGTTGAGGGGAAGAGGGGGTCGCCTAACCAAGAACTACAATTCCCAAAGGAAGAAGGATTGCTTGTTAAAGCAGACCCTCCAATTGTCCCTATTTTCCAGGGACAGTCCCAGGTTTATAGAAGCCATCTCAGTTTCCGATTTGATCCCAGAATATCCCGCTTTCCTTTAGGACGTCCCTATTTTCATCAGAGAAATGTTGGAGGGGACGTGTCTATTCTCACTGGTGAAATGTTGGAGAAAATCCTGAGAAAAGGCATTTACTTCTCTCAGAGTGACCCTCCAAGTGCCCCTATTTTCCAGGGACAGTCCTGGATTTACAGAAGCCGTCCCAGTTTCAGATTTGATCCCGGAATGTCCTACTTTTCCTTAGGACATCCCTATTTTCATCAAAGAAAGGCTTGAGGGTATGGAGTTATGCAACCCCCCGAGCCAAGGAGATAAGTAACTATACAACCTTTAGAAGAAAACTGAAGGCAGCCCTGTATGGGGAAATTTATAAAGGTTTTATTATGTTTTTATATACGTTGGAAGCCGCCCCGAGTGACTGGGGCAACCCAGTCAGATGGACGGGGTATAAATAATAAAATTATTACTATTATTATTATTATTATTATTATAGAATAGGACATCCCTATTTTCATCAGAGAAATGTTGGAGAGTATGTTAAAAGCACGCTGAGAATGGCAGCTCTGGGACTGGAAGTTTATAAAGGTTTTATTATGTTTTTATATACGTTGGAAGCCATCCTGAGTAGATGGGGTATAAATAATAAAATAATAATAATAATAATAATAGAATAGGACATCCCTATTTTCATCAGAGAAATGTTGGAGGGTATGTTAAAAGCACGCTGAGAATGGCAGCTCTGTGCAGTGAGCGGGGAGAAGGGTTTCTTAACAACTCTCAGCATCCATCGCAAGCTACATTTTCCCAGGATCCTTTGGGGGAAGCCATGACAATTTAAAGCGGTGCAATTTACAGCTTCAAGTGTGTGATTCGGGGCCTTATTTCTACCTTGCTCGAGTCAGTTAGCACCTGAGGGGCCTCATTCTGCCGCCTGGGGCCCTGGACCTCTGACCCACCCCAGGCCCTGCCCTGACGGACCCCTGCCTTTTTGTAAAAACAAACAGGCCTCAAACGTGGCCGGTTGCCTAGCAACCAGCAGGATGCCTGCCCTGGGCTCTCAGGCCCGTGGCGTTCCCACCCGGAGCTGACACAGAATAACAGGAAATGGTAGCGCCGGAAGCCGGAGGCGATGTGGGGCATTGTTGGTGGAGGTGGCGTCCGTGCGCAGGATATGGGCGCTTTTACCTCAGACGCTGGTTTCGAGTGCGAGGGTTTCCCAGATCCTACATTCGCTTCTCCTGGTTTTGACCCACCGCAGGGTAGGAGACAGTCCAATCCTTCCTGTCAAGAACAGAGGAAGGCTGATTTGCACCGAGTCTGAAACTTGGGTCCACCTTGCTCAGTGTTGCATGCACAGACTGGCAGCATCTGTCCAGGATTTCGGGCAGGGAGTCTGTCTCTATCTCTCTCTCCCAGCCCTCCCTGGGGATGCTCCCGGGATTTGAACCCAGGACCGTGCAATGCAGGTGCTCTCCCACTGGACGATGGCTTTTTCCCTGGAAATAAAGGGAGTTTCTAGTCCCCATGGCTTCACATAAAGGGTTGATTTTAACTTCATAGCCAGACACTGGAGAGACCTGTCAGCATGGATCAATGGTACCAAATAGTAAGGGAAACAGCCTCATTAGAAAAACTAACCAATAAACTTTAAACTGACACAGGGACAAATGGAAGAAGACGCCTATGGCTCCCCTTTATCACATACGCAGCCCAACAAGACGATGACAGGAACCCACCAACAGCATCCAATATGGCTAACCTGATTCAAAAATAATAATAATAAATTTTTATTTATACCCCGCCCTTCGCGTTCAGAAAACCGGGCTCCATTCACACACGAAAACAAAGTTCACCACAGCCGGTCACAAACAAACAACCACATCCTAGGCCAACCCCAACCTCTCTCGCCCCCAAAGGATCACAAGCGAATAGCAAAGAGAACCCGCACAAGCGATGCTGACACAAAACCCCACACATACATTAAATAAAATAGAAACATCGCTACCCGACCCCAACCCACTCACCATTCCCCCCTCCACCTCTTTCCCCCTTTTCTTCCTAATGCAACACTAATGCAGGGGTCGGCAACTTGCGGCCCATGGACCACAAGCAGCCCTCGGGGGTCGTTTAAACGGCCCACGAGTCACCCCCAAACTGAGCCGTCCGCTCAGTGAGTCCCCGCGCGCTGCACTAAAGCGGCGCAGCGCGGAGCGGGGACTCGCTTCCGCGGCGCCGGAAATCGCATCTGCGCAGACCCAGGCGCCGAAAATTGCGTCTGTGCATGCGCAGGCGTGATTCGGCGCACAGAACGATCTCAGCAGGAGTGAACCAGCCCAGGCAAGGTAAACCTTGCAGAGCCCTGCACTAATGTCTCAACGAATGAAACTGATCTGTAGGAAATGTAACTTGGAAAAAAGAGATATTGCACATACTTTTGTAAACCAGGAAATCTTTAATAAAAAATACATTTAAAAAACCCATAAAGGGTTGATTTAAATAGGAACGTGGGAAGCTTGTCTCACTTTTAATCTCAGGCTGGTGGGTTCAAGCCCCACGCTGGGCAAAAGATTCCTGCATTGCAGGGGGTTGGACTAGATGACCCTCGGGGTCCCTTCCTAGATTCTGTAAATCTGCCTCATACAGAGTCAGACTCTTAACTTTGCCTCACCCATGTTTTGAATTCTGAGGAGAAAACCAGATGAATCGGAAGCAAGGAATTCAAAAATCTTTACTAGAATACTGTACTAGAGTACATAAGCGGACAGGTCACAAAACGGAAGCAATGTTTGTTCTAGGAAAAATCAGAATCGAGTGGAAAGTATCATGGAATGAGAACCCACGAGGCATTGTTCTAGCTGTTCCCTGCGACACAACCCATTTCATGTTGAGGAATTAGGCATAAGAGAAACCTAACAGGGTTGCTAGCTTGTTCACCATGCAGTCCTGGAACTAAGTGTATCTCTGCTATAAAATTTATTAAAAACAAAAAAAACCTTTTGTCTACTTTGACTGACAGCAAAGGACCCATTAGACTGAATGGGGTACATACACACAGAGAAATTGCTCTTTTTCACTCACTCGCACTCACACATATGCATAATAAAGGCAAAGGACCCCTGGATGATTACGGTAAGTTCAGTCAAAGGTGACTTTGGGGTTGTGGCACTCATCTCGCTTTCAGGCCGAGGAAACCGGTGTTTGTCCACAGACAGCTTTCTGGGTCATGTGGCCAGCATGACTAAACCGCTTCTTGCGCAACGGGACACCGTGATGGAAACCAGAGCGCACGGAAACGCCGTTTACCTTCCCGCCACAGCGGTACCTATTTATCTACTTGCACTGGTGTGCTTTCGAACTGCTAGGCTGGCAGGAGCTGGGACAGAGCAACAGGAGCTCACCCCTGTCGCGGGGATTTGAACCACCAGCCTTCTGATCTCTATGCTAAGCATAGAGTGTGCGTGCACACACACACACACACACACACACACACAAATGTGGTACCCAGAGAAAAATCAACGGGTACCTTTTACACAAACGTTGACGGGTGCAGAGAAACCCTGACCTTTCCACCCCGTTTTCCTCCCAGAAATCCGCAGGCGGGGTTCAAAAGACCCTCTCGTCAAAGCCATCTTGCTGTTGGATGAGCCGGTGGAGGCCAAAGGAGACCCCCCTGCTGCTGCTGCTGCTGCTACTGCTACAACTACAACTACAACTATTAAGCGCCAAGGGGCCAAACCGCCACAGCTCTATGACACCCCCTACGAACCGGCGGAAGCTGGGCCCAAGCCAGAGGCCCGACTCCCGGAGAATGACGAGCGGCCGCCAGCTGAGTACGAACAGCCCTGGGAGTGGAAGAAAGATCAAATTGTGAAAGCTCTCTCAGGTAAGAGACAGTATGCGCATGTGGAGATTAGGGTTGGGAGTGGGGTGCGTTGTCTCAGGTTTATTTGCCTGGTCACCTATGGTGAGCTCAGAAATCCAGGCGACCAGGCAGAGAAGTTTAACCAGAAGCTGTCCTTCTTCCGTTCTGTTTAAGACCCAAATAACGCACGTAAGGGGACATGGGTGGCGCTTTTGGTTAAACCACAGAGCCTAGGACTTGCTGATCAGAAGGTTGGCGGTTTGAATCCCTGCTACGGGGTGAGCTCCTGTTGCTCGTTCCCTGCTCCTGCCAACCTAGCAGTTTGAAAGCACTTCAAAGTGCAAGTAGATAAATAGGTACCGCTCCGGCAGGAAGGTAAACGGCGTTTCTGTGTGCTGCTCTGGTTCACCAGAAGCGGCTTAGTCATGCTGGCCACATGACCCGGAAGCTGTACACCGGCTCCCACGACCAATAAAGCAAGATGAGCGCCGCAACCCCAGAGTCGGCCACGACTGGACCTAATGGTCAGGGGTCCCTTTACCTTTACCTAACTCATGTAAATCTATGTGTAGATGAATAAATTCCATAAACCTACGCCAGAGGGCTGACTTTGGCACCCACCCATCAGTCGCCGGCCATAATTATGACAGCAGATGATCCACAGATTGACTACAGATGCAATTAATAATAACTTGCAAGTTGCTGGTAGCGCTGGACTCCCATTGGTGGATGTGTGGCGCATCCGTGAAGACTCTTCCCCTTTCCTTCCAGTGCAGTTTGACGGGCCAGAGAGACCCCCAGCATCCAAGGATGAGGCTCCAGCACAGTCGCGGCAACAGCAGCATCGCCGCCAGCGAAGCTGGCCCTCCAAGATGGTGAAGCCCATGGCCGTGGCAGAGCCAGACCCGGATGGGGATCGTGTGGATCCTTCTCTTGCGTTAGAGAAACAGCCGTAAGTATTCAGCAGCCAAAGATAGCCTCAGCACCATAGCTGTGTATATTCTATACCTCTGCAGGCCTCTTAGAATCCGATAGTCTGGGATGTAGTTCAACATCCCCCAGCATTCATTTGTTTTTTTTTTTAAAAGATGGCAAGTTGCTAGCCCTCATTAAGTGGCACAAAATTCCTTGCGAATTTCACCAAGCCTGTCTGTCTGTGGATATTTTTCCTTGCCTTCCCTTCCACCTTCCCAGCAAATGCGTTCCAAGTTCTTCCCAGCTTAGGAAACAGAATACATTCAGGAATAATGCACTGAACAGGCATGCTTTATTTAAAAAGTTCTGCTTTTATTGGGCAGAATACACATGGTGTGGTCTTATCCTCCCTCCCCTGCTTCTACCAGCCTTTTGAAACGTTGAGATTTGGGGGGGGTCTCCTATGCGTGGCGTACACAGCCCCTCCTTGGAATGCATCACCTAAATTCAGAGCCCCGAAAATATCCCTTGTTTATTTGAAAAAGCAAAAACAAAAGTAAGTTTCTGTCCCTCAGGGTAGAACCAGGAGGTACACTGACAGAGTTCGCTGGTGGTTATGGAGCATGTATAAGATCTGGAGCAAAGCTTGCCCATTTATCATAGGATCTGAACAGCTCAGTTCGTAAGCAGCTGAGTGCTATGCTGTTCCTCACTGTGGACTAGAAGCTTGCTCTGATCTCATGGGGCCATTTGTATTCCAGACTGGAAGCAGTATTCCATTTCCTTGCCATGTGCTGAAGGTTCTCCACCCCTGATTTAGGCAGAATCCATCTGGAATGCTGCAAGTTGCAAGATTCCTGTCTTGACCAGAGAGCTGGACTAGATGACTAGGGTCCTTTACCAACTCTTAAGAATCTCTAGTTAATCCGTGTGAGCTCCTACCTGCAGTTTGAAAAGGATGCAACTCAATGGGGTGAGGGAAGACACACAGTCAGTGCTTTAACTCCACTGTTTTGGGGGTATTATTATTTTTAAAACCCAGCCTGCAATAAAAGCCACCTTAGTGTTTTATAAACTGATAAACCCCAGGCAGAGAGCAAAATGAATTGGGGAGGGTTTTGTTCTTCCTTCGTTCTCCAAGCACGGAGACGCAGGTCCATCTCATGAATAGGCTGATTGGCAGGCAGCTTTCAAGGACAGAGAAGGGGAAAGCTTTTCATGAGAAAGCATAATGAACCTGCGAAGTTAATTGCCATGGGATGTTGCTATGGCGACTTAGGATAAGTAGCACTTTAAAAAGAGCAAGGTTGGGGGGGGGCAGTTTTAGAAAAATCCATGATAGATAGGGTTATCGACGGCTTTCCACTGAAAGCGAAGCCTCCATGTTTAAAAGCAGTATACCTGGGGCACCCTGGAACGCAGTCCCAACATTGCCTGATCACTTATGGCAAGTTAAGAAATTTGTCCAGGCGACTAGACAGAGAAGTTTAATAAGAAGCAGGTTCCTCCTCCCCTTTCCTTCTTGTTTATTTTAAGACCCAAAAAACTAATGTAAATATATGTGTGGATCAGGCATCCCCAAACTCGGCCCTCCAGCTGTTTTGGGACTACAATTCCCATCATTCCTGACCACTGGTCCTGTTAGCTAGGGATGATGGGAATTGTAGTCCCAAAACAGCTGGAGGGCCAAGTTTGGGGGTGCCTGGTGTGGATGAATAACTTCCATAAACTTATGGACATTCCGGCAACAGGCATTATTCTGGTGAGCACTGTCTGTTTTCAAGCGCCTGAATGGGGAGCCCGGTGCCCGCCGGGTGCTCTTGAACTAGAACTCCCATCATCCCTGACCGTTGGGCCATGCTGGCTGGGGCTGATGGGAGATGAGAATGCAAAAGAGCATCAGGCAGGCCAGCAGCCCACCTGGGCAAGCAACAGGGCTTGAGCCAGCGGCGAGGAGATCCTCTATGGAGCCTGTAGAGGAGATTCCCTTTGGGCTCTGGGAAGGGTCTCCTTGTGAGTAGGAGGTGCAGCTTGGCTTTGCTCAGGCTGCTGAGAGGCGCTGGGGTGAGATATCTCAATTTTCAGAAGTAGAGGGCCCATGGCTTGGCTTTTGGAAACAGGGTCTGTAGTACTTCGCTAATAGGAACCACTGCTCTGTGGTAAGAAAAGCCCTGCTGGATCAGGCCAGAGGCCTTTCTAGTCCAGCATTCTGATCTGTCATGAGCAGATCATAGATTCATAGAATTGGAAGGGACCACGAGAAACACCTGGTACAGCTTGGCTACCGAACAAATCGGCTCCCGAACGTCGCAAACCCAGACGTAAGTGTTCTGGTTTGCAAACGCTTTTTGGAAGCCAATGTCAGCATTGTTTTGGGGGGAGCAATCAGCCAATCAGAAGCCATGCCTCGGTTTGCGAACATTTTGGAAGTCGAATGGACTTCCGGAACAGATTACGTTTGAGAACCAAGGTACCACTGTACCATTTTCAGTCTCTCCGACAGTCGGCACGTCCAGAACGGATTGAGTTTGGGAACCAAGCTCCTGCAATACAGGAATCTTTCACCCAGTGTGAGACTCGAACCCACAGCCCTGCGGTTCGGAATCGCCTGCTCTACCAACTGAGCTGACAATAGCCCCCCAGGTGCCCACGAGCTCTCGGTCTCTCCCCTCCTGAGGTTTCCATCAACTTGTATTCAGAAGCACCGCTGAAGCTGACCCTTCTCCTTTCCCCGCAGCTGGTTTCACGGCGCCATCACTCGAACCGAGGCGGAGAGCCGGCTGCAGCCGTGCCGGGAAGCCGGCTACCTGGTCCGCACCAGCGAGACAGCGACCAGCAAGTACTCCATCGCCCTCAAGTGAGTGCCTGTTCTCCGAGGCAGGAGGGCTGGATGGGGGCAAAGCAGACTCTGATCTGAAGTCAACTCACTCCCAGATCTCCCTTGCCAAGCCACACCATGGGGTCAGTGTTGTCGGCCCAGGCCAGTAGCATTCCTCTCTGCCTCCTTGGGGGATGCCAGGAATCGAACCTGGGACCTTCTGCGTGCAAGGCAGATGCTCTACCACTGAGCTATAGCCCTTCCCTTGAATATAATAAGGTTCTAGTCCTCATGCTTCTGAACAAAGGGTTAGTTTAAAGAGGGACTTAGGAACCGGCCTCATCCCTTTGGTCTATCTGGCTCAGTGTTGTCTACACTGACTGGCAGCAGCTCTGCAGGGTTTCAGATTGGAGGGGCATTCCCAGTCCTAGCTGGAGACCCCGGAGATCTAACCTGTGACCTTCTGCAGGCAAGGCAGGCGTCCCAAACCACTGATCAATGGCCGCCTCTACTTTAGTTAACTCACCACCACCTGTCCAAATAGCCACAGCCGCGCTCTGCCTTGCATTCTGCAAGAAAATTGAGAGAGGGGAACCTGAAATGGGAGCGGGGGCTGCAGGACCAAGGAGGAAAAGGAGATCCATTCAACCATCCCTGCCTTGTTCTCTACCCTGCCCACCCAGATTCCCGGAATCCTTTCGCCTTTCTGACCTTGCTTGTGTAGCTCTGCTGCCTCCCTTTCCAGCACTGGCTCCTCAGCGGAGGATCGCTGGCCGGGTGCGGCCCACACTTCCTTCCTCAGGATGCTGAGCCCCTGGATTGGAAACAATCGGAGCTGGGAAGGGAAGGGGATTTGAAAAGAGAGGGCGAGGAGTTGTGGCAGGGGAGGGCTAAGGCAGCGAGAAGCAGGCCAGGGACCCAGAAGGGACCCCCTGCTACCGGGTCTCCTGGGGGTCCTGAGCCCCTTTGCATTTCCTGACTCAGTTCCGTAAAAGGAAAAGGCCTCTTTTCCTTTTTTTTTCTACTTGGCTGAATGCTGAGATGGGACCCTGTTATCCTGCTGGACCCTAACTCCCATCATCCCTGACCTTTGGCCACGTTGGCTGGGAGCTGATGGGAGCTGGAGTCCAAGAAAGTTGATGAACTACAACTCCCTTCATCCCAGTGATTCTGTGTTCTGGATCCAGGCCTCACCTGCAGCTACGTTTTTATTGGCTTGGTTTGTTCCTTCAAAAGAAAAGTGGTCCATATTGGCACACATAAGAATTTATTTTTATTTTTTAAAAACCCTTTTATTGTAAGAAGTCAATAATATTCCCAAACGACCTACACAACCATCCACATGAGACAGGATGATGTCAAATCCCAGGTATAGGAGAGGAATACACACACACACACACACACACACACACACACACACACCATATTTATTCGAATGTAATGTGTACCTTTTTTGGCCAAATTACATTGCGAATATTCAGGTGCGCATTAGATTCGATTGCAAGCTTGAAAAGCACCGCGGACGTAGCAAATACTTTTTTTGGGTTTCAAGGTTTTAAAAACTGAGGTGCGCATTAGATTCGTTGACACATTAGATTTGCGTAAATACAGTATATATATCCCGCCTTTTCCATTGACGGGACTCAGCTTACATATACAGTGGTACCTCGGGTTACATACGCTTCAGGTTACATACGCTTCAGGTTACAGACTCCGCTAACCCAGAAATAGTGCTTCAGGTTAAGAACTTTGCTTCAGGATGAGAACAGAAATCGTGCTCCGGCAGCGCAGCAGCAGCAGGAGGCCCCATTAGCTAAAGTGGTGCTTCAGGTTAAGAACAGTTTCAGGTTAAGAACGGACCTCTGGAACGAATTAAGTACTTAACCCGAGGTACCACTGTACAGTCGTACCTTGGTTCTCGAATGCCTTGGTACTCATACGTTTTGGCTCCCAAACGCCAAAAATCCCGGAAGTAAGTGTTCCGGTTTACGAATGTTTTTTGGAAGCCAAACGTCTGACGTGGCTTCTGCTTGAGTGCAGGAAGCTCCTGCAGCCAATCAGAAGCCGTGCCTTGGTTTTTGAACGTTTCAGAAGTCAAACAGACTTCCGGAACAGATTACGCTTGAGAACCAAGGTACGACTCTCATTTTCAGTCTCTCCGACAGTCAGCACGTTTCCTTTTAAAGCACGAATAATGTGAATAAATCAAGTGGGCTGGGAGTTTCAACTTGGAGGCGGACTAAGCCACAGGTGTCTTTGCACCCAGCAGGAAGGATTGAGAGGGGAGCGGGGGGGGGGGGGGAATGCAAGCATCCTGTTCACACACACCCAATTTTGTCCCCCTCCACGTCCAGGACCAGCCAAGGATGCGTCCACATCATCGTGGCCCAGACCAAGGATCACAAGTACACGCTCGACCAGTCCGGTGGCCTCTTTGACAGCGTCCCCGAGGTGGTGTGCTATTACTCCAGCGAGAAGCTGCCTTTCAAAGTGGCTGAGCATATGATGCTGCGCTACCCGGTCGCTACACCAAGCAAGACCCACTAGCGCCCTCCTCTGCCCCCCCATCTCCCTGTACACACACCTGGAATCAGAACTGGGATCTGACTGGAGAAACGCTGGACTGGGGAAGGTATACCTTTACGCTCGTGAAACAGCCACGGATCAGCAGCGGATCTTCCCCACATTCAACTCCTTTCTGCTCATGGACTCCCTCCTCCCCCCCCCACTTCCCTCCCCCCAAGATCTCTGGGATCAGGACCCTCTGTTTCTCGTGAATCGGCCCTCCTTTCCTTCTGCACTGTAATTTATGTATAAATAAATTCATTCTGCCACAGGGCTGGGGGAAACAGTGGTCTTCCTGATGTGGTTGGACTCCAACTCCCAGCCAGTGTGGCTGATAGGGCCTGGAGAAACCATAGAGTTGGAAGGGATCCTGAGGATCACTTGGTTCAGCTTCCTGCGATGCAGGATTACGCAGCTGTCCCGTACGGGAATCGAACCCACAACCTTGGCGTGGATGATAACATCCCCATGCTCTTAACCAGCCGAGCTATCCAGGAGGATGGGAGTTGTAGTCCAATAGTTCCCCACTGGTTTCCCACCCCTAATCTAGTGTGACCGATCTGCTGTGCAGATGAAAGAGTGTGGCGGCGGCAGTGCTGACCCCTGGGGGCCCCCATTAAGTTCTATTGGATGTTATAAGGTTCGGATCTGAGATTCTGTGGAGAGGGGACAGAATCTTCTCGTCTCAGATTCTGTGGTCGACAGGGGCAGGAGGGAGCTTAGGACCCCATATTATCCTCAATGATCCTCTTTTGCTTTCTCCCATATGAATGAATAGCTAGTGTTCATTTCCACGGAGGGAAGACACACCTGCAGCCATATGGGAGGAATTTAGCGCATCATAATCTAGACCGGTGGGACGCGGGTGGTGCTGTGGGTTAAACCACAGAGCCTAGGGCTTGCCGATCAGAAGGTTGGCGGTTCGAATCCCCAAGATGGGGTGAGCTCCCATTTCTCGGTCCCTGCTCCTGCCAACCTAGCAGTTCAAAAGCACACCAGTGCAAGTAGATAAATAGGTACCGCTCTGGCGTTTCCATGTGCTGCTCTGGCTCGCCAGAAGTGGCTTAGTCATGCTGGCCACATGACCCGGAAGCTGTATACCGGCTCCCTTGGCCTATAGAGCGAGATGAGCGCCGCAACCCCAGAGTCGGCCACGACTGGACCTAATGGTCAGGGGTCCCTTTACCTTTACCTTTAATCTAGACCGGTGCCATCCTCCAAGAAGGCGATGCTGTGGTAAGATGGGCAACTGGCCTGATCCTGCTTTTAAGTTCTTAGGGCCTGGGGTCATGTGCCCCTTCCTCAGTGTTTTATGGATCTGATTACCAAATATCAACACAGCCCATAGGGTTGTTGTGAGGGGGAAACAGGGAGGGCAAAACACTTGTATGTGGCCACCTTGAGCTCCTTGAAGGAAAAGAAAAGATGGGCTAGAAATCTAATAAACAAACAAGCTAATACTAGTTTTGTCCCCATCTTCCTCCTCCCTGGTGAGTTCTGAGGGCAGACCGAAGCTCATGGGGCAGGGTCTGTTTTTTTGCCCTCGCGAGTGAAACCTCTGGCTGGTTTGTTGGCCGTGCTTGTGGCTTTCAAGAGGGCAGATCTGTTACTCGCAACCCCCCACTCCACAAGGGTGACGACCGTCTGGAAATCTCGTCTGGGGACACTTTCGCCTTGACCGCAGTGTCTGGTTCCACTTCCTAAGATGGGCCTATGCCAGTAAATAGGTGCCACACTTGACATCTCCCAGGGGATGAGAAGGGAATCCCCTCCTAACCATCAGCTCAGATCCTTTCCTTTGCAGACCTCCCTGAGCACCAATTGCTGGAAAGGCAGGGTACGGATTTAACAAAGTGAGGAGGCACTGCCAAGCTAAGCTTTCCAGGGACTGCCACCAGAATGTGCTTTTCCCACTTAAACCTGGAACCAATTCAACTACACATCATTGGGGTGGCACTGTGGTCTAAACCACTGAGCCTCTTGGGCTTGCCGATCAGAAGGTCGGCGGTTCGAATCTCCGCGACGGGGTGAGTTCCCACTGCGCTGTCCCTGCTCCTGCCAACCTAGCAGTTCGAAAGCACACCAGTGCAAGCAGATAAATAGGTACCTCTCCGGCAGGAAGGTAAATGGCATTTCCATGCACTCTGGTTTCCATCATGGTGTTCCGCTGTGCCAGAAACTGTTTAGTCATGCTGGCCACATGACCCGGAAAGCTGTCTGTGGACAAACACCGGCTTCCTCGGCCTGAAAGCGAGATGAGCGTCACAACCCCATAGTCGCCTTTGACTGGACGTAACCGTCCAGGGGTCCTTTACCTTTACCTTTTACATCAGCAGTGGTTGGCAGCTGTTGGACACTGGTAGGGTGGAAGGCAGGGGACTGGCACTAGGGGGTGCCAGAGGCAACGGGAGGCAGAGTAGACCGATTAACTGTATTCCTCGCTGAGTTCTACAAGGGCAACACCAAGAGGAAGGAAGAGGAATCTGACAGTCAAAACCACAAACCCCTGGCCTAGTTGTTGTTAATAAGAAGCCACCCGCTGCTCCTATTTGTTGTTGTTGTTGTTTAGTCGTTTAGTTGTGTCCAACTCTTCATGACCCCCTGGACCAGAGCACGCCAGGCACTCCTGTCTTCCACTGCCTCCCGCAGTTTGGTCAAACTCATGCTGGTAGCTTCGAGAACACTGTCCCACCATCTCGTCCTCTGTCGTCCCCTTCTCCTTGTGCCCTCCATCTTTCCCAGCATCAGGGTCTTTTCCAGGGAGTCTTCTCTTCTCATGAGGTGGCCAAAGTACTGGAGCCTCAGCTTCAGGACCTGTCCTTCCAGTGAGCACTCAGGGCTGATTTCCTTCAGAATGGATAGGTTTGATCTTCTTGCAGTCCATGGGACTCTCAAGAGTCTCCTCCAGAACCAGAATTCAAAAACTGCTCCTATACACACACTCAAAGCTATGCTGTCATGATGGTTAAGTTAAGGTTACCAGACGTCCCCGTTTCCCAGGGACAGTCCCCGGATTTTCAAATCACTCCCCATTCAAAATCCATTGACGTTGAAAAGTGTCCCCGGATTCATTGAAAAAAATCTGGTAACCTTATGTTAAGTAGAATCTGCATGCACAGCGGCATCAGACCGCTGAGTAACATTCGGGGGAAGCAACAGGCATGAGAGGGCTGCGCCTCTTTGGCCCTGTAGGCTTCAGTCGCTGTGGGAAATGGGATTCTGGGACTAGATGGCCCTTTGGTTAGGCCCACCTCAGCTTCCCTTACGTTAATAGCTATGATAGCAATGGAACCTGCATCTGCAGGAGCAGTCTACCTCTGGTCTGATCCAGCAAGGCTCCTCTGATGTTCACACACCTACCTATTTTATATTTTGCTCATCATCAATCTTTATTACGGTCCAGAGACCCAACAAATGGTTACAAAGCAATGCACAATTCAGATAGCCTACCTCCAGGTTAAACAAGCATTTTGTTCTGACTTAAAGATAGGGATCGTTGGTTCTTGCAACCACGATAAAAACTTCACCACTGTTAATGTTCTAGCATTTGTCCGGTCTTCCAATAGGAACCTGACATAGTGAGCCTCTGATTTTCATGGGAAAGGTACCAGCAAGGGTAATATCAGTTCAGCCCTGGCTCGCTTGCATTTCGCACAGTGCAGCAAAATATGTTTTATAGAATGGATGTCTTGAGCACACAAGCAAAGTCTGTCCTTATTTTGCTTATATATATATATATATATATGTTGATCAAAAACACATAATTCAAGAACATATCAGAAATAGCAAAAAAGATACAGTTAAATTAAAATTAAACGTACCAAAATAAGGTGCACATTTGGGTTGCTGCATTCACATCAGTATTTGTCATTGAGAATAGCTTTAATTACAGGTAGGTAGCCGAGTTGGTCTGCCGTAGTCGAAACAAAATTTAAAAATTCCTTCCAGTAGCACCTTAAAGACCAACTAAGTTTGTTATTGGTAGCTTAAGAAGTGTGCATGCACACGAAAGCTCATACCAATAACAAACTTAGTTGGTCTCTAAGGTACTACTGGAAGGAATTTTTTATTTATTTTGAGAATAGCTTGATAATCTTCCAAACTGGAAAACTTCACTCCTAGTGCCTTGAAACTGGGGCAACGCTGCCGCCGCATGGCTCAACTGTGTATTGCAGTTCAGAGGCTGAAATGGGAGCCCCCTCCGCCCATCCCACAATTTGGCTTTTAGAAAAGCCTTCGTAGAAGCCTTCCCCCAGCCAGTCTTCATTGCCGAGCAGGAGTGGAAAGGAGGGACAAGAAGGAGGTGTCGCCAAGTAGAGAGGAACCAGGTCTGCGTCTGACTTGCAGGATAGTCGTTCTCCACCCTGAGTTAATTACAGTTTTCTGAAAATCAAGGATGGGATTCGGCAAGCTACGTTGTGACACATCCCATGGAATTGTTTGTGTGTGTTTCCAGGGATGGAGAAAGACTGGGTCCTCAGTTGCCCTTAAAAAAAAGATAGAATGCTCTTTACTGTGGAGGTTCTGCTCCTAACCATTTTGCCCTGTTGCAGAACAGCTTTATGAGTGTTGTAAACAAAAATTGCCCTTTTCCCTTATGGGGTATCCAAAGCCCATATAGAGTCCTTACATAGGTTCCCTATTGGTAGGAGAGAATAACAGAGGCCAACCTGAGAACATTGAGAAGCAAAGCAGCTAGTAAGCTTGATCTTTATTGATCTGTTGCAATAGGGTGCTCCCCTCACACGCAGGAGAGGAAGAGGGACCCACAAAAATGGTGTGCAAGGCCTTATAAAGACTTTTGAAATTGCCATCCTGTAGATCAAGACCACCCCCAGAAACATCATACCTACATCACAAAAAAGGCAGTCTAAACAGAAATTTAAATGTTGTTTTTCTCCTGTCGTTGCTTATCTCCTGTCTGGCAGGTTACTTGATTGGATTGCCTGGGGAGCCCGGCCATTCTTTTGTAGTGATAAATACTTAGTTCCTGGGCCAGGTCACAGGCTCACACCCTATTCAAACAGAGACATACCCTTAAGACAGGATTTGTGAAGGAAAAGACAATGGGGAGGCTTTTCCACTTTAACTTTGCAGAGAAAACATTTGCTCAGTTTAGGAATCAAAATGGCTCCAGGTTGGCCTTCCTGTGCTGATCTATGTATGTGCTTGGTTGGTACACTTATGAACATTACCATATATCTAAGACCATAAAATTCCTATCACATGAGCACCCCTGCCACGCCGTTTCCACAGCAATTCAGCAACATGGCATGCATTGCTGAGGGTTCAAGAACTGGAGTCCCCAAAGCGTCCTTTGGGTGTTGGCAGAGCTAAGCATGCAGCTGTTTGCGTCTTGGCCCGATTTACAAAGCCTGACATTCCTGTGTAAATTTGTCGGTTCAGTTTGCATGCATTGAGCTGTGGAGAAGCTCGCGGATTCAGCAAGGAGACTATCCATTTCTGGGTAAGGGGATCTCCGGGGGGCTGAGCTAGCCAAGACCTCTCCCTGCTCAGGACTCTGCAGGCAGCCACAGCCTGTCCATTGAGACTGGTAGGGCAGTTGTTGCAAACAAAAATCTGCCCTTTTCCCCCTTACGGGGTATCCCAAGAGCCCATACAGAGCCCTTACGTAGGTTCCCTATCGGTAGGAGAAAATAACAGAGCCAACCAGAGAATATTGAGAAGCAAAGCAGCTAGTAAGCCTGATCTTTATTGATCTGTTGCAACAGGGTCCTCACTCACCACACGCAGGAGGGAGGAGAAACCAAGAACAATGGCGTGCAAGGCCTTATATAGACATTTTAAATTCCCTGCCCTGGAGCTCAAGACCACCCCTCCATACAGCATACCTACATTACAGAAAAGGCGGTCTACAGCGGAAATCTGAGTGACTTGTTTATCTTGTCTGCCAGGTTACCTGTTTGATGGTCACTTGATTGGATTGCCTGGGGAGCCTGGCCAGTCTTTTGTAATGATAAATACTTAGTTCCTGGGCCAGGTCACAGGCTCACACCCTGTTCATATCTTAAATGTGCCCTTAAGACAGGATTTGTGAAGGGAAAAGACAATGGGAAGGTTTCCCACTTTGACCTTGCAGAGAAATAATTGAGGTCAATTTGCTCAGGATATTTTTTCTGTGGGGTTTTCAGACATGTGGTTTATATATTCATGTACGTGTTTGCTTGGTACATTTATGAACATTTATTACATATTTAAGACCTTAAAATTCTTATCACGCAGTCAAGGCTCTCCAAGATTTATAAAAATATTGCGAGCAATTGCTGGAGGTGTGGGGAAAGCAATGGAGACATGTACCACATGTGGTGGACGTGTAGAAAAATAAGAGAATTTTGAGGCCTGATATACGAAGAGCTGGAAAAAAATCTTTGGAATAACATTTTTTTTAAAAACCAGAAGCATTTCTGCTAAGTATTGTTGGTAAAGATATCCCAAAAAACTTAAGAGAAATATTTTTATATGCCACGGCAGCTGCCTGAACACTAGTAGCAAAAAATTGGAAAGGGGAAAATGTTCCGACCTGAATGGAGTGGTAGAATAAGCTACAACAATATGTGGAAATGGCGCAATTGACCAGCTGTTTAAGGGGTAATTCAAGACAAGAATTTTTTTGGGGGGGGGGACGAATATAAGAGATATGTGCAAAAATATGCTAGTGGTTTATCGTCTATAACAGCGCCTGATTGACTTTGGATAAATAAACATATGAGAAATAAGATCAACGGTACAAATTGTTGTAAGAATGTATTAGAGAATATATAAAGAACAGAGTAATAATGGTAGGTACATTCGCTATCAAAATAAAATTACACAATGGGAATTGACAGGAAGTCCAAAGTCCTTAGGATATTTTTTGTTAATAATTTTTGATAAGAATTTTGGTTAACAATCACATAAAAGGTAACATAAATACAGCAGAAGTTCAAGGTTTTTATATACAGGTAAGAAAAGATAAAGTATATGTTTTTCTTTTCTTTTTTTGTGTGTATATGATTGAAACTTCAATTTACTTTATGAGATGTATCATATATTTATGCAATGTATTGTAAGACTATTAATAAAGAGGGGGGAGAAACTGGTAGGGCAGAAGGCAGGGAGCTCAACAGCAGGTGGCGCCAGAGGCAATGGCAAGTGGAGCACAGCTGATGATGGGCTAGTTTTCTTCCCATCCTCTTGATATTGAGGAGGAAGAAGCTGGCAGGCGGGGCTTGGACTGGTTGTAAACAAGAAGGCAGGGAGGCAGGCGGCTGAGGCTAGGGGGGCAGTGCCTCTGTTGCCCCAATGTACCAGTCTCTGGGGTTGCCAGTCAAAACAAACAATACTGCTCTGGATGACCAGTGGCCTGACTCATTCTGAGGCAGCTTCCTGTTTACATAAAAAATGGGGAACCTCAGGCCCTGGGGCCGAGTACGTTAGAGGTCTCTCTGTCTTACTCAAGGGATTCTCCACAGGCCACCCCCCCCACTCCCCAGTTCATACCCTCTATGGCTTCTCTGATTCACTCCTCATGTTTTTTGCCTGCCTGGAGCGTGCCCTTGAATTCTGACCGTGCCTCTTGCTTCTGAAATAAAAAAAATTAAGGTCTTATACAGATCCTGAAGGTGAGGCTCCAATACTTTGGCCACCTCATGAGAAGAGTTAAGTTAAGACTCCCTGGAAAAGACCCTGGTGTTGGGAAAGATGGAGGGCACAAGGAGAAGGGGACGACAGAGGACGAGATGGTGGGACAGTGTTCTCGAAGCTACCAGCATGAGTTTGACCAAACTGCGGAAGGCAGTGGAAGACAGGAGTGCCTGGCGTGCTCTGGTCCAGGGGGTCACGAAGAGCCGGACACGACTAAACGACTAAACAACATATATAATAAATGTTCATAAATGTACCAAGCAAACACATACATAAATATATAAACCACATGTCTGAAGCAGCACAGGAAAACAGCCATGAAGCCATTTTGGCTCGCAAACTGACCAAATGTTTTCTCTGCAAAGTCAAAGGAAAATGGAAAAGCCTCCCCATTGTCTTTTCCTTCACAAATCCTGTCTTAAGGGTATGTCTGTGTATGAATAGGGTGAGCCTGTGACCTGGCTCAGGAACTAAGGATTTATCATTACAAAAGACTGGCCAGGCTCTCCAGGGTATCCAATCAAGTAAGCATTAACAGGAGGTCTCAGACAGGAGATAAAACAATGCACTCAGATTTCTGCTGTAGATGGTCCTTTCTGTGATGTAAGTATGATGTTTCTGGGGGTGGTCTTGGACTCCAGGGCGGGCAATTTAAAATGTCTATATAAGGGCGGGCACACCTGGGTTCTGGGTCCTCCTCCTTTCCTGTGTTTGAGGGGAGCACCTTGTTGCAACAGATCAATAAAGATCAGGCTTACTAGCTGCTTTGCTTCTCAATATTCTCTGGTTGGCCTCTGTTTTCCCCCCCGACCGATGGAGAACCTACAAAGGACTCTATAAGGGCTCTTGCGTCCCCCCTAAGGGAATAAGGGCAGATTTTCGTTTATTACACTTCCTTGGATAGAGGAGGATAGAGAGGGGTGCGTGAGTCGGTTCAGAAATATGCCCGCCGCACGAAGGCCGAATTCCGTTTCTCCTCTTGCCTCTGGCCCTGCCCCCTCTTCGCACGTGGCCTCCGAATGGTTGCTCAGAGGGGATTGCGGCCTCCGCGTATCGCAACTGCCGGGCTTTCGAGAGAGATCTTAGCTTAAAAGAGGAGCTTTTCCACCTCTCCCCTGCTCTTCCAAGTTTGAGGATAGGCAGCTTTCTTTGAGTTAATAATAATAATAATAATAATAATAATAATAATAATAATTTATTTGTACCCCACCCATCTGACTGGGCTTCCCCAGCCACTCTGGGCGGCTTCCAACAAAGATTAAAAATACACATTTTTAATGTCACACATTAAAAACTTCCCTGAACAAGGGTGCCTTCAGATGTCTTCTAAATGTCAGGTACTTGTTTATCTCTTTGACATCTGATGGGAGGCCGTTCCACAGGGCGGGTGCCACTACCGAGAAGGCCCTCTGCCT